CCGCCGCCGCCGCCGCCGCCGCCGCCGTCCGCCGTCGTCGTCGTCGTCGTCGTCGTCGTCGTCGTCGTCGTCGTCGTCGTCGTCGTCGTCGTCGTCGTCGTCGTCGTCGTCGTCGTCGTCGCCCGTCGCCCGCCGCGAGGGGCCAAGCGCCCCTTCGGGCCTGCACCTCCAGCCCGATGCCGGGGGGCTCGTACATGAGCATGAAGCGCTTCAGCTTCATGGCAGAGACCCCGCCAAACACGGCCCGCCTTGGCGGGCGCGGCGACGGGGTGGCCCTGGACACCGACGACGACGACGACGATAATGACAACGGCGACGGCGATAACGACGATGACGACAACGATGCTGACAACGAATATGGCAACGCGCATGACGCGCTGGAGCGGCATGGCCGCGCCCCGCCGGCCGCGGCCCGCCTGGCGGGCGCGGAGGCAGGGGGGCGCACGTACGCTCCAGGCCTCCCAGATGGGGCCGACGTCGATGGGGTCGGAGGATCGCGCCGCCTCCTCGATACATCGGCGATGCGGCGCGATGTGGAGGCCGATTCTCTCAAAGCGATGCATCGGCGATGCGGCGAGTTCCTCGGACCCCGTCTGCTCGGACCCTCTCTACTCGGGGGGCCTCGATACAGCGATCGTGTCCAGGTCCGTCCAGGGCCCATGAAGAGGAGGAGACGGAGGAGGAGGAGGAGGAGGAGCAGGAGGAGGAGAAGGAGGAGGAGAAGGAGGGGGCGGAGGAGGAGGAGGAGGAGGAGGAGGAGGAGGAGGAGGAGGAGGGAGGAGGGAGGAGGGATGAGGGATGAGGGATGAGGGAGGAGGAGGAGGAGGAACTCGGCTTGACGGGTACCTGCGTCAGTCCAGGTCCCAAGGATCGGTGAAACTGTGACGCTGGCGCCAACCGAAACAGTTGGAACGGAGAGACGAAGAAGAGCGGAAAAGAAGAGCCGCACTCGTGCCGTGCGCGCGCGAGGGGACGAATCTGCGACCACTTGCGAGGCCTACCCCTGAGGGTTCCATTGGCGCTGGGGCAGCGGGCAATCCCCGCAGGGGTCCGCTTGGTCACATGCATCATTCGAATTCTGAACCCCAGCGGGATATTCATAAGTCTGACCTGCACGGGCAAGTTTCACATGTGGCTGCGCAACGAAAGCGGGATGAAACCAACATCGGGGATCGACGAAGGCGCAGAGAAGACCGGGTCGAGATACATCGAGAATCTCTGGGAGCGGGAGAATCTGATGCACGTGATAATGCACATCGTTTCTTACTGTGAGAAGCAAGAGCCGCACTCGTCGTCCTTGGCCATCCAGATCCAAGAACAATCCCCAAAGCCATATGTGGGTCGCCAGGTCCCCTCGGAGAATGAGAGAATTTGCGGGGGGCACATCCTGGCAAGCTTCTTTTTTGCCCCACATGCCGTACCTATTGCATCGGGCGCCGTGGCCGTTCCAGAGCGCTCCGGGTCGCTCTTGGAGCGTTCTGGAGCGCTAGGGACTACTTCTGGGACTCGCTGCGCGCAAAACCAAGCCTTGCCGAGCTGGCTTGCTCGAGGGCAACGTTTCCTGGGCGGCTGGCCAGCTTGAGGGGGTACGGGGTTCTCGCTGGATAGACACGACCTTCGCATCTGATCCAGAACGGCGCGGACCAGCTGCTGGGTCAACCTTAGCCTTCGGTGGCCGCTTCCCTGGCGGCACCCTCCACCTCGCGCTGTCGAAGTGGAGTGGTCCCTGGCGAACTTCGCACTCCTCGCCCACGCAGGTGATCTCCTGGCCACCAATTCCATGCCATTTTGCCTCCGGGCCCGCCTCCCAAATCACGGCGAACATGGTATGAGTCTCGTCCGTGATCTCGTCGCAAGCAGTGGTATCAGAGGCGTACTTCTTATGACCCCTCCGTGTGACCGTGCCGACTTCACCATTCAAACTGGCCTGTTCCCAGACTTGAGGGCACCAGTCATTGGACATCACCTGCCGAAAGTCTGCCTGTTTCGTGAGAAAGCATACGTTGCGAGGCACAAAAACGTACTAATACTATATGTCCTCCTTGGAGGCGCGCTTCCGGCCCGAATGTATAGTATACCCATCTTGTAATAGATCGTTTCCCGAGCGATGCGGCCAGAAGGCCCCCCCGCCACGACGCATATACCATCAGATGTCTCGGTGCGCGCGTCGCCCGTGGGGGGGGGGGCGACGCACACATAGTAGAAATATGCTGGGGTGACGCCGATACGTCCCGCTTGGTGCACATGCTGGGGGCAAACTGGCCGTCCGATGGCAAAATACCTAATCTTCCCCCTATCTCATCAAGGCCTTCTCGACTCGACGACTTGGCAGACTCCTTAGACGTTGGGTCCCAATCGTCATCTGTGCTCGCGAACGGCTGGCAAGAAGAGACTGCTGCCCTGCGCCACGGTCACAGAAGAGATTCTCCCATCAACCCTCACCGCTCCCGCTGCGATATCCTACCATTAAGTCGGGCATGTCCCCCTACAGGCGGATTTTGGGCGAAAAATAAAAAACATGCAAACAATACCCGGACAAAATCCACAAATGCTCGAAAAATCGCCCCCGACTAATTTGTGACTATTTCTGAAAATTCCCCCCGTTGAGGGACATGCCCGACTCAATCCTACCATCAGAAGGCAAACGAAAGTGAGGAGCCCACCCAGCTGAACTTTCGCCATGTGGACGCGAGACGGCACCTCGGACAGCGGCTGTGTGAAACTTCTGCCCCCGAAACAAAAAGTTACTGATGCTTGGCAGCGGCTTGTAACAGGTGTGGCTGCCCACAAGCATCCCCTAGAAATCGCGGGCCCCCTTGTGGGGCCACCAGGCTGTAGGCCGAAGCTTCGCAGTTTCCTGTACCAGTTGTAGCTTCAAGTTTCCACTGTTACAGTTCTGCTTCTTGCTGCTTATTGTTCCGTGTTGACTTCTTGCTGCTTACTGTTCCTTGTTGACGGACCGCGCGAGGGGGGGAGGCCGAAATCAGGCATTTTTATCACGCCCTGAGCGTGTTGTCTGAATTGCTGGGGTGGGTAAAACTTGACACCCCTCACGCAGATCGGCAGGGTCAGGGTTCAAGAACACAAAAAGGATGTGCCACAGTTCTGAAATTCGATGGCACCCCTCACGCAGATCGGCGGGGTCAGGGTTCAAGAACACATGGGAGTTGCCACGTTTCTGAAATCCGGTGGCACCCCTCACGCAGATCGGCGGGGTCAGGGTGCACAAACTCAGGGGATATGCCACATTTCTGAAATTCGATGGTACCCCTCACGCAGATCGGCGGGGTCAGGGTTCAAAAACACATGGGAGTTGCCACGTTTCTGAAATCCGGTGGCACCCCTCACGCAGATCGGCGGGGTCAGGGTGCACAAACATACATTTCCTAAATTCGGTGGCACCCCTCACGCAGATCGGCGAGGTCAGGGTCCAAAAACATATGGGAGTTGCCACATTTCTTACATTCGGTGTCACCCCTCACACAGATCGGCGGGGTCAGGGTGCAAATACACAAAGGATTTGCCACATTTCTAAAACTAGGCGGCACCTCTCACGCAGATCGGCAGGGTCAGGGTCCAAAAACACAGGGGATTTGCCACATTCCTAAATCATGCTGCACCCCTCACGCAGATCCGTAGGGTCAGGGTCCAAAAACATATGGGATTCGCCACATTTCTGAAATTTGGTGGCACCCCTCACGCAGATCCGTAGGGTTAGGATCGAAAAACAAACAAGTCCCGACACTGCTTCACGGCGGCGCCCAGACCTCATGATGTAGCTCTTGCATCTCCCATTATCCGAGACAAGGGGCCGGCGGCATGGGGCGAAGCCCTTACGAATGAGCCCTGCTAACGTCAGCAGATCTCCATGGTATACCAAGCCAGCCACAACAACCCAAGCGCTCCCGCTGGAGCGCAGCAAAAGGCGGCGCAGGGATGTTCCGACCGCAACCAGCGAAGGGCTGTCGAGCGAAGCCGGCACCACCTCCAGGGCTGACCGTGCGCACACCCGAGCCTTGCCGCGCTGACTGGCTCAAAGGCAGCTCCTCCTGGACGGCGCGGCACCCAGGTCTGCTGCATGCCCGCCCTCCACGCGGCTCGGGAGGAGACGCGGCGCATTCCACCTCTGGAGCGCCGGCTGTGGGAAGCTCCGTCAGCGGCACCCTCGTGGGGTGCTCAGTGAGCGGGGACTTCGACTGATGCAAGACGGTGGCGTTATCCTGCCAATCCCAGCTCGGGCGTGTCCCCCTACAAGGGAATTGTGGACGACAAATAAAATATTCCCCGAATTCTCAAACAGATGCAGAACAATACAAAAAACATCCCCATATCATAAGGATATGTTTGACTATTTTTTTGAATACTCCTCCTGTAGAGGGACAGGCCCGACTCAATGCCCATCTCCTGCGCCGTCCCCTGTCGCTCTGCGGCCACCTTCCCGCGCGCCGCCGAGCGATCCTGCCCGCTGCCAGAGCACCTGCCTCGGTTCGTCACGCCCAGAACGGGTGCGGTTGGGCACGATTGAAGGGGCCCTGGGACACACAAATAAATATACACAAATAAACATATTCCCTATATTTTTCCATATTTTCTGGGTTTTTGTCTTCCCCCCACTTCCCATATTTTCCCATATTTTCTGGGGAATCGAGGATTAATTGTGTCTGTGTGTTTTTTCCCCTCCTGAACGATGTTCAGCAGCAGGTGCTGCCCAAAGCCGACGGCAGCCGCTCGGGGGCCGGGCAGCCTGGTTTCCCATAGCGAACCGTGAAGACGACGCGCGCGGCGACGCCGACAGCGCAGCCTGCTCACAGTGCAGAGGAACTGCTGCAGGTCCTCGTCCCCGCCCTTCCCGCACCCTCAAATGAGGTCAACACGGGAAAGCGGGCAGCGACACCACCACGATCAGCGCGAGGCGCCGGGGAGTGCCCTCCTGGTGGCCTACAGTCGGACTCGATTGGACAGGACACGCGAGAGGACACAACACCCTTCCGAGGGCCACATTGCTACAGGAATGTAAAAAGCATGGGTCGCGAGACACAGGACACAAGGGCACCCTTGAATTGGCAGGGTCGACCTACCAATCCGGGCCGATTGTAGCCCCCCCCCCCCCTCCCGCTCTCGCTCGAGAGCCACCCTCTCCCCCCCAGCTCGGGGAGGCACCGTGGATCATCCCGCTGGAGGCGGCCCTCCTGGCGGCGGTGGTGTCGCCTCTCCTTGTGAGCGTTTTTGTTGTAGCCGGCGCTTTGACATTGGGCGGAAAGGGGGGGGGAGGGGGGGGTCTGGCTCCAGGCCTCTGCTTTGTGCGACTGTCTGCACGAGTGCGGCCTCCGGGGGAGACTCCCCCGCCCGAAACAGGCGCCAAAAAACTGCCAAGATCTACCCCAGGCGGGGGGCAAGGGGGAGGGGTGGGGGTGCGGGGGCCCGCGCCGATCGGCAAAACAAGGAATAAAAAACGACCTCCTTCCTCCTCCGAGGTTTCGATCGTGCCGATCGGAGGCGCCGACTCCAGCACGCCGTCGGCACATGCCAGAGCTCCGGCCTTCCTCCACCCCGCGAGAGCCCTGCCGTGGTGACGGGACGCCTCCCCTACGGGAAGACCCCCGGAGCGAGAGAGAGAGGAGACCCACGCTGCCAGCGCGGCCCGACGCGTCCTCCCCGGGACCTCCCGCGGAGCTGCTCGCTCCGAACCCACCTGGAGGTGGCTCTCCTGGCGGCGGTGGTGTCGCCTCTCCTTCCTCCTCCGACGCTTCGATCATGCCGATCGGAGGCGCGGACTCCTCCGGCACGCCGTCGGGGCATGCTGGAGCTCCCCGGCCTCCCTCCTCCACCCCGCGAGAGCCCTCTTCAGCAGGGGACGAGACGCCTCCCCTCAGCGCGAGCGAGAGAGAGGGGACCCACGCCGCCAGCGCGAGGCCCGACGCGGCCCCTCCCCGGGCCCTACCACGAAGTCGGGTGTTGCCAGAAGTGCCCCTGGCCCAAGGTGCCCCCAGGAGTTTCTGGTGGGCCCCAACGGCCTCCAGAGCACCACTCACGAGGCCCATTGGGCACCTCGGGCCAGGGGCACCTCGGGCCAGGGGCACCTTTAGCAACCCCCGACGAAGCTGCTCGCTCCGAGCCCACCTGGTCGGCCCCAGGTCCTCCTCCCAGGAGGGGGACGCTCGGTGGGTCGGGCGTGTCCCCTTACAAGCGGAATTTGGGCGAGACTTGCTTCAACAAAAAATAGACAAGATTTTGTCAAACATAATCAAAGATAGTAGAAGCATCGTCCCCCGACTATTTTTTTACTAGTTTTGAATCTTCCTCCTGTGGAGGGACAGACCCGACTTAAGGTTGGGGGGGCTGGCTCAGAGGGAGAAGCGTCGGCCTGGAATCGTCGATGCATCGCCGATAGATCGGCGATAGGCCCCCGACAGCGGATCCGTATGGTCCTGAGCGGGACGGGGCTATGAGGCCGTCGGCGAGGAATGGTCGATGTATCCCCCGCAAGCTGGGTTCCCCCCCTGGCCTTCGCGTCATGAATCGAGTATCCGGAGGCCGTTCGGGATGATCAGGGCATCCCAGGAACGCACTCGGCGAGACGCAGCTGCTGGAACGCATCCCGAGGCTGGAAAACCGCCTGGACCCAGCGAAATGTCTGAAAGCCTGACCGTATCCCCACAGATCCGATGCCTGGATTTGTTTCATACGGGGTCCCCAGACATTTCGACCCACTCCCAGACTGAACAGTTTCTGGACGGTCCCTGGGCCTAGCGAGGGCACCATGGGAAACGCGTTCTTTCTCTCGAAACGTTGGAATTGTGCGTCCCCCTTCTGATGTTGCCCTGGATCCTCCCCGCCTGGGCAAGCTCCGGAAGGCACCTGGGCGAGGCGCAGCTGCCCCGGAAACGCACACCGAGGCTGGAAAACCGACAACATTATATATATATATATATATACATATATGTATACACATACCTACCTACCTACCTACCTGCCTGCATGCATGCATGCATGCATGCATACATCCATACATCCATACATCCATACATCCATACATCCATACATCCATACATCCATACATCCATACATCCATACATCCATACAGCCATACAGCCATACATCCATACATACATACATACATACATACATACATACATACATACATACATGCATACGCACACATACATACATACATACATACATACATACATTCATACATACATACATACATACATACATACATTCATATACACACATACATGCATACATACATATACATACATGCATACATACATACATACATACATACATACATACATACATGCATGCATGCATGCATGCATACATACATACATACATACAATGCATGCATGCATGCATACATACATACATACACATACATACATACATGCATACAACATACATGCAAACATACCTACATACATACATGCATGCATGCATGCATGCATGCATGTATACATGCGCATGTAAACATGCGCATTCATACATGCACATGCACATGCACATGCACATGCACATGCACATGCACATGCACATGCAACTGCACATGCACATGCAACTGCACATGTATGTATGGTCAGCGGAAGTGTCCGAAAACCTGAGCCCCCTTGATGGGCATGTTTTCCGCCACCATCACCAGCCTGAGTTGGAGGGGGAGGGGGTCCTCCTCCCCCACTTCTTCTTCTTCCTCCTCCTCCACCTCCTTCCCCCCTCCAACTTATGGTAGTGGTGGTGGAAAACATGCCCATCATCCATCCCCGGACGGTGTTGCCCCTGATCCCCTCCCCAGGATCAGCCAGCATTGAATCGGGAACCCGATGCGCGTCGAAACATCATCGGATCCGGCTGCGTCGGCACGGAATCGAGATAGAATCCGATCGACCGCGCCAAGATGCACAACAATTGAGCAAGGACCGACCAGGACATGATAAAGCACAGCAGATATGTTCCTAGGCCATAAACGCGATGAATTTGAACAAAACAGTATCAGGTAGAACACTATTAGAACATGTCGTGCAACACAAAGTTGTTAGAACATGTTTTTGTGGGCCTACATGCATGTCAAGACGCTTCGCCATTGCTCGAAACAATGCCATGCAAACATCGGGCAACATCGGAGCGTCGGAATGTCGGAATCGAATCGAATCGGACCGGCAGGCGCCGATGTCGAATCGGATCCGCATGGAAATGGACCACGGCGGGTGGGATAGGACGTATGCCGCCGACCCGGGCAGCCCAAGCAGAACATCATGTCTCCTGGAACGGGATGCCGAGCAATAGAGGGATCTGGCGGGTGATGCTCGACCACACCTCTGGAGGCCTCCCACACTGAACACCCACCAGACCGCCCCGACCCAACCCGAAGACCCACATTTGGGGTTGGGGGGGGTACGAGGTCCACTAGTGTTGTTTCAGCGTTCCCAGACGCCCCCCCCACTGGGAATGGAGGGCAAATCGTGGCCTTGGGGTCAGGTTGGGGTGGTTTGGTGGCTGGTGACGCGTGGGGTCCAGGCCCATCTGCTCGGCGACTGTGGCGCGATCCTTCTGTCCTCCAGCGCAGCCCAGGCGCTGGAGAGAAAGGGCCTTCTCGCTTCCAGCGGCTCCACGAGCGGGAGCGATTGGGGGGGGGCTGCTGGCACAGAGGGGGAGATGGGCCGGCGATGGGCTGTGTGCACCCAATATGCCGATAGGCCATCGGAGAAACAGCACATCCCTCAACAGTTCCCGCGGATCTCTTGCATCTGCGGCGGAGCCCCTCCCTGGCGCGCGGCCAGGCGCGGCGCCAGAGGCGCCGCCAAGGGTGCCCAGCGCAGATCCAAGAAGTCCGCGTCGCGCTGCGAAAATCTCTGCTCATGCCGCTTTTCTTCGACTCTCGGCGATGAGCTGGCGATTCGGGGTCGATTCGGGCACTGGTTCCTGACAACGTGGGGATCGCTCAACCTTGACGATCGGCCGTTTCAGAAACGCCGGATCAATCAACGCTGCGCCGACTCTGGGTCTCGGGTGGCGTTCAACCTTAAGCGTCAACGCTGGGGTTCCGCCGTCGACCCGACGCGAACCTCCCGTATCGGGTCCGTATCGGCGATGAATGGGCGAGTCGTTGCCGTCGTCGTGGTCGTGGTCGTCGTGGTCGTCGCGGGGTCGTCGCGGGGTCGTCGTCGTCGTCGTCGTCGTCGTCGTCGTCGTCGTCGTCGTCGTCGTCGTCCTCGTCGTCCTCGTCGTCGTCCTTGTCCCTGTCCTTGTCCTTGTCCTTGTCCTTGTCCTTGTCCTCGTCGTCCTCGTCGTCCTCGTCGTCATTGTCCTTGCCCTTGTCCTCGTCGTCGTCGTCGTCGTCGTCGTCGTCGTCGTCGGTCTCGTCCTCGTCGTCGTCGCCCTCGTCGTCGTCGTCGTCAGCCCGGGCGGCGGCGGCGGCCTTGTGCCGCCCCCGGGCGGCGCCGCGGGGGCGCCGACGGCCCCCGACCGCGGCCGACCGCTGGCCGCCCCCCCGCCGGCCGCCCCTCGAGGCGGCGCCCGCTCGAGCCCCGGGGCGGCGGCGGCGGGCGCCGCTCGACGGGCCGCCGCCGCGGCGGCGGCGGGCTCCGAGCCCTGCGGTCCGACGGGCGAGACGAGGCTGCAGGACGGATGGAGGTCGGGCGGTGCCAGAAGGGGCCCCCGGCACAAGGTGCCCCCAGGACTTCCGAGGAGGCCTGGCACGGCCCGCGGAGCTGCCCCTCGCGGGGCCCGCTTTTTGTCACGGCCGCTTGGGCAGCCAAGCTTTTTCAGCGGTGCGGTCGCAGGATATCATTGCAAAGGTTGCAACACTCGGGGGCGGCCAAGAGGGGGGGAGTGCAAATCATGGCCGGCGGCATGTGCGCGGCCCAAGGGGGGGGCCAGGGACGCAATGAACTAAGAAGAGGCGCCGAGAAATGTTGCAAATATCATATGGCCCACGCCATGATATACCCCCCTAGGCATCACCCCCGTCTTTGCCGCCCCCGAAACACTGAACATCGTTTCACCGATGCCCGCCCCAGCTGGCACGGCCTAGGCCCCAAATGTCCGACTCAGCCCCGCAGGTCGGGGTCGCATGCTGTCCCCGTTCGGCTTCGCGGGGCCCATCCCCGCCTGGAGGGGTGGGCCAGTAGAGTTGAGATGCCGCGGCCCCGTGCGGATGATTACGAAAGTTAGTGGATGCCATGAAAGTGGCCGCCCGAACACTCCTACCATTGTTCAGCACATGTATAAACGTGTTCAAAACATGTTCAAATGTTTAACATGTTCAAAACATGATTGAGAGACGTTCGAGACATCTGAGAACTAGTTGGCAACATGATTCCTTTCCACTGATCCGCCTCCACAAAACGTAAGTGTATGTCTTAGGTGTGCGAGACTGGTTGTATGACAGTCCCGCTGTAGTATCGCCGATGAACGTCTATCCATGTCCCCATTCGCATCGACGTCTGCCTACGAGTGCCTAATTCCGCGTAGTGGTGCCGATCAGTGTCTATTAGCGCCGATTAACGGCCACTGCAAAACACACATGTACATGGATAGCTGTGTTAGTGGAAGAAATACGCTCGTACCAAAAACTAGCCTGGCGAAGAACCCAACCCTTTATGTAAACAAGGGCGAACATAAGCAGCACGGCCCAGTGCACAAGAACACTGCAGAGGATCTACAGTACCCCCGACGAAGAATCGCGTGCGCGTGTGAAGGGGCCACGAAGCGTGTGAGGGTGTGCCGAACTGGGCGGGGCGACGCCATGCGAACGCAACCACTGGGGCCCTCGGTGGATCTCTCAGGAGGCCACGAAACGTGTGAGGGGTGTGCCGAAATGGGCGGGGCGACGCCCATGCGGACGCACCCACTGGGCCCCTCCGTGGAACTCCCTGGAAAGCACGAAACCTGTGAGGAATGTGCTGGCACAGGCGGGGCGACGCCGAGCGAACGCACCCACTGGGGCCCTCGATGGAGCTCCCTGTAGGGCCACGGAACGTGTGAGAAGTGTGCCGAAATGGGCGGGGCAACGCCCTGCGAACGCACCCACAGGGGCCCTCAGTGGAGCTCCCTCGGGGCTACGAAACGTGGGAAGACGGTGCCGAAATGGGCGGGGCGACGCCATGCGAACGCATCCACTGGGGCCCTCGGTGGAACTCTAATGGGGCCACGACGCGTGTGAGGGCTGTGCCGAAATGGGCGGGGCGACGCCATGCGAACGCACCCACTGGGGCCCTCGCTGGAGCTCCCAGGGGGCCACGAAACCTGAGGCGTCTGATGCGAGCGCACCCACGGGGTCCCTCGGTGGAACTCCCTGGAAAGCACGAAACGTGGGAGGGCTGTGCCGAAATGGGCGGGGCGACGACATGCGAACGCACTCACTGGGGCCCTCGGTGGAGCTCGAATGGGGCCACGAAGCGTGTGAGGAGTGTGCCAAAATGGGCGGGGCGACGCCATACGAACGCACCCTCTGGGGCCCTCGGTGGAGCCCCCTGGGGGCTGAGAAACGTGTGAGGGGTGCGCCAAAATGGACGCGACACCGCCATGCGGACGCACCCACTGGGGCCCTCGGTGGAGCTCCCTGGGAGGCAGGAACCGTGTGGAGGGTACGCAGAAACTGGCGCGGCGCCGCCATGCGGACGCACTCACGAGAGCCCTGGGTGGAACTCTCTGCGAGGCAGGGCAAGTGCGTGGTGTGTAACGAAATGGGCCAGGGCAGGAAGAGGAGAGGAGGGAGAGCAGGCAAGGAGCGAGGAGGGAGACAGAGGACGACGAGGAGGAGAGGAGAGGAGCAGGAGAGGAGGAGACGCGCGGAGTTGTGGATTCAAAAAGAGGGCCTGACACACACAGGAGGGTTGGGGAAAGAACGCCAACATATTGCTGGGAGACAAGCAACTGAACATGGTAATGTGTTCAACGGGTCCGAAAGACATCAACTGATGCGAATTGCTACATCCAACCCGTGGACATCGGTCATTGAGAGGGCGAGCCCATTTTGAAAACATACGATGGTGACGCCAGTCAGAGCACAGAATCGCCAAAGCTAAACGCGGCAAATAACGATTGGGAGACAGCTGACTGCCAAGTATGTGTTCGACGGGTCCGATGGACCATCAGTAACGCTAATTGCCTGCCTCAAATCTATTAATGTCTGGCATAGAAAAGAAGCTCGTTTTGAAAACATTGCGAGACTGACTGACTGACAGCTGGAACTCCTAAACATCGGGCGGCGAATAACTACTGGGAAGCAACCGATTGCAAATGATAGGTTCAACGGGTCCGAAGGACCACCCATGATTTGAGTTGCTACCTCAAGTCCGTGGGTGTCGGCAATGGAAATGATAGGTTCAACGGGTCCGAAGGACAACCGATGATGCGAACTGCTGTCTCAAGCCCGTGGGTGTCGGGCATGAAACGGGTAGTCCTGTTTGAAAATTTTCGATGGTGACGACCATCAGAACACAGACTGGAACTCCAAAGCAACATGTGGTAATTGATGGCTGGGAAACGCGCGATGATATGTTCAACGGATCCGAAAGACCACCGGTGATGCGAATTGCCGCCTCAATTCCGTGGGCGTCTGGTATGACAGGTGGTGGCCGTGGTGAAGGTTGCGATAGTGGAGTCCTTCTGCCTGCGAGCAATTGCTTCAAACAACATGCGTAAAATTACGAATAGGAGACGATCGACTGTAAACGATTCTGTGTTCAAAGGGTCCGAAAGACCACCGCTAATGCGAATTGCTAACTCGAGTCTGCGGGTGTCTAGAGCCATCGGTGGATCTCCCTGTGAGACACGAAGTCGCGTGACTTGCGTGCCGAAACGGGCGCAGGGACGCGATGCGAGCACGCCCACTGGGGCCACGTGCTGTTAACACTCCCATGCTCCCTCATCATTCTTTCTCGTCCTCCTCGACCTCGCAGTGAAAATATTTCTGCGGGTCCCATGGACCACCGCTGCGAACAGCCTTCTGCTCCCTCATGGGGCCTTCGGTGAAGCTGGCTACGGGGCCGTGACCCGTGTGAGAGAAGTGCTGAAATAGCCCGAGGCCGCCATGCAGACTGTGCCACAAGGGCCTTCGGTGGAGCTCCCGATGAGGCCACGAAGCGCGTGAGGGGTGTCGAAATTGACCGAGGCCCACACGCGGACTGTGCCACTGGGGCCTTCGGTTGAGCTCCTATGGGGCTGCGAAGCGCGTGAGGGGAGTACCGCAATTGCCCGAGGCCGCCATGCGGACTGTGCCACTGGGACCTTCGGTGGAGCTCCCGTTGGGGCCGCGAAGCGCGTGAGGGGTGTGCCGAAATGGCCCGAAACCGCCAAGCGGCCTGTGCGACTGGGCGCCTTAGGTGGAACTCCCTATGGGGCCACGAACCCTGAGAAAGGCGGGGCCGCCTGGGGCCTTCGGTGGAGCTCCCTATGCGGCCACGAACCGTGTGAGGGGTGTGGGTGGAGCTCCCTGGGGGGCCACGACCCGTGTGAGTGCTGCACCAAAATGGGGCCGAGCCACCATGCGGCCCGTGCCACTAGCTAGGTCCTTCGGTGGAACTCCTGAGGGGGCCACGAACAGTGTGAGGGGCGCGCTAAAATGGAGCGGGGCTGCCATGCGGCCCGCGCCACTAGGTCCTTCGGTGGAGCTCCCTGGGGAGCCACGTACCGTGGGAGGGGTGTGCCATAATGGGCCGGGGCCGCCATGCGGCCTGCGCCAAGATGGAGCAGAGCCGCCATGCTGCCTGTTCCACTGGGGCCTTCGGTGGAGCTCACTGGGGGGGGCACGAGACGTGGGAGGGGTGGGCCGAAATGGACCCGAGTGCGCATGCGGACACTGCCACTGGAACCGTCGGTGGAGATCCCGATGTGGCCACGAAGCGTGAGGGGTATGCCGAAATGGGCCTGTGTGGCCGCCATGTGGACTTTGCCACTGGAGCCCTCGGTGGAGCTCCCTATAGGACCGCGAAGCGTGTGCAGCAACAGCAATAAGAAAGAAGATGAGAATGAGGAAGAAAAAGAGGGACGAGAAGGAGGAGGAGGAGGGAGAGGAGAGGAGGAGACGCGCGGCGCTGCGGATTCAAAACGAGGACCCAACACACAAAAACACTCACACATAGCACCTCTGAGGATGGGGATCGGCTGAGCAGTGCTGAACCGTCGGGGCTCCCAGCGGCCTGGAAGTGGGCCCCGCCCGCAGCAGGCCCAACGGGCCTAGGGCATGCCTCGGGCGCCAGGAGATGTGCGCGCGTGGTCCCAGGAAAGCCTGGGATGCATCTGGAGGTCTCCGCGAGGGGTCTAACGGACCTAACGGAGGCCTCCTCCACCTCGGGAGCGGTCCGAAGCGAGGATCAGAAGCGTACAGAAGCGGCGAGTCCTCCGACATCGGACAGCGTCGCCTTGGCGGCGGCGCGCAAGGGGACGGCGCGAGCGGGGGGCCACCTTCGGAGACGCCTCGGGGGGCTCCCGAGAAGCCATCCTGGCATCTTGGACGCCTCCTTTGAAGCCCCCATGGACGTGTGAGAAGACCCCCCCCCTCAGGATAGAGTAAGAAACAACTGCACAAAGATGAACTGTCGGAAGTCCGCGCGGATTTCGCGGATCTGCGCCGAACCCTCTCCCTGGCGCGCTCGGCGAGGCGAGGGGCGCCAGAGGCACCACCAGGGGGGTTCCAGTGCAGATCCAAGAATTTTTACGGGGAGATTCCCAAGTTTATGTTTATTTGGCTTCTCCTATTCGAGCGAAGCACACCGCTTCTTTGGAAGGCCCAACCCTCGCGCCACTACGGCAAGTTCGGGCCGTGTCGCCTCCGGAACTGGCTTCTGCCACCGCGGGGATCGTCTAACCTGGCACGGTCGTTGTTGCAACGTCAGTAGAGAAGAACAATAACTGCATCAGCATTAACTTTTGGCGCTCCGCGCCAATTTCTCGGATCTGCGCTGGACCCCGCGCGCCAGGGTCGGCGCTGGAGGCGCCGCAAAGGGGGCCCAGCGCAGATCCAAGAAATCCGCGCGGAGCGCCAAACAATTATGGTTATACCGTTTTTCTTCTTCGATGTCCGCAATGTCGAACCGCTCAGCATCGGCCGATTCTGGGTCGCCGGCGGCGTTCAACGTTATCGTCGGCGGCGGGGCTGCCACTAGTCGACACGACGCGAACCTACCGTGCCTTCCGTGCGCCGCCGGCCGTCATCGCGAGGCGCCGGGCCGCTTTCTGCGCCCACGCGCGCCGCTCCGCCCCAGCCGCGCCCGCCAGCGCCGCCGACACTCCCGAGGCCCACTGGCCAGCGGAGCGCACGAGGGCCTCCTCGGGGGAGGGGGGGGTGGGGGCCGCGGAGGGCTCCTTCGGTGAGGGGGGGGGCGGTGTGGGCCGCGGAGGCCGGAGGTGGGTGCCACGGGCGACGGACATCCGCCACCGTGCCCTGGGCCCCAGTGGGAGAATGCCAAACGAGCGACGATCAAAAACGGGTCTCACGCGAGATGGCAAGGCGACCTCACGCTGTGGCTCACGCGGGCCGCCAGCGCGGTACGCTACGCTGGGATCGAAGGCGCCTACGCGCGGCCTCACGCGAGCAGCCAACGCGCCATTGTCGGCGCAATCGACCTCGTTTTTATTCGTGTCGCGCCGGTGCTGTCACGCAGGGCTTCCAGAGCCCTGCAACGGGACCCCCTGAATATTGCTCGGACGCTGACGCACGCCCGCGATGGGCAAGCGTACAAGACGAGGAGGCACGGCATCGGAGCCGCGGGATCGAGAATTGACGGCCGGAGCCTGGAAGCATCAAGCTGGGATCGGTGACACGTCGTCGACGATAGATTTAGGTCGGGCGTGTCCCCCTACAGGCGGATTTTGGACGAAACATTCAAATAGTCAACAACATACAGAACAAAACTTCCAAAATACTCAAAAATCGTTCCCAGACTATTTTTTGGCAATTTTTGACTCTTCCTCCGGTAGAGGGACAGGCCCGACTTCACGATAGATCGGCGATGGCCTCCTATATGGCGAATCCGCGCGCTCCTGGGCGGGGTGGACCGTCGGGGTCCGTCGACGAATGGGCGATGGCCGATTCGGGGGCGCGCAAGCATGGATGAGCGATCCATGGATTTGGCGCGCGGTCGCCAAATCCATGGATCGGGGGAGGTGCCCTCCCCAAACTGCGGCCGGTGCCGCCTCGCTCGGTGGCGGAAAGCCGCGATTTCCATTGGAAACGGGACCGTCGCTAATCCACGCCCCCTTGATCCATGCTTGCGATCGCCTGATGTTGTGCATTCGTCATGCGAGGGGGGGGCTGGAGGAGGAGGAGCAGGAGGAGGAGGAGGAGGAGGAAGAGGACGAGCAGCAGGAGGAGGAGAAGGATGACGAGAAGCAGGTGGAGGAGGAGTAGGAGCAGGAAAAGGAGGAGGAGGAGGAGGAGGAGGAGGAGGAGAAGAAGGATGGGGGCCGATGCGTGCCCCCCCGAGTCTCTTCCCCCTTAACTGCTTCTCGGGCCCCAGCTCCGCTCGCCAGCGGCCCCGCTCGGGAGGATGTCCGGGCGAGCTGCACCCCGAGGCTGGAAGAAGCCGCCGAGAGCCGGCGACAGCGCTCGAGAATCTCTAGACAATCCCCCCCCCGAACGACGCCCCCGACCTCCAGGGGCGCCCTCGGAAAGCGTCCGAAAACCTCCCAAACGGTGCACCCCCGAACGAGGCCCCTGGCCTCCAAGGGCGCCCTCGTCGAGACTCTGGGCGGCGCCGGTGAGGCAAGGCGGGCGCCCGGTGAGGCGAGGCGCTGCCCTCGCGGGGCGGGGCGGGCGGTTGCATGAGAATCGGCCCCTGACCTCCGGCGATTTGGGGGGCCCTCTCGGGCTGTTCTGGACGCTGTGAAGACCCACGCTGCGGAAATGCTGGAAATGTACGCCTTCCTTCGGGACTCCAACACTATTGGCCTCCTGGGGCCCTCTTAGAATGCATCTCGGAGCCTTCTCAGGACATCTTCGGGGCCTCTGAACCACTCTTGACACATTAAGCATGCGTCTTCGCCCCTGTCTGGCCGCTCTGGTCGCTTTTTGGGACCACATCCCAAACAAAAATTCGAGCACCCAGAACAGTATCGAAACAGTGTCGAACGAGTATCACCTCCCAAGGCACGACGCGGGAAAACCCTCCAGTTTCGGTACTTTCTTTGGGCTCGAGATTCTTCCTGGTGGTCAAGGCTAAATACGTTGGAACATAATAACCCAAACCAGAACAACATGACTGCCCATGCTGGACATCCACTGAGCGACAGAACAGAAACGGGTCTTGCGCGGGATGGCACAACGACCTTACGACATTGGAGACCAGGGCGCTTACGCGCGAGCTTGCGCCGGTAGCTTACGCCCCGATGTCAGCGCCGACGTCCCCACTTCTGGGCGTCTGTCAATTGACGACTCTCTGTCGCATCGCAGAGCGTGAAGAGCTGGGAGGGGACATCCCACGACTTGACAAAACCCTTGCCCCGCTCTGCGACCGCCGCGGCGACTCAAAAACCGACCCGGCGGTTTGGTTCGGGGTCGGGAAGCACGCAAAGATATCGCGCTTCACTGCCGGCACTGCACGGCCGTTGGGCCGCCTGCGACGGCGTCCCATCGTTCCACTGCGGCTGACCGCACGGCCAGCGTGGCCGAGCGCTGCGAGAACGCTTTCTCTCGAGTCCGCACGCCCAGGACAACCGGAGGGGCATCCAGAATTACCGTCACCCGAGAGCAGCCAGAAACGACACCATGGTGCTTCTAAGCTAGTATCCTCGATCCATCATCATCACACTCCCTCTCACGCTCTCTACGCCCTCGCCCCCCCCCCTTCGCTTCATATCCGCTCTTCATCCTCCACAGCATCACCGTCACGCTCGTCGTCGTCCCCATTAGCGACATCGTGACCACCAACGTCTATCATGATCATGACCATCATCGGCAACAGCATCAGCATCAACATCAGCATCAGATGCATCACGTGCCTCGGCGGCGGCCTCGAGGAGGAACATCCGAGTCCAACCTGACCTGCCCCAACGCTCTTTCGCCATGTGCCCGACCATTGCCTTTCTCTTGGCCTGGCTCCCGACTCGGGCGGGGGTGGTGGGCAGGCCGTGGTCGGGGGAAATGCGTGATAATGCAAGATACCACCATGTTGAGAAGAAGGAGGAGGAGAATGAGGAGGAGGCGGAAGAGGAGGAGGAGGAGGAGGAGGAGGAGGAGGAGGAGGAGGAGGAGGAGAATTAAGATGAGGAGGAGGAGGAGGAGGAGGAGGAGTAGGAGGAGGAGGAAGGGGAGGAGGAGAGCTGTTGCTAAAGCTTATTGTTCTGTGGATTGGCGCGGGAGGCGGCCGGGGTCCTGGACTGGACGGAGCCCTTCGAAATCGGCGAAAAAGTGTGACATGAAGCCAAGTCCGCTCAAATTCTGCCGACACTGTCGGCGTGTGTGAGAAGCTTCCCCGTCGTCTTCGTCGTCGTCGTAATTTTCGCCGTCACGGCTACCTCTGTCTCTATTCGCGTCCTCTCCAAATGTCCCAGCCATAGAGATATCGAGCAACGTGTCGTAATCGAGTCGAAGGGGGTCCCTTCCCTTTGATCCCTTTCCCGCCGAGGAACGGGGAAGGGTCGCGAGAGAGTAACGGGGGTGCACGGTTTCCCCCAGGGCCGTATGCGACCCGAGGAGGAGGGGGAGGAGGAGGAGGAGGAGGAGGAGGAGGAGGAGGAGAAGGAGCAGGAGGAGGCGGAGGAGGAGGAAGAGGGGGAGGAGGAGGAGGAGGAGGAGGAGGAGGAGGAGGAGGAGGAGGAGGAGGAGGAAGAGGAGGAGGAGGACGAGGAGGAAGAGGAGGAGGACGGGTCGCCTAAACCCTCCAGGAAACCCTCCAGGTCCTGGGGGGGGGGTCCTGGGGGGAGAATGGCGGGACGGTCCCAAAGTTTTGTGATCCCAGCCTGGCCAGGAAAGGCGGAAACCCAGCGCAGAGTTCTAGGGCTGCCATGTGGGGCCTACGCTGCCATGTGGGGCCTACTGAATGGCTCGAGGCAGGTTCGGCGGCGCGCGCAAGGGGGTGGAGGGAGGGGGGAGGGCTTCTTAGAAGGAGGCTGCTTCTTAGAAGGCCCTGGCCTTACATCTGTAGAGAAGACCCGCGCCTTCTAAGCAGCAGGGGTGTTTCTAAGAAGTCCTCCCCCCTCCCCTCACCCCCCTCAACGCGTGGCCGACCTATTGAAGGGCTCGGGGCAGGTTTCGTTCGATCTCGCAGATAGAAGACGTTGTCTCTTTCAATATTCCCTGACAGCGGGGCCACGAATCCAGGTAGAGATGCATCAAATCCTGCCTCTGAGATCGTTTTGTTGGAACACGGCGAAGCTTGCAGCAGAAACAAACAAATCCCGAACGGGATTGCGCCGAGATTGGTAGAACTCGGCGCAATCCCTCTGCGGTCCTGCGCACCCTCTGAAGGAACGCAAACTCTCCTAAGCGGCTGCTCTTGGTACTGCTGACTACATGTCTGAAGCGTTGTCTTCATCGTGCTTCATCAATTCGCTGTGCAATGGTGTTCGCAGCGTCTTGTTTAGAAGGGCCCTCGCTGCAACCTGGAACATCCCGATGCCATCCCACTTGCTTCTGATCGGCTGTCAGCGGTTGTAAAGGGCCGCGCGAAGGGGGCGCTAGTCGGCCCAGTGATCGGCCCGGTGACGGCGGGGCCTTGCCCACGTATGATGCTGGCAACCAATTGTTTGATTGCACGGTTTCGAAGCGACCGTTTGGGCGTGAGCACTTCTTTGTCCGAGCTGACGTTTCCCAGGAAGCGAGGAGAAACAGGCGCCAGCCTTGTCCACAGATCTAGGGCCGGCGCCTTCTGAGGAGCGGCCTCCTTCTAGAAAGGATTCCCTCCCTCCAGGCCGGCGCCTTCGAAGAAGCAGCCTCCTTCTAAGAAGCCTCCCCCTCTCCCCCTGCTCCCCTTCTGCGCGTGGCCGATCCTCGTTGAAGCGCCTCATCCCTGCGGAGACGGCCAGCCAGTCGGTCGCTCCCGGCGCCAGCACGGACAGCAGCTCCGCCACCTCGGGCGCCGCCCAGCGGCCGGCCCTCCGCCCACCGTGCGTTGCTCTTTTTGGCCTCTACGGACCGAGGCGACTACGCGAGGCAAACACCAACATGACAACACTACAAGGCGAAGCCAGGGCGAGGATAAGATCGGGCGAGAAGAAGTCGAGAATCTTTCGGATCCGGCGGCTCTGGAGAATGTCTCGGGCGCCGCGGCCTCCTCAAAGCGCTCCGGCATCGGCGACACATCGCCGATGGGTTGGTTCGGAGGCGGCCAGAAGGGGGGCGTCCATGAGGGGGGGGCGCAAATCATGGCCCGCGGCGTTTCTGCGGCCCAAAGGGGGGGCCGGGCACGTGTTGAAATGACAAGAGGCGCCGCGAAATCTGGGGAGACCCCACGGCCCCCCCGCCATGATGTCCACCCCCCCCTGCGCCGCCCCCGGAATTCTGGTGGTGGTGGCCTGCCATTGCCCCCGATGGTGGTGGCCCGCCCGGGCCCAGACGGAACCCCCCTCTCTCCAGCCTCTGTAGAGAGCAGAAAATCCACCCCCATAATAAGCACCCCGACAAGCGAAGCCGTTTAGTAAACGCACCCATGGAAGGAATCGAACAGGGCAGGGCTGTTTAGTAAACGCCCAGGGCTGTTTAGTAAACGCGAATTGTCGGGGTCGGGGTGGTTTTTCCACCGTTGACTCTGGCGGCGGGGAAGCACCCTGGACGGTCCCCGCTGCGGGTGGCCTCTCCTGGGCATGGCGGCAGCGAGGGCCAGCAGCGCGTCGGCGGACGCCCGCCGCCGCCTCGCGCGCTCGCGGGCCTCCCTCCCGATGCTGGGGCAGGAGAGCCCAGAGCCGAACCATAGGTCGGATCGAGAGACGTCGGATCGGAGGAAACATCGGCGGCCGAGTCGGGAGGCGTCGCGTCGGCGGGAAAACACTTCGGAGCCCGAGCCGGCACCCGAAGCCGGACCGCAGTGGAGGTTCGAGGCCACCGCCGAGGTCGAAATCGAAGCGGCGCGGAGGAATCGACGGGAGCCCCTGCCGGGGGGGGGGCACGCCAGCGACGCCCGGCTGGGCAGCTCGCGAGCGCAGCCGCGCGGCACGGCCGGCGGGCGGCGCGCGGGGCACCGCTCGTCGATGCCAATCCAAGAGCCGCTGCCACCTGTAGGCTCCTTCCGGGCAAACGCGGTGGCCTCTCCCAGAGACTCGTCGGAATCCTCGCGCAGCTGGACCAGCGAGGCCGTCGAACCCTCCAGAGTCAAACTGTCATCCCAGGTCCCAGGAGATACAGAGCTTAGCCAGCTCGCGAACGTGATCCCAAGAGCCCAACTGATCCAGGATGCTCGGAGGAGGTCTGCGCAACTTACCAGCAAGGGATTGGGCAGCGGGATGCTTCGCAGGATCTCCTGCGGAGAGGTGGCCGATCAGCGCCCTCAGCTGGACCACGAAGAAAGTAACTGCATGATGAGCCGACGGCGAGTCCGGCTTGGAATTAGGGGGAGGAAAGAGGAGGAAGGGGAGGAAGAAGAAGAAGAAGAAGACGAAGAAGAAGAAGAAGAAGAAGAATACGAAGCACTCCGTGGGGGCCGAGTTCGTCCCTAAACTAAACCTTCAAAGGCCCAGCGGCTGCCGATAAAAGGAGGAACCAGAACGCCTGGGGACGCTGGCCCTTGGAGGGGGAGGAGGAGAAGAGCGGAGACCGCAGTGCTTTATACAGAACGAAAGTCCAACCGAGGGAGGGTTGGGGAAAATCCAAGGAGGGGGGGTCAGACCCCCCCCCTTCTGGAGATGATCGTGAGGGGGGGATAGAAAATCCAACGAGCTGATCCAGAGAGCCCCCCCCTCCCCAACCCCCCCCCACCCCACACCCCAGATCCGGACCCCCCCTCGTACGCGCGTGCAAGGGAGGGGAGGAGATGACCCCCCCCCGCTCTCTCGAGGGGTGGTAGTGAACACGCACCCCCAAGACGCCAACAGCAAACGACGACGACAATGACGATGACGAACAACCACGACGACAACGACGACGACGACGATGACGACAACGACGACGACGACATTAGCGGCGGCGACGATGGACGACGACCGACGACTACGGACGACGACACCATGACCAGATGACCATGACCAGATGACCACGACGGACGACGACAGATGACCACGACGAGATGACCACGGCGACCACGACGACGGGCGACAACAACGAATGCGACGACGCCGACGACACGGACGACGAAAACAGATGACGACGAAGATGACAACCGACGACGACCGACGACGACGACCTGCGACGACGACCACGACGACCAACGGCGACGACAAACGACGACGGCAAACGACGACGGCAGACAACGACGACGACGACAACGACGACGAAGAACGGTGAAGATGCCGACGACAACGAACACGACGCCGCCGCTGACGACGACGACGACGGGCGACGACGACAACGACGATGACGACTACGATCAGGACGACGACGACGACGACGACGACGACGACGACGACGACGACGGACGACGACGCCATCGACGACGACCATGCGGGCGAGTGGGCGGGCGGACCCTGTGGGCGGGTCGGTCGGGCAAGCGGACACCAACGGGATGGGGGATCGGGCGGGCGGGACAATAAAGTATGTTGCATCTTCGAATTAGCACGCACAAGCCCTGAAAGGCGGGTCGGGTGGAGCGGGCAGCCCCTAACGGTCAGGTCGGATCGGGCGGGCACCAATGGGCGGGTCGGGTCGGGCGGGACATCAGGTCGGGTCGGGTCGGGCAGCCCCTAACGGTCGGGTCGGATCGGTCGGGCGGGACATGGAAGTATGACGCATCATCGAGCTACCACGCGTGATCCCCAAAGAGCGGGGCAGTGTCGGGAGGGCGGACCCTGACGGGCGGGTCGGGTCGGGCGGGCCAATCCTGACCAGCGGGTAATCGGGCGGGTGTCCCCTAATTGGCGGGGCGGGTCAGCCGGGCGAGACAATCAAGATGCACCTTCGAATTGGCACGCGCGAGCCCTAACGGTCGGGTCGGGTCGTGCGGGCGGGTCATTAAAGTTCGACGCATCATCGAATGAGGCGCGACAGGCGGGTCGAGTCGGGCGGGCGGGCGGGTCAGGTCATGCCCATCATCACCATCCGCATCCGCATCCGCATCCGCATCCGCATCCGCATCAGCATCAGCATCAGCATCATCATCATTATCATCATCATCATCATCATCATCATCATCATCAGCAGCATCATCAACATCGTCAGCATCATCATCGTCAGCATCGGCATCAGCGTCATCATCAGCATCATCAGCATCAGCAGCAACATCATCATCACCACCACCATCATCATCATCAGCATCATCATCATCATCGTCATCAGCATCGCCATCATCATCATCACCATCATCATCATCACTATCATCATCATCATCATCGTCGTCGTCGTCGTCGTCGTCATCGTCAGCATCGTCATTCTCATCGTCATCGGAATCGTCATCATCACCAAGAATCATCATCATCCTCATCAACAGCCTCATCACCATCCACAACCTAAACGTCATCATCGTCGTCAGCATATCACCAGCATCATCACCATCACCAACATCATCAGCATCATTACGTTCAGCCTCAGCGTCATCATCGTCATCGAAATCATAATCATATTCATCAGCATTGTTATCATCATTCGCATAATCGCCATCATCATGCAGCACCATCCTCACCATATCAGCATCACCGTCATCAACACCAACATTGTAATCATCATCATCATCATCATCGTCGTCATTACCATTATCATCATCGTCATCAGCATCGCCATCATCATCATCACCATCATCATCATCATCATCATCATCATCACTATCATCAGCATCATCATCATCACCATCATCATCATCATCGTCGTCGGCGTCGTCGTCATCGTCGTCGTCATCGTCAGCATCGTCATTCTCATCGTCATCGGAATCGTCATCATCACCAAGAATCATCATCATCCTCATCAACAGCCTCATCACCATCAACAACCTAAACATCATCATCGTCGTCAGCATATCACCAGCATCATCACCATCACCAGCATCATCAGCATCATTATGTTCAGCCTCAGCGTCATCATCGTCATCGTAATCATAATCACATTCATCACCATTGTTATCATCATTAGCATAATCGCCATCATCATGCAGCACCATTCTCAACATATCAGCATCACCGTCATCAACACCAACATTGTAATCATCATCATCATCATCGTCGTCATTACCATTATCATCATCGTCATCGACGTCGTCATTATCAACATGATGATGACCATCTGCACCATCATCGTCAGCAACATTCACATGATCAGTACAGTCATCGTAATCATCACCACCATCACCATTACAATGGCCATGACCATGAGCACCATCATCATATCAACCTCAGCATCATCATCATCGTCATCATCAACATCATCATGGTCATGATCACACTCGTCGCCATCACATGTATTATCATCACCATCGTCAGCATCACCATCATCGTCTCCACCGTCATCACCATGATCACCACCGTTGTCATCGCCATCGTCATCGTCCTCACCATCCGCATCATCAGCTTCATCATCAGAATCATCAGAATCATCATAATCATCATCATCACCGCCGTCGTCGTCGTCAGCGGCGGCGTCGTCCTTCTCCTCGTCCTCCTCGTCGTCGTCGTCATCGGTTGCTTGCGACGAACTCGTCGTCGTCGTCGTTGTCCGTCGTCGTCGTCGTCGCCTTCGTCGTCTGTTGATGGCGGCGACGTCGTCGTCGTCGGCGTCGTCAACGTCGGCATCGCGTCTTCGTCGTCGTCGTCTGCTAGCGGCGGCGGGTTGGGGGGTCCATTACCTCTCGTCCTCCTTGCGCCCGGGGGGGAGGTTTCTGGACCTCCACAAGAATTTTCCGAGGTTGGGGATCCAGACCCCCTGAAGACGAAGGAAAACGGAACACCACCACTCGATACTTGAAGTAGAAAGGCGCCTAAAGTAGATTGGCATCTGGAAATCCAGCAACACCTACATTCAACGACCGATGGGCAGGCTGCTCCCTTCGGGCATCGAGGGGCCTATTCCAACTTGGGTGGTGGGATGGCGGGGCTGAGATACAGTCAGAGAGTGTGTGGCCATCGCTCGGACGTCCATTCCATGTGCTTTCCTCGGTTTCGTGCGTGGTCTTTTCGCAGGGTGATCCAGGATGCTCCTTAATAATCCCCGCCGAGAGGAGAGAAAGTGCACACGTCCGAGCGATACCAAGGTGTATTCAAGATGCGTATTGAGTACGCAAGACCCTTGGGCGCCGAAATGCAGATTTTTGGGCTGGCGGGCGGCCAGTGAGAACGTCAAAGGACGGGTCGCCGAGGCAGAGACACAAGGGCACCCTAGATGGAGGCGCGCGTCCTCACTGGGCGCGTGGACTGCACCATACAATCGGACTTGATTGGACAGGACACGCGAGAGGACACAAGTCACAAGATCCTGCCGAGGGCCACATTGCCATTATCATGTACACCCCGCGAAATGCTTAAGAAATCATGGGTTCAGAAATTCATAGTCTCAGAACTTGAGTAAAGACCCAACATTCCTATCAAAATCTTAAGGTTTACATTGAAACGTTAAGAATAATCGAGACTCTGGCCGAAAACTTGGGTTTTCTTAAGCATCGCCTAAGGTGTAGGGGGCATGGGTCGCGAGACACAGGACACGAGGGTACCCTTGTTTTGGCAAAGGTCGACCTACTCATCAGGGCCGCCTGCATCATGGCCCGGCCGGGTTGAGCTGAGGGCGCGGCGGTCCGAAAGCGCAGCAGGTGCGGGAAGAGCGCGAAGTCCGTGCACGCGCCCCACGGCCCCGCCGCCGAGAACCTCTCCGCCGGGCCGCGACCAGGCGGTGGCCCGACTCGGCTCCGAACGAGTCGACAAGCTGGGGACACCAACAGGTACCGTCGGACCCAAGCCAAAAGAACATCCTTCGAGAACATGAAACATTCCGGCGGCCAAAACAAGCAGAGCATGCAAGGAGAACTCCCCGGGGTGCACAAGAACGTCCAACAAGCACAAAGATCACGAGTGCATCCTCCTCGAACCGACCTCGATCTTATACCTCGGTCCGACTGTACCGATACCGCTACTCCCCAGACCTCTCCTGGGGTGCGTTTTGACCAGACTTTCGCGGTAAGTCCAGCGGTGGCGACGAGGGCCTCCCAGGAGGCCCAAAAGCGGAAAAAACAATCGGAGATCTACTGCCCCCTGTCGATCCAAACCCGGGTCGGTCAGGCCTGCAGGATCCTCCAAGATCCCGCGCTCTGGCTGGCCCCCGTTTGCAATCACCCCCAAGGCGAGGGTAGGAGTATCGGTACCTCTTCCGTGGTTGGGGCGTAGCTGGTTGGGGTGTAGCTGGGCGGTTGGGGCGTAGCTGGCACCCTCGCTCGGCTCGTTCATGGATCGGCGATCGACATGCATCGGATCGGGGTCGCCGCCTGTTGACACGACACGAACATACCGTACATATACATATTTGTATACATACATATATATGTATATACATATATCAAATTACATATATATGTATATCTATATGTATATACATTTATATATGCGCCAGCACCAACTTCCAGTTCCCAATGTTCTAGCTCTGGCTTCTGCTTCCTACTGTAACGTGCTGATGTCCGCGGGGGACCGAAAACCAAGCTATTTACCACCTCCATCCAGGATTCTCGGAATACACAGGGGGCCAAAGTCAGAATGTTGATTTAATTACGTCAGATTAGCGCTCACGATACCAGAATCCCGTACATTACGCAAGGCTTGCGCTTCCGAAACCAAAATTGCACATTACACCAGATTACCGCTCCCGGAACCAACATCCTGCGTACATTACGGTGGGATCGCGCTCCCGAGGCGAAAACACTGTTGCAAATGACACCACGTTCACGCACAACAAACAATTGCCAGTGTCTCCCAATATCCCGACTCCACACGATAGTGGGTGGCTATGTGCCCATGTGCGCTTCGTAATCAGATGTTTGCGCGCTCCAGCTGCCAGCATCCCTGCTAAAGTTCACCAGGTTCGCGCTCCCGTAGCAACTTACTTCGAATTTGCGCTGCCGAGCCCCAATGACATGTGAATTGCGCCAACTTCGCGCTTCAGAAAGACTCTTGGTAAACGAAGTCAAGATCGCGCTCTGACAAGGAAACAAAGCGTCAACAACTCCAGCATCTCAGGGCGCTTGCTGAATGCCACTCGTCTCCGCATGATGTTCCCAGAAGATGTCGAAACAGCGCTGCCGTAGAATAAGAAGGCGCAGTACGGATGCAAGGGCCTTGGAAGTTCGTGTTAGCGTTTTTCGGGCAAGGTTGGCCAGCGAGAGTCGCTAGGGATGGGCCGAAGAGGAAGGATGCGAGGGTACTCTTGGGACGGCTGGTTGACCGGAGCGCCGGCATCTCCATTATGACAGAGAAGGGGCCGGCCGCAGAGGGCAAAACCCTGGCGGACCGGTGCAGTTCCATGGTGCTTCGGCTCTCGCACCACGGCGCTGCGCAAACTCTTCGGTTCCCTCTCATTCTCTTCAGCGTTGTGCACGACGGCTGGTCGTGAAATAACGGGGGGCGTCACCGTAAACCTCAAGCGTGCGCGTGGCGACCGAGCTCGAACAGCTCGAACCGAGGCCGTGCTCTTCCAGATCCGAGGCGAGCAGTGCAGAATTGAATAATGGCGGTTACGTAACTCGGAGGAGAAGGAGGAGGAGGAGGAGTAGGGAGGGAGGAGGGAGGAGAAAGAGGAGGAGGAGGGAGGGAGGAGGAGGAAGGAGGGAGGAGGGGGGAGGAGGAGGGAGGAGGAGGAGGAGGAGGGAGGAGGAGGAGGAGGAGGAGGAGGAGGAGTCGGCTGAGCTCGACTGCCGCGGCACGCGCAGAGGACACCACGAACCAACACCAAGCGGCAGTTCGCCCGCGAGCGCGGCCCGAAATCCGGCGCGGCGGCCCCCAGAGCGCGTCGCGGCCTCGCGCGCCGCCTGCTCTCCCTCCCGACCCGGCGACGGACCCGACAAGCAACCCCTCTGGTTGACCCAAAAAGGGGTCCAGCTGAGACGGGGTGGTGCGATAGATTTGGGGCAGTGCAAACGTGTTGGCGCCAGGGAGCTGTACGGCACTGTACTGCAGGTCATGTACAATGGGGGCCCGTCCACAAGAGACCTTCCGCAAGAGACCCGACCCTGAGACCCCAGGACGTCCATTGATGTTTGGTGCGGGAGCGTCGCGCTTTCCACAGTGAAACCATCGGAACCCAAGAAACCCAGGGAACCCTGGAGGCGAGCAGGGTGTTTCTTGGCATGCGTCTCCACTGCATTGCAAGCGAAAATCCAAAAAGACACCTGCGCACCAGAATGCGTTGCAAACCCCACATCTATCGCAACCCCAGTCGATTCCCCTTCCACCCTCCCCCCCGGACTTAAATACCCCCCTTTTCATATTGCAATGTACATATGATTCTGCCGCATCGTCCATCCTAAATCTGAATTCACACTATCCCAGGGTGGCCAGTATCGCCCCCCCGCCATCCTCTGCAAACAATACTATGCGCGCACACTCGTTTTTCAAAAAAATAAATCTTCAAGGATCCCTTGCAACAACAAAAAAACGGGACGAAGTGCACACGCGCGCGCGTCGTCGCGCGCGAATGCCGAAATCCTTCAAAGACCTGCGGTTTCGGAAGGATTTCAAAAACGAGTTCCCAACAAACATACAAAAGCACAAGGTTTCGCAACACGGATTTTCAAAAAAAGCTTAGGCGCGCGGCCTTGCGAAATCTTAAGGAACACTGGTTTTTCAATATTTTCAGAAACTGCTTCCAAATGGGCTTCGCGAGCGCGCGCATGTCGAAATCGTTCGAACGTCCTTGCGCGCGTGCCGTCGCGAGAATCCCTTGCAACAGAAATGTGACGAAGTGCACGCGCGCGTCGTCGCGCGTACATGCCGAAATCCTTCAAAAACATGCGATCTCGGAAGGATGTCAAAATCGAGTGTCCGAAAAACATACAAAAACACAGGGTTTCGCAAACCGAAGTTTCAACAAAAGCGTGCGCGCGCGCTCGTGCGTCGTCGTCGTCTTCGCCGTCCTCCCTCCTCCCTCGTCGTCGTCGTCGTCAACGCCGTCGTCGTCCTCTGTCTTTCCTCGTCGTCGTCGTCGTCCTCTTTGGCGTCGTCATCGTCGTTTCAGTCGTCGTTGTCTCGCCGTGGTCGTCCTTCCTCCTCCGCCGTCGTCGTCGTCGTCGTCGTCGTCGTCGTCGTCGTCGTCGTCGTCGTCGTCGTCCGTCGTCGGCGTCTCGTCGTCGTCCCTCCTATTTCGTCGCCGTCGTCGTCATCGTCGTCTTCGCTCCTCCCTCGTCGTTGTCGTCATCGGCGTCGCCGTCCTCCCTCCTTCTTCGTCGATCGCGGCGTCGTCGTCCTCCCTCCTCCCTCGTCGTCGTCGTCGTCTTCGTTGGCGACGTCGTCGTCGTCATCTTCATTATCGTCGTCGTCGTCGGCGTCGTCGTCGTCGTCGGCGTCGTCATCGTCGTCGTCGTCGTCGTCGTCGGCGTCGGCGTCGGCGTCGTCGTCGTCCGTGTCGTCATCGTCGTCGTCGTTGTCGTCGTCGTCGAAGGCGTCGGAGTCGTCGTCGGTGTCGTCGTAAACGTCGTCGGCGTCGTCGTCGTCGTCGTCGCTGTCGTCGTCGGCGTCGGTGTCGTTGCCCAGTGCCATTTCGTATCTACCGTCACAGTCTTAAGAGGTCTTGCGACCAAGTTGCGGGTGGGAGGGTTGACTAACATATTGCACCACCCCATCTCAGCTGGACCCCCTTTGGGTGAACCAGAAACCTCCGCCCCCAGCCACGAGAGAGACGAGGCAGTCTCGCCTGAAGGGATGCCGCGGCTGTGGAGGAATTCTCCGACGACCCCCTGGCGTCGCGAGCAGGGATCACGCCAAACGGCGCCTAGAGAAACTAAAGAACAAACAACTCAGCTACATGAACATGAACTTCCGGGACTCCGCGCGGACTTTTTTTGGATCGGCGCCGGGCCCCACTTTCTGGCGCGCGGGGTGCGCCGAGGGCCTCGACAGCAGGTTCCAACGCCGATCCGATAAATTCGCGCGACCTCCGAAATTTTCTGAACATGACGATTTGGGTTCCTCGGTTAAAACAAACTGGAACCCAAGGTCCCAAAGAAATGCTTTGAACAAGCAGCCGGTACTCGTTCGGCCCCCCCCTCCCGCACACATCGGTTCTCAACGGCCTCCGGCGGCAAGCAGACCAATGGCCTAGAAACTGTTCGGCCGACTGCGCCCATCGGCACGAGAGTTGCGCGGAGGATGGCAGCACGTCGCTGGCTCGCATGTCTCCGGCCAATTACAATACATTACTCGAGGCAAGCCTTGCTCCCTTCTCACACCATCATCCTCCTATGCCTCCTCCTGGAGGCTTGAAGGTGGGAGAGGAGGTAGGAGGAGGAGGGAGGAGAAAGGAGGCAGTGAGGGAGAGTAAGGGGAGCAAGACTGGGCAGGAGAAGCGAAGAGAGGGAAGTGTGGAGGATTTGTGACTGGAAAGGGGGAGGTTAGGAAGGAGAGGGGAGGGGGAATAGGGAAGAAAAAGAGAGGGGGGAGAGAAGGAGTTGCGAGAAGTCGAGGAGGAGAAGAAGGCGCCTGTGAGACGCCTCGCAAAGGCGCCTGGGAGACGACTCGCAGAAGCGCCTGTAAAATACCTATCATAAGCATCTGTAAGACACCTTTCAGAGCCGCCTGTGAGACGCCGACATAGCACCTCTAAGAAGCGCTTGCAATACACCTTTCGGGGGCGCCTGCGAGACGCCTGCAAAGAGCCTGGCAGACACCACGCAGCGGCGCCTGTAAGACGCCTCCCAGATGCGCCTGCAAAACGCATGTAGGACACCTCAGAGGCACATGCAAATCGCCTCCCAGAGACGCCTGCAAGACGCCTGGTAAGACGCTTGCAGGACGCCTCGCGGAGGCACGTGCAAGAAGCCTCGCAGGGGCGCCTGCAAGACGCCTCGCGAACGCCTCGCAGACGCTTCGGAGACGCCTCGCATATGCGCCTGCAAGACGCTTGCAACACGCCTAGCAGAGGCGCCTGTAAGACGCCTCTAAAGGGCATCGGCGACACCGCTGTCAGATGCCTGCAACACGCCTCGCAGAGGCGTCTGTGAGACGCCTGTAAAACGCCCCGCAGAGGCGCCTGAGAGACGCCTGTAAGACGCCACGCAGAGGCGCCAATAACACGCCTCGCAGGCACACCTGTAAGACACCGCGCAGACGCCTCCCAAAGGCAAATCATACAGGTTGGCTGGAATCAATACCAACGCGGTTGGAATGTGTTCTAGTTGGTTGTACTGTGTCCCATTGCTGGGGCAGATGGGGGCGGAAGGAGGTGAGGAAAAGTGGACGAAGGGGAAGGGGAGAAGGGATGGAGGAAAGGAGGAAGCAGATGGCAACTGGATCGGGATCCCTCCAGAGAAGCAACTTCGAAAATAATAAAAGCAACGGAGACGCGCAAACGGAAGCAACACGATTAGGCCGCGCAGCCGGGATACGGAGCTCGGTCAATTGCACAATCTCGTCATCATCTTGCGGCACGCAATGCCAAGCCTGATGGGGGAAGGAGGAGGAGGAGGAGGCGAAAGAGAAGAGGAGGCGGCGGCGCAAAGTTGTCGGGCGGACGGCGAACCACAACTGACAGAACACATGTCTCGAGGGCAAACTCTGGATACGTGCGACCTAGCGGGCGCACCAAGGAGACGTCGGGTGGACGATGGCCCTCACGGCGGGAACCCCGAGCTGTCTTCGCCCAACCGCGGCACATGGCGAGCTCGACCGCATCAGGCGGGCCATCAGCAATAGAGGCCTCCTAGATGGGGTCCGAGTAGATGGGGTCGGAGGATGGCGCCACATCGACGATACATCGACGATGCATCGGCGATGCATCGGCGATGCATCGGCGATGCACCAGCGATGCATCGTCGACGTCAGCGATGAATCGGCGACGTCGACGTGAAGCAAATCGGGCTCCACATCCAGCCGCATCGGCGATGCATCGGCGATGCGGCGCGCTCCTTCGACCCCATCTACTCCGGCCCCATCTAGGAGGCCTAGAAGCAAGCCGCAGCGACGGGACCCCGAGGCCTGGAGAGGGAGCAGCGGGCGGGGAGCGGCGGCGGCGGCGAGCGGCACCACTCCCGGACGCCGAGCGCGGGGACGAAGGGCGCCAGCCCCTGGCTGCCGTTGCGGCCGCTGGCCTCTGCTGGCTGGGTGGCGTGGGGGGGGGCGGGCGGCTGGCCGGTCTGGCCGGGAAGCGCTGGGGTAAAACGAGGCGAAGATCGGGACAAAGTCGGATCGGGATAACGCGAAACCTCTGAGAATCGGCGGGTTTGGAGGATGTATTGGGCGCCGCGGCCGCTCCAGAGCGTTCCGGAACGCTCTGAGAGCGCTCGGGAACGCTCTGGAGCGATTTATCCCGATCCTGGCCCTGTGTTATGGGGGGGGGGAGGCCGGCTCGGGTGCGGAGGCAGCGAGCCCGACCGGGTGATGCAGGGCCGACGGCTCGGCGGCAGGCCCCCGACAGAGGAGCCCCGTGCTCATAGATGGGCGGGGTCGGCCGTCGGACCCCTTTCAGCGACGAGTGGGCGGGTGGGGGCCGTTGCGTCCCCCACGAGTCTATCTTCTCCTACTCGACGGAATGGAGCGGGGACCAGCGTCGCCCAGAACCGGACACGGCCCCTGCAGATCGCTGTTTCCTCGGGGGCTGGAGTTGCACGCGCCCGGATCGCCGCCGACGTGATCTACTCAGTCCCAGTGTGTTTGCACGAATTCGGCCTTTGGGGGGTCGGTTTCGAGCCCTGGGCCGATCAAAAATGTCCAGGACGAAAACAACTCCGCGGGAATGGGTTCGGGACCTCCAGGGCCGCGCATCGAAAAAGGATCAACACCGTCGGATGTCGGGGAAGCCGGGCACCGCCCCCGCAGACTTGTGCCCCCTCAAAGGCTGGAATCGCACGTACGGCGCCACTTTTCAGAGCCCGTGCGCCTGCTCCTCGCCGTCGCTCGGGCGTCCATTCCCTGCGTTTCTCGGTTTCCCGCGTGTTTCGGTTGGCCCGATGGTCGAGGATGCTCCTCGAAGGTCCTCGCCGAGCAACAGTGCACACGCCCGAGCGATGCCAAGACTCAGGGCCCAAAACTGCCAGCAAAGGGGTTGCCATCTGGACGTCCCTCTGCGAGGTCCGGAAGAACACATCCTAGAGGAGTTTGACGGGCCCCCCGCGGGCCGACGAGAACTGCTGGGGACGAAGAGCATGGTCCGAAGGTCAGGCTCGGGGTCCATGTCCCGTTTCTCGGCGGCTGCCCAACGGGGATCACTGGGACTCCGATCGCCCATGTCTTCGACGAGGCTGACGGCAAGAATCGGCCCCTCATAACTCCAACAGGGCCCCGGGAAGACCCTCATGAAACCGCCGCGTTAAAAAAACAAGTGTTAAGTGGTTCGAAATATGTTCCCGCCGTTTCTGTGACCCCGGAGCGCTTCCAAGGCGGCTGTGTCACTGCATGCGTTTGCGTTCCGTTGTTTCTTTTGTCCCTTCCTTCTTTCCATCCTGCCCCCTCCCTGCTACGGTTATATCATGTATCCTTTTCGTAACTCTTCCTCCTTGCCCCCTGTTCATCACCCCTGGGTTTCGTCTCAATGTCCACAGCCTCTGTCACCCCCACGCGCTGTCAAGGCAACAGTGCCACTTCATGCTTCTACACTGCCTTGATTCGAACAACTCCCCTGGCACGTCTTTCTAGATGGGTTGGTGGGGATACATTTTTCGTTCGCGAGCGCGCAGGAATGCCAGACGCCGTCAAAAAACGCACAGGAGCGAGCTACGCTGCGGCTCAAGTGGACTGATGGGGATACTTTTTGGCTCGCGGCTCCAAGGCGAGGGACAGGGAGCGACCACAACGTCCGGGGCGCATGACGATGTAAATTGGCCTCAGAGGCGAATGCACGTGCCAGGGACAAAATGACCCTCATTCAGACGTGTACTGCGTCGGCAGGATGCCGGCCCAAACATCCCGGCAGGTGGGGACGCAGGCGCGGCGCGACCGGCGGCGGAACGGGGGGGAGAAGTCGCCCTTTCGGCGCCAAACTCCAGCCGAACCGCACTCGGTGAGGTCAGGGGGGGGGGGGGGGGAAGAACGGAATGGGGGAGGGGGAGAGGGCGAAAGCGAACGACTACCACAGGCTCATTGCAGCACCACGAATCAACGATGGTGCGGCGAACGAGGCCTGACTCATCAAGGCTCACTGAATCTGAGGAGTAGCTGATCCGCGCCGAAGCGCCATGCAGTAGAGGAAGACCACTGGTGTGCGCTCACGAAGCTGAGCTACCTCCAGCCAAAGCCAGTGCGTGCACATCGTATCCGACTCTCGCAGTTCGGGGGCAAAACGATGCAAAGTACTGACGGGGGCTGGTTGCAGACTGCTCTGCCGGGGGAACGACCACGAACTGCAGAAGGCTGAACCACTCAATGCAGGGCCGCTCCCTGACGAAGCCAAACAACGGGTGTCACCGAATGTATGGCTGACGGCCGCGCCCGATCCAAAACTGATGGGGATACGCGAAGCGTAAACAAAGCGGGCGGCCCACTACTCAGTGTCAATCGAACCGGTGTAGTAGATGCGGCGCAACATATACTGTAAGGTACGCCTTAAGTGGTGCAGAATACGCGGTGCATTTTCCTAAACGCGTTCACATATTTCACGACCATGCAAACATCCCACCCACCCACCCGCAAATTGGTTTGCAAAACCCATGCGGCGGCGATTGCGGTGGGTGTTTAGCGTTGGCTGGTGCATCCTCGTGGCCGCGCCAGCCCGCGCATGCGCGCGCAGCGGACAGGTCGTTTGGCGCGACCGACGCGGCCACGGTAGCGCTGACCCCTGGGCACATCCCAGCGGGCACCTCAATGCGAATCGGCGGCTTAGGCGGGCGTGGTATTATGGCAACGTCGACACAGGTAGACGCGATGATAATCGTAGCGATGTTGGTGACGATGTTCGACGGCGGCGCGGCCAGTGATGGCGCCGATGCTGATCACGCCGGCGACGATGACGGTGTCCTCGCGTCGGTGGTGGATGTTTTGAAAAATATGTTAAAAAAGGTTCGATATGCGCGCGCGGCCGACGCGCGAGTGGCCCGTATGGTATTCTTTGACACGGACCGTGCCCCCCCAGCACGCGCGCAAGGGCGCGCGAATGATTCCGGCATGCGGCGCTAGAGGCCCGTCTGGCAGAATCCCATGAACATGTCAACAAAAACCGTCGGTTGTCTAAATAACCCGCAGGAGCGCGAGCATATTTTCTTGTGAAAAAAAAGAAAAAGAAATGCAAAACCTAATGGTTGCATATGCTTGTTGGACACTCGATTTGGGAATCGCTACGGAAACACAGGTTTTCGAAAGAGTTCGGCATGCGTGCGCGACGGCGCGCGCGTGCATTTCGTATCATGTGTCGCTTCTCGCGACGGCAGCCCGCAAGGGCGCTCGAACGATTTCGACATGCGCGCGCGAAGCCCGTTTGATAGCATTTGCAATACATCATGAAAGCCCTACGGTTTCTTAATAATTCGCAGGAGCGCGCGCGCACGTTGTTTCTTAAAGAAGAGAGCGCTGCGAAATCCAAGGTTGTTAACCTGTGTGGTGGGGTAATTCGTTGTTAATGTGTTGTGAACGTGTTGGTAGTATATGTGATAATCCGTGCTGCGAAACCCAATGTTGTTAATCGGCATGCGCACGCGACAACGCGCGCCAGTGCACTTCGTCGCCTGTGTTGCATAAGGATTCTTGGAAACTGTGGATGTTTGACAAAACGAGTGCGCGCGCATAATATTTGTTGCAGAGGATGGCGGGGGGGGGGGTCGATACCGGCTCGGCTGGGATAGTACGAACTCATATCTCGGATGGGCAATGGAGCAGAACCATCTGCAAATCGTAAAACGAGACGGGGGGAGAATCATTCTGGCCTCGGGAAGGCGGTGGACTCGTTTTTTTTATGTTTCGAAAGGGCGAACCAACGTAATATACCAAATCGGACATTATCGCTCGTACCACTGCCCCAGATATGATTTCATGTATTACGTCATAATCTGTCAGGAGTCCGCGAAGTAGACGGGTTTGCTGATAAAATTGCGTCATGTGTTGCGCCAAGAGCCCTCGCCTTCTTCAGAACTGTGGGTTCAAGTATTGCCTGCACCGTGAAAGCAGTTGGGCTAGCCCTGTCACATCAGCGGCTTACTGGAAACAGTCGGGTCATGACCGGACACAACATCAACTCGACATCCGATGCAACTGTTTAGAAACGGCATTGAACTGTAACCCAGACGTTTAGAAACGGCGTACAACTAGAAACCTCAGAACTAGAACTACAGCACAACAACAAGCGGCACGTGTGCCATGGCTCTTCCACAAAAGGAAGGGGGGAGGAGGAGGCGGGGGAGGGGGGCAAGAAATCGCCCCTTGGGGCCCAGCAGCGGGGCCGAAATACCAAATAGGGAGGGGGGAAATGGCGTGCGTCGCGAAGCGGAATAAAGTGCTCGGAGCGGAGGGAGCACGGGGCGGAGGTCCCACTGGGGCGCTGGGGGCGCGGAGAGGAGGGGGGCGGAGGTGGTGTGCGTCGCGACGCGGAATAAAATGATCGGGGTCGAGGGGGCACTGAGCGGGGCTCGGGGCAGAGACGGGGCCCACTGGGGCGAACGCGTGGGGAGGGATGGGGCGCGTCGCGACGCGGGTCGGAGGGGGGGCGGGGCTGACTTCGTCGCGACGCGGGATTGTCGGGGCGGAGGGGGCACGGGGCGGAGCCCCCACTGGGGCGCTGGGGACGCGGGAGAGAGGTGGGGGAGGTGGTGTGCGTCGCGACGCGGAATAAAACGTTCGGGGCGGGGGGCAGTGGGCGGGGCTCCCGCTGGGGCGCTGGGGACGCGGGGGGCTCGGGGCAGAGAGCCACGGCGCGGGGGTCCCACTCTGGCGCTGGGGAGGGGGGGGGTGCGACGCGGAATAAAGTGTTCGTGGCGGAGGGAGGGGGCAGTGGGCGGGGCTCCCGCTGGGGCGCTGGGGACGCGGGGGGGCTCGGGGCAGAGAGCCACAGTGCGGGGGTCCCACTCGGGCGCTGGGGACGCGGGAAAGGGGGGGGTGCGACGCGGAATAAAGCGCTCGTGGCGGAGGGGGCAGTGGTCGGGGCTCCTGCTGGGGCGCTGGGGACGCGGGGGGGCCCGGGGCAGAGAGCCACGGCGTGGGGGTCCCACTCTGGCGCTGGGGACGCGGGGGGGGGGGGGGGCGACACATAATAAAATGGTCGGAGCTCTAGACATCCTGTGCAAGAGAATAAAGGGAACCGTAGGCGACAGGATTTCTGTTTTGCTTCATCTGCGGGGCTGTTGGAGTCTGTAGCAAATGGCGAAATCTGGGCGAGAGCCCGACTTGAAAACGCCCCGCCCTCCCTCCTAGTACGGGATTGCCTTCTTGATACGTTGGCGAAGAGCGTGCGAAGCGGTCGCGACAAAGAACTAGTGTTCAGCCCGCCATCCGTGTAACTGGTGAAGATGTCTCAGACGACCGTGCGTGGCAACAGAGCGAGAACCACACTTTGAAAATCACCCACTTTTCATCTCCGGAGCGGTGGCGATCGTCTTATAAACATCTGCGCGGCACTGTGGCGAGTGCCACATCTTGGGCATCACGCGCCACCCATCGGTGGAAGTGCTTGGGATGGTTACGGATGTGCGGGACGCTGGCGCAGGGGGCGCATGTAAGAGACGAGCTGTGCCCCAACAGTGTACAAATTAGGAGATCGTGCGACGCGTGGGTAGATTTGCACGGTGTCAAGACGCTAGCTGCACTTTGAACCAACACCGTCCTCCGACCGAGTAGATGTGATAGACCCTTTAAGGCGAACGTGGGAACGTTAAAGAGACAACCAAGTGTTGAACACAACCCACAGTACATGCATTGTTGGAGATGTTCGGAGATGCTAACCACTGGAGCCTGCTCCGAGGTGTTCAAAATACCTTACCTTGCATGACGAGCCAGGCGAACTAGCGAGTCGAGACGTGTTTGAGATGAATGCCACATCGACCAACGGATTCGTGTATGTCTGAATCCACCGCCCACCCTTCCATCCTGGCCTCCTGGACGTGGTGGTACTCCGCGTGGCTGTGGAGTCCCCGGAAGACGAAGAAGCGCAAGTGGTCGACGTGGGGCAATAAGATGGGCACGCCCATCGAAACCGCGAGCGCCACTTGCCATGGCTGGGAGGTTAACTACATAGGACCTCCTTGAGTAGATGTATCCCCTCTCTCCCACCCTCGCACCGCTTGCGAGGCGCGTCCTGCTAATATGTTGCAATTCTTGCCGTTGCCGCATCAGTCAACCGTCCTCATACTCCTCAAACTCAAGACCACCGGTAATGTTGCCATTGCCACAACCGCAAATCAATCATGAAAGACATCTACATAAACAGAACCCGTTCAAGACCCGAGCGGATTTCTTGGATCGGCGCTGACCCCCCCTTCCCTGCCGTGTGGACCTTGAAACGTCCAGGCTCATGCCGTATCGTCGCCTGTCGGGGGCGTCCAAGAGTGGGGGTCGCAAATCATGCCTGGCCCGAAGCATGTGCTCGAACCATGGGGCGGGGTCAAGGAACGTACTGAGAGACAAGAATAGGGGGCCAGGAAATCGGGTCAGACATCAGACATCATGGCACAGGCCATCACACCTACAGCCCCCACAACTATCACCCCCTCTTTCAATGCCCGACATGGGCACGGGAAAAATGCACACGATGCCCAACAGCAAGGGTTGTCCAAAACCGACAGCGGCCGCTGCTGGGCAAGCGGCCTGTCCCGAGTGGACAGCGTCCACGGCGACACCGACAGCGAATCTTCGTCTGTGCACCCTTCTCTTCCGTACCCACTTCGACGGCGCCGACCCCCGTGCCCCCCCATCCCCCCCCGATTCCTCCCGCCCGCGATCCCGGCTCTGGGCTCCTCTGGGACCTGCCCGACGCCTCGTGGCCGGGCGCCGGCCTCTCTCGCATACAGCTCGTAGAACATGGCCAGGGCGACGTCGTAGGGATACCTCCAGGCCGACCGCGCGGCCCGCTGGCTTCCGAGCGCGAGGCGCGGGCCGATCCATACATCCGCCGCCTGGCGAACCAGCGTCCCAGGACCCCAGCGGGTGGTGGATGTGGGCGTAGTTTGGGCCCCCTGGGGCCCAAACTCGGCGACGAGCGAGGGGGGAGGAAGTGAGAAGGAGAAGGCCTTCTCAGAAAGTTCGGAAGTCCCCCGGCTTTCCGAGAAGTTTTCTGAACACTCCCCGAATACAATAATAAAACAACTTCTCAGAAGGCGCGAGGGCTTCTGAGAAGACCCGGCGCCTTCTGAGAAGGCCTTCTCCTTCTCACTTCCCCCCCTCGCTCGCGGCTGACCAACACACGCAACGAGATCCACCGCCTGCCGGGGTCCCTGCAGCTCGATCCCCCCGGCGGTGGTTGTGGACGGATCCCCGCCTGGGGTTTCGTTTGCAGAGTCGAGGCGCGGCCACGAGAGCGCGGGGGTCAAGAGCCTGAACCCCCAGCCGCCGAGAGGCACGCGCCCCGTGGTGGCATCCCCAGCGAAGGACGTGCCGACAGGTTTTGGAGGCACCTCCTGAGAGACCTTCCTTGCCATCGCTCGAGCGTGCATTTCCAGTGCATTTGTCGGTTTCGTGCGTGCTTGTTTTGCGACATGATCCAGCATGCTCCTTGACGATCCTCGCCGAGAAAAAAATGCCCACGTCCGAGCAATGCCAAGCTTCGTGACAACGGTGAGCAGGCCACTGAGCCCGAGTCGGGGACCCCGAAGCCGCGTCTGAACAGCGAGAGCATAGCTAACAGGGACTCGCCGACGGTGGGCCACACCGAGCGGAAGTCGGCCAGCTCAAGACGGTTCTCGACCACGGGCGTGCCAGCGCCGATGCTGAGCTGCACTGCGAATGAAGTACAACCTGGCAAGACTTGTGGCCTAAGCCTTAAGCAGGGAACGGCCTGCCCCCGGCACTCCTAGGCTGCCGCGAAATAGAATCTTCATTAAAAAAACGGTCTACGAACAGCGACATCTTATCACACAAAGCCGGACGATTTTAACACGACGGTCTCAGCCAGACATGCTCTGAGAACAGATCGTGGAATACACAACAAGTTCTGCAACATGTCTGATACGCCCGTAAGCAGGAGGCAACGCCTCGCAACTGCTTGACGGAACCAGGCGCGACAACCACAGGTTAGCTCAAAGGAAAAACATGGACCACCGCCACCGAGAACCCATCGGTGAGGGATCGAACGCTGAGCGGAAGAACGCCAGAGCGCCGTCTTGTACTGGGCGACGCTCGGGCGTACCGCCGCCCAAGGGTCGGCTCCCTACTGATGGGTTCTCGGTGGTGGTGGTCCTCGTGTATCCTCTGATGAGCCCGTCCGAAGCCAGGGACTGATCTTGCAGAAGAAGGAACAACGCCACAAGAGCATAAACTTCTGGCGCTCCGCGCGGACTTCCCCCCCTCCTCCTCCTCCTCCTCCTCCTCCTCCTCCTCCTCCTCCTCGAGCGTACCCAGACGAGGAGGAGGAGATCGAGAAATCCGTGCGGAGCGCCAGAAGTTTATGATTGTGGCGTTGTTCCGTCCTCCTCTCTCCTCCTCCTCCTCCTCCTCCTCCATCCTCCTCCCCTCCTCTCCTCTCTCTCCTCCTCCTCCTCCTCCTCCTCCTCTCCTCCTCCTCCTCCTCCTCCTCCTCCCCCTCCCCCTGCTCCTCTCCTCCTCCTCCTCCTCCTCCTCCTCCTCCTCCTCCTCCTCCCCCTCCCCCTGCTCCTCTCCTCCTCCTCCTCCTCCTCCTCCTCCTCCTCCTCCTCCTCCTCCTCCTCCTCCTCCTCCTCCTCCTGAGTGACTCGGTGACGCGGGCAGCGTCGAGCGATCGCCCCGACCTCCCCTCGATAATTACCCCCCCCACACCAGCCCAGCCCGTGGGGAGGGCAGAGCGACGACCGAGGGGAAAGCAGCGAGACAAGAGGGACGGTCCACGAAGGATGATGATGCACCTCCCTCTTCTCCCCCCTCCTCCTCCTCCTCCTCCTCCTCCTCCTTCTCCTCCTCCTCCGTCGCCCTCCTCCTCCTCCTCCTCCTGCTCCTCCACCTCCTTCTTCCTTCTTCCTCCTCCTCCTCCTCCTTCCGCCTCCTCCACCTCCACCTTCCTCCTCCACGGAACGGGGGCAGAGCACTCGGTGCTGAACATTATAGTGCACTCAGGCTCTTCGACTGGTTGTCCAAGGCCGCGCAGACGACGCCTGCCGCGCATCCAACGATCGACTGATCGTCCGCATGCCGTGCTTAGGTGTTCCGCAAAGTCTCCCCAAAGCAGTCTGCAAGAGAAAGTGCGGCGTCCAGGAAGCCTTCCCGCGGCCAGCAAGGGGCACCTCTGCTCTTCGCCCCCGCTCGCCGGGGGGGCGCCTCGCCTGGGCGTCCTCTGGACCTGCAGCTGCGCGCCCGCGCCCGAAGCCGACATGTTGTGAGCATCCACGAGTCTACGCTGCAGCTCGGGTCCGCGGACAAGGGCGACCGACGCCCTCACTGCAGCGCGCCGCACATTACACTTAGGTCAGGTATGTCTTCCTACAGGCGGATGGTGGACGAAAAACCAAAATGGCCCCACAATATTCACAACATCCAGAAGTTGTCAAACGTAGTCGAAAAATCGTCCCTGGACTATGTTTTAAACTATGTTTGAATATTCCTCCTGTCGAACATTACACGGCTCTCTCGACGTCGCCCGAGCCCCCCCTCGCCGCGGCCCCCAGCCCGCGAGCCCTCATGGAATGAGGTATCGCGGGCGGCCGCTCGGCAGGGGACCTGGCGCGCCACCGCCGCCCCCGGCAACGTCTGGGCTGCTCGGGCATAGCGCGGCATGCTCCGGAGGCCAGGCGTCTGGAAGCGCGCGAGGTGCAGCATGTCGCTGCCCCGCTCCTTCTCCGACCCATCGCCTGAGCCTAAGGTCAGCTCGGGTGTGTTCCCCTACAGGGGGATTTTGGGCGACAAGATCAAACATACTCCCAAAAGTACGCCCAAACGCTAAACCAATACTTTCAAGCATCGTCCCCCGACCACACTGCTTTACTATTCTTGAACATCCCCCCGGTGAGGGACAGGCCCGACTTAAACCCAAGGCGACGTCCAGATCGGAGTCTGGGCCGACGGGAAGATCGACAGGATCGACGGGCAACCCTGAGCTCAGCTCAGAGCCACCCTCCGAGCCCACCGCGCCGAGCCGCCTCGCCTTGAGAGGCGAAGGTGACTGAAGGGGAACTGGGACACACAAATAAATACACACAAATAAAAAGTTCCCCCATATTTTCTCATATTTTCTGGGTTTCTGTCTTCCCCCCCACCTCCCATAGTTTCCCATATTTTCTTGGAAATCGACGATTAATTGTGTCTGTGTGTTTTTTTCCCTCCTGAGTGACACATCTGGCAGCTCTGGCGTTGCAGCCCCGCCGATCGGCGCCCGCGCCGGAGGCGGCGCCGCCTCCGGCTCGGGGGGCGACGGGGCCAGGCGGCACAGCGAATCGAGCCCCTCCGCGCGGATCGCGCTGCTGCTGGCCACCGTTGGCCAAAATGGCTCCGGGCGCGGAGAACAGTTCACGCTCAAGACGGGCTCCTCCTGAGTCGCCTAACTTTAGGTCGGGCGTGTCCCCCTACAGGCGGATTTTGGCCGAACGCTAAAAAGTACACCACAGTATTGAAAAATACACGAAAATCATATAACAAAACGTCGCCAGACTATTTTTGACTATTTTTGAATATTCCCCCTGTAGAGGGACAGGCCCGACTTCAGCCTAACTTCAGGGCCCGCGATGCGCGAAGCGCGGTTGCCTTCTCTCCCTCGCGAGATCGCCCTGTGAGAACAGCAGCTTCCCGGCCCGGGCCGCAACGCGCGAAGCGCGAAGATCTTCGCGCCCCTGGGGGGCGGGCCTGAGTCTGAACGTGCGCGCGTTTGCGCTTTGCTCTGCTTTTGTTGTTTTTGTTCACGCTCTGCGTGTGTTGCGCTTTACTTCAGATTGGATCTCGCTTTCTCTTGTGTGTTGGAATGCTGGAGCTGTTTTGCATTGTCTTCCGAAACAAATTGCGCTGCGATGCATTGTTGGCGCATTGGCCGTGCCGTGCCGCAGTGGCTGAACCCTTAATGAGCTGGCCAGCTCAGTCAAGCGCCCTGGCCACGCGTGCCTGCGAAACTGGAGGGCACCAAGGCCCCCCCTCCGACCCCCCCCCGGCGCCAGAGCACCAGAGATGGGCCGAGATAGGCGGAGGGCGAGATGGAGGAGGAGGAGGAGGAGACGGACGCCCTGATTTCCCGTAGTGTCTGGCCCTCATTGCTTCACCATGCCTTCCGACCAGCGCGAGGCCTCGCGCGAATGCCTCTGAAACATCGGCCTCGTCTCCCACGACGATGTCCTTCAGTGCCTTTCAAACGATTGCCGTAAAGGCCCCACGTGCGACGGCGAGCTGCCATTCTCACTTGCTTCATCGACAATTCAATCGACGAAAATGTCCAGGACGTGCCAATCGCCATCTGAGACTGAGACATCTGCTATGTGTGCGGCGCGACCCATGACACGCGCGGCTGGAAGTCGCGGGGCCAAAAAATGCGGATGCCGCTGCTCCCCCGACCTCGGCTGTCATAGGGCGCTTTTTAGCACACATTTCCAATACAATCCAGCCGTGGCGACGCGGACCCCCCAGGATGAGCACCGGTATCTGTATGTTCCGCCCTTTGTAATTCTGAGGCCGCCAGAAAGACTGCGACTGCGACTGAAAGCTAACAGCTCGAGCCGCTAGAGACTACGGCCGCTCAGTGAACCCCCCAGTACCTGGAGACACTCGCCTGGAGACAAGTTCCAGGACTTAGCCGCCCAGGACCTGGTTAGGGCTCCATGCTAGATTCACCGCATCGTTTCTGGACGGGCTACTGACGACCCCGACGACGAACGACGACGGCGACGGCGACGAAGACGACCCCGACGACGAATCGAACGACAACGACGACGACGACGACGATGGGCGACGAGGGGAACTTGCGTTACGGACGACCTTCAAACCACACATGACACATCAAATGCATGATCCCCCGACGGCGACAACGGCGACGACGACGGCGAGGGCGAGGGCGACGGCCACGACGGGATGATAACATCAACGCGTTGCGTGAAATTAAATTAATGGAACTGATGGTTGGGACTGCTGGTGTTGCTGGTATTGATGGTAGTGTTGATGGTTTGCAATTACTGGCATTCACTGTTCCGTGGTTGTTGCATTCCTGGGGTTCATGGTCGGGCCTCCGCCTGCTGGAGGCTCGGAACTCGGCAAACCAGATCTCTCAATGGCCGGAAGCTTGAAGCGCCCTGCGAACACCCACTGCCTCCCAGGTCAGGCGTATGTCGATCCATAGTGTCCAAATCCAGATGTCAACCCATACATCGACGCTCGTGACCCCCTCCGCGGTTGGGGCACATGACGACCGCGCGGAATGCGGCCAGCTCGCGGTATGGCAGCCCCCCGAGCTCGTCCAGGCCCAAGAAGCAAGGCCTCTCGGGTCGGAAGGAGGGGCGGGGGGGTAACAACAACGGATAGGCGGCCCGTGAATCAGCCCACTGATCCGCATCCTAGCCGCCATGTGCTGAGTGGAGTGTTTTCATTTTCAGGGCCAATCGAAAAACAATGGATATCTTCAAGGTGTGCACCCAACCCCTATTAACAAGGAGCACTCGGGGATTGGTGCGTTGTCGACAGACTCTATTTCAGTAGTTTGCTTTCGCTGTTGCGTGACTTGTCTTTTCTGGAGGTAAGTTTGCCCCAGGCAGGCCAAGACGGCCCAACGAGGCCCCCAAGAGGGCCACAAGACGGTCGAAGAAGGCCGCGAGTCGCCCAAAGACCGCGCCTACACCCCAAAGATGGCCTCAAGACGGCCCAACACGCCTCAAGAGAGTCCCAATATCAAGCCCAAAAGGGCCCAAAGAACCCAAGAGGCCAAAATCAAGTACTTGCATCGGTGTTTCAACCATGCTAGCGTGCTCGCCTCTCCAGGCTCCCGTCGCTTCAAGACGGCCCGAGAGGCCCCCAGCATCGTCCCAAGAAGGCTCCCCAAGCGAGTCCCTAGACGGTCTAAGATGGCCCCAAGGCGGCCCCCAAGACTGCCCCAGAAGGACTCAAAATGCCCTAAGAGGAGGAGCTCGAACTTCCATTCCGAGACCTCCACCTCAAGCTGACCGCGAGACCACCAACAGGCCCACGACAGGCCTCCAAGAAGCCATAGTCAGGCCTCGAGAGGCTTCCAAGGGGCCCCGCGCGGCGTCCGAGCGGCCTCCCAACTGTCCCCCACAGGCATCCACGAGGCCTCTGACTCTGACCTACAGCCCAGGCGCGGTGGCGGGATGGGCCCGAGGCCACTAGATCCGCCGCATCCTGTGGCATCCCGCAGGGGCGCTGCACGGTCTCCCCCCGGGGCCGTAGGCGACCCGAGGAGGAGAAGGAGGAGGAGGAGGAGGAGGAGGGACCGAGGAGGAGGAGGGGAGGAGGAGGAGGAGGAGGAGGAGGAGGAGGAGGGAGGAGGAGAGGAGGAGGAGGAGGAGGAGGAGGAGGAGGAGGAGGGAGGAGGAGGGAGGGAGAGGAGGAGGAGGAGGAGGAGGAGGAGGAGGAGGAGGAGGAGGAGGAGGGAGGAGGAGGAGGAGGAAGGCCCTTCGGAGAAACCCTCCAAGGGGTGCACGGCGTGCTAGGTCTTGCAAAAAGTTCCCAAGTGGGTGTCTCAGACCATCCCGCTGGCCAGCGGTCTCCAAGAGATGCACCCTGGACTGCCAAGATGACCAAAGATGGCCTCCAAGAAGGTCCCAGATGCCTTCAGGACTGCCACGATGACCAAAGATGGCCTCCCCACGATGCCTCCAAGAGACGGCCAAGATGGCCCCAAGACGGCAAAAGATGTGCTCCAGGCGGCCCAAAGGCCCTCCGAGATGCCCCACGAGGGCTGAGAGGACTTCCAGGAAACCCAAATCAGTGATTCCCCGTGAGTTCCCCAAACAGTGCTCGCAAGTAGGGGATGCCACTTCTTAGAGGCCGCCTAGATGGGGTTCGGGTAGATGGGGTCGGAGGATCACGCCGCATCGCCGATGCATCGTTGATGCATCGGCGATGCATCAGAGGTGCATCGGCGATGCACCGGCGATGCATCGTCGACGTCGGCGATGCATCGGCGATGTCGGCGTGGGGAAACACGGGCTGCACGTCGAGCCGCATCGCCGATGCATCGGCGATGCGGCGCGATCCTCCGATCCCATCTACTCCGACCCCATCTAGAAGGCCTATCTTTCTCTTCTCAAGTGACTAGCCCCGATGTCGGTCCAGCCCACTTACGGCCGATCGTCGCCGCCCATCGCAACCGTCCGTCACCGCCACTTGCACCGGGCCCCGGTGTCGATTTGGCCAGCTTGTGGCCGCCCATCGCCGCCGTCGCTGTGCACTGCTTTGCATTACTTTGCATCACATCGCATTGCTTCGCACTGCTTTGCACTGCTTTGCACTGCGTTGCGCTGCTTTGCATCGCCTATTGCGTTACACTGCATTGCGTTGCACTGCATTGCGTTGCACTGATTTGCATTGCGCTGCACTGCGTTGCAGAGCATTGCGCCACATAGATTGCACCACATGGATTGCACCATCTAGATTGCGCCACATAGGTTGCGCTGCATGACTGTAAAGAATCATTGTTCGGGGTCCAAGCTGTGTAACATGTTTAACTGAGTTTAGCGTTATTTCGGGCTCCCGATCCTCCAAGGCGGCCCCATTGGCCCCCAAAGTCGCCCCCAGACGTCCCAAGAGGCCACCGAGAGGCCCGCAAGACAGACCAAGAGGGCCCCCAGGCTGCCAATGAGGCCCACAATACAGCCCCAAGATGGTCCCTTAGGACCTCCAAGACAGCCCTCAAGCGGCCTACGAGAAACCCACGACTGCCCAGAGAGGTCCCTCAGAGCCCCCCAAAGGCACCCAAAGAGGCCCCCAGGAGGCTCCACCAGGAGGCCTCACCAAGAGGCCCCCAAGAGGCCCCTCAGAGGCCAACAGGAGGCCCCTCACGGGCCCCTGGGAGTCCCAGGAAGCCCGCAGGAATCCCTGAGAGGGCCTCAAGAGGCCTCTTCTTCCTTCTCCTCCTCTGGGCTCTCCACCCGCTCCTCCTTCTCCTCCTCTACCAAGTGTTCCCCCCACGGGGCTCCACAACGGCCGGGGGAACACGCAGGTCCAACAGCGTCACCAGACTTCGGCCCAACGTTTGGACGCACGGGCGCTTCTAGAGTCCAGAGCGCAATGGGGGCGGCGGTGGTTCGCCGCATGCGTCTGCGATTGCTGCTCTCTCTGGCGCCCACCCGCCCAGCCCACATCCGCTCACACAGGTCCCGAGACCCCATCCAGGGACCACACTTGCCGATTTCTCGACTCGGAACCAGCCGTGGCAACGACACGCCTTCAAGGAAAACAAGCCCTCATTCGATAAGACCCTGCGATCCCACGTCGCGAATAAGTACAAAATCGCGACCAATCACAACTGAAGCTCTGAATCTCACCTCTCTGCAACATTCCTCGAGCTCGATCGATCCGTGAGGTTCGCGGGCCCAGTAGAGGGCGACATCGCCATGAGTGAACAAATTGCGACGCGAGGGTCTCGGGGGACCCCCCTTTCCCAGGCCCCCCACACCGACTGGTTCCAGGAGATAACTCGAGCCGGGCCCCAGGTGGCAGTTCTAGGGCGAGGAGAACAATGCACATGCACCGATCCTGGTAAGGCCCATCCTTGACCCAGGATCGGTGCATATGCTTTCCTGGCGACTGTAGGAGGGCGTATGCACCGATCCTGGGCTCAGGATGGGCCTGGCCAGAATCGGTGTATGTGCATAGTTCTCTTTCCTCTAAGTTCGGGATAATTGCGGCATCACTGGAACGCCCGTGGCGAGGTGCGGCTGACGGGAGTCCTCCCAGGTCTCGAAAACCTTCGCCCACCTGCTAAAAAACATAACAGCAACCCTTCCGAACATAACCCTGAACACCCTCGCCAAAACACTTCCCTCCTCAGCCTCCATCGAAGCTTGACAGAAACGCTTTCGCAAAACGCTCCTCAACGACCACCGGTGATGCACTCCACACGTGCCCGCGGCACCGCATTCCGAGCGCATCTGGGCGGAATCACGCATCGACGCCCAAAAGCAAACGAACGCATCTGGCGAAACGCGCGCCGAGGAGCGAAACCCAGCTGGGACCACACAGGCGCACCCGCGTACTGCCCGTCCAGCGAACCCGTGCAGAGTTCCTCCGCCGGCTTGCCCGGGTCGGCGTTCTCTCGGGCCCGTCTTTCGAGGCATCCCAAATGGGCTCCGCGTAGACCCCAGGACCGTCCAGCATCGCCGACACACCGCCGATGCCTCGGCGATGTCGGCGACGTCGGCGTGGACACGTGCTTCCAGCCTCGAAGATTCAGTCGGGCTTGTCCCTTTACGGGAGGAATCTTCAACAATAGTTGAACATTAGTCTGGGGACGATTCAACGGTGGACAAACCTCCCTTTAGCAAACCTCCCCTTAGTGAAAACGGCCTGGGACCGAAACCGACGGACCTGGACCCGCAAAAATGACGGCCGCGACGCCGTCTCGCGAACCGAAAACGGCCAATTCCTTAACCGGCGTGGCAGGGTAGGAGGTCTGTCCACCCCCGAACGATGAATATGTTTGATGTGTTTTGTTGTATATTTCTCGTCCAAAATCCGCCTGTAGGGGGACACGCCCGACCCAACTCTAAGAGGAACCAAAAACTGCATTAGCAGAAGCTGTCGGAACTCCGAGCGGACTTCTCTCGGCTCGTCGCTGGGACCCCCCAGCGCCGATCCAGGGGCGCGCGCGCGCCGGAGGCGCCGCTCCGGGGAGCCCGGCGCCGATCCGGGGAAGTCGAATCGGCCCTCTCGATCGATTCCCTCTCGATGGATTCCCTCGAGCTCGATCGATATTCCCTCTCGATGGATTCCCCCGATTCTCTCTCGATGGATTCCCTCTCGATCGATTGCCTCGAGATGCTCCCATGGATTCTCTCGACCTTCGATCGATGCTTTCGATCCAAGGTCGGCCCTCTCGATCGGTCCCCTCTCGACCGATCCCCTCGATCTTCGACCGATGATCTTCTCTTCGATTGACCTTGAGCAGCGACAGGCCGTCCCTGCTTCCTGCGGGACTACCACGACATGCTCTCCGGACCCAAACACTGTTCCTAAGGCATCGGCCCGATGCCTCAAAACAACACAATATCTCAGCAGAACTGTTCTGAGAACCTTTCGCGCAAGCCACACAGGGCTCTTGGAACCTTCTTTGGTGGGCCTGTAGAAGGGGGAGACCACGGGGTGCCGATACCGCTGCTCCCCAGACCTCTCCTGGGGCGCGTTCTGACCAGGATTTCGAGGCGAATCGAGCGGTGGCGACGACGGAGGCCAAGGAGGCCCAAAAAGGGGAAAACGAGGGGAGAGTAGAGGTATGGGTACCTTTTCCTCCTCTGAGGCCTCTGGGCAAGCCAGGACGCTTCGCCACTGCTGGCAATTTGCTGCTCGTCGATCGCTGCTCTCTCGGGGGCGCGCAAACATGGATTAGCGATCCATGGATTTGGCGCGCGGTCGCCGCATCCATGGATCGGGGGAGGTGCCCTCCCCAAAATGCGGCCGGTGCCGCCTCGATGGGCGGCGGAAATCCGCGATTTCTCATAGAAACGGGACCCGTCGCTAATCCGCGCCCCCTTGATCCATGTTTGCGATCGCCTGAGTTCAGGTGAAGCCCTGGTTGAGAAGCATGCAACGTGCTGACGACATCACGAAGCACGGGCTAGGATGGACCCTGGAAGGGGTGCGGGGGCCGGTGTACGCGTCCAACTCTGTCGAAATGTATCCCCAAACCCCTCCTGGGGCCTTGCATCCTTTGAGCAAGGACCGACCGTCCCGGCATTCCTATGGTCCTACCACGAAGTGTTCTTAGAACCCCAAAAATGTTCTAAGAACAAAAGCAATGATCTTAGAACATACACCCGATGTGCTAAAACAAGACAGACTCCGCCCAGAAATGTTCTGAGAACATTCCGTGGGACACGTTCTGAGAACAAAGCGCTCTCAGAACACTGCTTGGCGGGACTGTGGGCACGCCAGGACGCTTCGCCACTGCTCGAATCCTGGGGGCCCTTCTTGGGGCCTTCCGTCCTTCCGTCCGTGCCTGCCATCGCCCGGGGCCCTCGGTGCCCGACTTCCTCGCCCGGCCCGCGGGGCCTCGGGCCCTCGCACTCCTCCGGCGGGGGCCTCGACCTCGGGCAGCCCGCCGCCGCGGCGGCCCCCTCCCGTCGCCCAGCCTTGCGGCAGGCCCGGCGAGAGGCGCCGCCCTCGGGACTGGCCTCCTCCTCCTCCTCCTTCGTCTCCTCACTCCTCCTCCTCCTCCTCCTCCTCCTCCTCCTCCGCAGTCCCACAGACTGAGAGGAGGGAGGGGCAGAGCCCGACACCAGTGGAGGAAACGTCTGCACCACCTCTGGGCTGCGCACCTCTTGCCAGGAAGCGCTCGGCCGCAGCACCTGCAGGACACCGTACCGACTGGCGCAGCATTGCGGAGCACACTGCTAACCACGACGATGAAGGCGATACTCTGTAGCATGATGTTGCATTGCTCACATGCGTTGCATGCCATGCCCGGAGCCTTGGAGTCATGTTCCTGTTTCTGTGTTTGCCCACGCGCTTCGACGTATGGCTTCGCGTACTCCTCTCGCGTACGATTTATAGGCTCCAAGGAGACGACAATCCTTGGGATGCCCCCCTCGGAAGCTGGGGGGTATCTTCGAGATCGGCGGTGTCAATCATGGGGACCATTGAAGGACAAATCTGGAAGAGGGTGAGTCTGGATGAGGGAAGATCGAGAATCTCTACGAACCGGCGGTCTGGAGGACATATTGGACGCCGCGGCCGTTGCACAACGCTCAGGAACGCTCTGAGAGGATTCTGGATCGCTCTGGAGTGATTATCCTCGTCCTGGGCCTGCCTGATCATAATCGAAGCTTCAAGCTGCAATCCTGATGCGTATAAAAAGTCTGGATGGCTATTGTCTATCACGCTGGAAAGTCGGGGTTGTCTGGGACAGACAGCAAGCCAGACCTCCAAAGTATATAACCATTGAACCTCAACGAAGGCAAGATGAGGACACACTCAAATCATAACGAATCAAACAACTCTGAGACTCGGCGGATCCGGTGGACGTATCGGAATTCCGAGAGCGATACCTGTAGGATGTAGCTGTCGGGAGGATTTATCTGGAGGGTAAGGCTATGTCGGGAAGATATGGCACCAACACCTGGCGAGTCTGGAGGGTATGTCGGGAGCTGCGGCCGAGGCAAAGCGCTCAAAAACACTCTGAAGGCGTTCCGGAATGTCCTGAAAGGTTTTATTTTTGTGGATGCCATGACAATGGACACTCTGACAATCCGATCATTGAAATAAAGATGCGTGTAAAGGTGATGAACAAATGTTCTACAAATGTTGAATACATATATTTACATGTTTAAGACATGTTGGAAACATGTCTCAGACATCTGAACAGTATTTGGCAACACGCTTCCTCTCCGTGGAACGACTTCCACAAGTTTATCCTCATCCTCGGGCTGCCTGGAGTACATCTTCTCAGGAGGGAGGAGGGAGGAGACGACGACGACGACGCAGAAAACTACGACGACGAAAACGACGACGACGACGAAAAAGACGACGACGAAAACGACGACGACGAAAACGACGACGACGAAAAAGACGACAACGCCTGCTGGGGCCCTCGCCAGGCCCCCAAGGCCGTCCGCAGGCCGGGCCCAAGGCAAAGGGCCGGAGAGCTTCCGAGGACCCAGTGCTGACACCGTCGAGTCATCGGAGGAGGAGGCAGAGGGAGAGAAGGGAGAGGAGGGAGAGGAGGAGGAGGAGGAGGAGGAGGAGGAGGAGGAGGAACAGCAGGAGCAGGAGTAGGAGTAGGAAGAGGAGGAGGTGGAGGAGGAGGAGGAGCTCTGGGTTTGTGCTGGGAGGCACGTCTGGGCAGGGTTTCATGGAAGCGTGCGTCTAATTTTGGTGGTGCGCACAAGGGGGCAGGCCTCTTAAGGAGGCTGCTTCTTAGAATGCGCCGCAGTTGCATCTACAGATAAGGCCCGCGCCTTCTAAGAAGCAGGGGTGCTTCCAAAAAGCCCTCCTCCCTCCTCCCAACCCCCCTCTGTGCGTGGCCGATAATTCAGGTTGGACGAAGCCACGTAAAACCACCAACTGTGACCGATGGAGCGGGACTCAGCGGAACTAGGCCCAATTTAGCACGACAGTGGTGTCATTAGTTACGCGATTGGCTGAGCACATGTTACAGGACTGCGCGGAGCAATCAGCAAACCTTGGCCACCCTCGAACGCACCATTATCATGACCTGCTTGCTTCTCTGAGATCTGCATGGTGGCCCTTAACTGAACTGGTAGCCACGAATCGGCAGCGTCTACCACCGAGCACGCCGAACCAAAGCTCCAAACGAACCGGTCGGAAACGGACTGATCTTAAGTCAGGCATGTCCCCCTACAGGCCGATTGTGGACGACAAATTAATAATACCCAAAGAATGCCCTAACAATGCTCAACCTCAACAGTGGTCAAAAAGTAGTCCCCAGAATACGCTTGACCATTCTTGACTCTTCCCTCCCCCTGTAGAGGCACAGGCCCGACGTAACACTAATCAGCCCGAACCGACGCAAAGAGCCCCAACCGGCCCAGACGGCCCACCTGAGCTTGCCGGCCCGCAGGCCCCTCCCAGGCGCTTTTCCTGGGCGGCCCGCAGGCACATCCGAAGTCCGACGTGGGCGACATGGGCGACATGGGCGAGGTCGCGCGCGCCGCAGGGACTCTAAAAGTGCCTTCGGGGCGGCCCAGGGGTGACCAAAAAATGCCAGAGTTTGTGTGCCAGCGCATTTTCTTTTGCTGCGAGCCGGACCGGCCTCCACCAGCCTCCCCCGGGCCATCCAGGGCCCCCCCCAGGACCCCCCATGGGCGCCCCAGGGCGCCCGCAGGACATCCCCCCCAATGGCCCGCAGGGCTCTCCCCAAGACCTCCTCCAAGGACCACCTCCCAGGACCTCCTGCTAGGATCCTGCTCCACCTCTATCTTCTCCTGCTCCTCCTGCTGCTTCTCCTCCTGCTCCTCCTCCTCCTCCTCCTCCTGCTCCTCTTCTCCCTCCTTCTCCTCCTCCTCCTCCTCCTCCTCCTCCTCCTCTCTCTCTTGATCCTGGTTGTCCGCGTCGTTTCATTATACGTGCCTCTTCGTCCACTTTCCCGTCCTCCTCCTCCTCCTCCTCCTCCTCCTCCGTCTCCTCCTCCTCCTCCTCCCCCTCCTCATCCCTCTCCCACCTTGTCCGTCGCCTCGTCAGGCCCAGAGGGGGGCCCGAAAAGGTTCTTGGGGACCCGAATAGAACCGGCCGAACCGGCCTGAACGACCATACCGAAACCGTACGGGCCAGAACTGGCCCGTCGCCGAAACCAGAACCCGCGCAACCGAACCTGCCCGCCGCCGAACTTGCCCGAACCGACCCGCACTGGACCCTTCGTGGATGTATAGTCCCGGGGAGGCACCATGAGGTCGGGCACGTCTCCCTGCAGGGGGATTTCGGACGAAAAACATGAAATAGTCAAAACCGCTCAAAAATATTCAACAACAAAAAAAAACTATGTTTCGAGATTCCCCATGTCGAGGGACAGGCCCGACTGCAGTTTAGGCCCAGGGATGCACCAGCGCTCCCAGGGGAAGGACTTAGGTCATCACCCAGCGCTCCGCGCCGTGCGCTTCGTGCTACGCAGAATCAGTTTCGCGTCCTCGCGTGTCTCTTGGAAACAAGCGCTCCACCTTCCCAGCCTGGATTTCTACTCTGGGTTTCTTAATCAGCGTCGGGGGGTACCCCCTCGACGGGGGCCAACCTCGCCTCGTCGTCGCGCCGCGACGGGGGTTTGAGCGCCTTCGGCGTGCGGTGGCTACCTGCGACGGGGGTCGATGTGGGGCTGTCGGCGGGGGTGACGCCCCCCGACACTGATAAAGAAACTCGTAGTAAGTAGCGGAACGAAGCCATCTTCGATTCGACATCACGCAAATCACAGCTGGCAGCAAAAACTGAAACGCCGGCTGGGAGTTAGAGGGGGGAAGAATAATCCCGCCAGCCCTTTGGGCTTAGGTGGTCTAACGATATCATTATGTTTTTCTCTTCCACAGCCCTCTTCCCTTCGGGAAGGGGTACCCTCCCCCACCTCCCGGGGTGGGGGGTGGGGGGGCGAAGTGTCAGGGCGCCCGAGATGGCCCAAGATGGCTCCAAGAGGGCGTCCGGTGCTCCAAGATGGCCTCCAAAATGGCTCAAGATAGCCGACGGTGGTATAAGATAGCTTCCGACATACCTCCAAGAAGCCCGACGAGGACCACAAGGCGGTTTCAATTGCTCTCGGAGCTCCCTCAAGACCCCACCCAAAAGGCCAAAATCATTCAAAGAACTACGGAAAATCAGTGATTGTTGTTTTCTCGCCTTTTCGCTTCCGATGCGCTTTTGAGGCCTCAAGATTTGCCCCACGACCCAAGAGAGCCCCAAGAGGGGTCCAAGAGGCCCCAGCCCAAGATCTACCCAAGAGCGTTCCAAGAGGCGATTTTGATGACCCTGGGGGGGCAAGGCAAATCGGCACCCCCCCTCCCCCGCTTGATCGATGGCCTGCAAGATGGCCCCAAGAGGCCATCCAGGGCTCCCAGGGGATCCCCAAGAGGGCCCCAAGACGGCCCCGAGACCCCCCAAAAGAGCCCCAATAGGACCACAAGATCCCCCAAAAGAGTCCTAATCGTTTGGCGGCGCAAATCTGCGGTTTCCCGTGGAAGCGGGACCCGTCGCTGATCCACGCCCCTCTGATCCATGTTCGCGATCGCCTGAATCCACAGACAAGGCACGCGCCTGCTGAGAAGCAGGGGTGCTTCTGGAAAGCCTTCCCCCCTCCCCCTACCATCGGCGGTGGACAAACCTCCCTTTAGTAAACTTCCCCTTAGTGAAAACGGCCTGGGACCGAAACCGACGGACCTGGACCCGCAGTAATGACGGCCGCGACGCCCCCTCGCGAACCGAAAACGGCCAATTCGCTAATCGACGTGTCAGGGTAGGAGCTCTGTCCACCCCCGAGGGTGCTTCTGGGAAGCCTTCCCCCCTCCCCCTACCATCCCTCTGCGCGCGGCCGAGGAGGGGTCCAGGCCTCTGGGGCTCCACGCCGTGTCAGGGTCCGCCACCTCCTGCTTCTCCTCCTCATGCTCCTCCTCTCTGGAGAGCTGCTGCCCCCCCCCGCCTCCCTTTCGTCCCCCTTCCTGCGCAGCCTATTCTTCAGCTCTCTTCAGCACCCCCGCCCCCTCCTCCACCTCCTCGCCTCTGCTGGCTGCAGGGACAAAACAAGGAATCAGCATCATGCGCGAAAACGCGGACGTCCACGCCGACTCTTCTGGACCAGCGCTGTGCCTCCCTCCCCGGCGGCGCTGGAGGAGCCGCCAGCAGGTGGTCCGGACCCGATCCAAGAGCCTCACGCAATTTATTATGGACGCCCGAGATGGGTACGGACAAAACTGGGTACGATGCCCAACAGCAGACGATGTCCAAAACCGACGGCGGCCGCTGTTGGCCTGGGGGGGGCCTTCTTTCTCAAATGGACAACGTCCGCGGAGGCACCGACAAAGAGTTCTGCTAAGTATGAACAAGATGTGCTGTCGGTCTTTACCCTTTGTTCCGAACCAATTATGGTCGTGCCGATCTAGATCATGATGTATGCTCCCCCGAACCTCAGCATCCCCTCCCCCATTCCCTCAGCCTCCTCACCTCGGCTGGCTGAGCCCCTTGCTTTCCGGACGTGAAGCGGTTCAGCAAACAAACCGAGTCTACGCAGATGTTCGGGCCCTTGACCACGAGCACCCGGTTCCCGCCGGATGGCGAGTAGGTCGCCTCCGTGTAGAGGCCGTGGAGCCTGAGGCCAGGCGGCTCTGTGCAGGAGGTCCCAGGCCCCTTCCAGGATGGCCCGCCAACCCCTTGTTGAGTTTTTTGCTGTGGTTAAAATGTATCCGGAAGGATCTGTCTACACTGCCCCTCCGCCGATCCTTCCCTTCGGCAGCCACATGGGAGCCGCCCCCTGCAGGTCAGAGCTCTGAGGCCAGGGCTCAGAGCTCAGAGGACGTCTGCAGCCAGACGAACCCCAGCGGGGATGTCCGATACCCCAGCGTCGATTGGACCCAGAAGGGTAGTATTTGCAACTGGTCCCTGGTCCCTCCTCCTCCTCCTCCTCCACCTCCTCCTCCTCCTCCTCCTCCACCCTCTAGGCTCACACTACGGGTCCCAAAATCCGCTCTGAAACGGAGTGTCAATGGGCACGAAAGCTACTCCGGGCAGCTCGCAAGAGAAACTCTGCTCATCTGCATCTCTACGACAACGGAGCTGGACGGCCGGACGAGGCCGAAAGAAAACAGACGGCGGTCCCACGCCAGCACCTCCCGCCACATGCAGCATGCAATCTGGTGCGACGAGGGCCTGACCAGGAAGCGGAACGATGTTGATGCATCCAACTCGCACACGACGCTTGCCCTCCAGCACGTACCAGTGTTTCCATCGGGCGCAGTCAGAGCCCCTCCTCCCCCCTCCTCGTCCTCCTCCTCGTGCGTCCTTCCCGCCCGACTTCGCTCCTCGTGCACTCGAAAACCCTCCTCCACCCTCCTCCTCCTCCTCCTCCCTCCTCCTCCCTCCTCTCCTCCCCTCCTCCTCCTCCTCCTCCTCCTCCTCCTCCTCCTCCTCCTCCTCCTCCTCCTCCTCGTCCCCCTCCCCCTCCTCCTCCCCTCCTCCTCCTCCCTCCTCCTCCTCCTCCTCCTCCTCCTCCTCCTCCTCCTCCTCCTCTTGCCCTGATCGCTCGTCCGTCCCCGGACCTCGGGCGGGGAAAGGCGGGGGAGGGCCGCCGCGCCGCTCGGCCACGCGCCGTGTGCCAACCGCTCGCGGGGCGGGCCCCCGCCCGGAGCCGCGCTTCGGCGCAGGTCGGGTCGCCGCCGCGCCTCGCCTCCGCGGCCGCCCGCGTCTGCAGGGCCGCCACGCCGCCGGAATAGGTCCACAGCCGCGGGGTCGTGCCTTCGGCCTCGCGGAGCGGTGGATGCGGACGTCTGCCCGCCCGAGCGGGCGGGCGGATGTCCACATCCACCACGCCTCGAGATCGCAGGGCACGACTCCCGGAGCAGTGGAGACGTGGACAGATTCCGGCGGCGGAGGCGTGGTGCGTGTTGCCCTGCTCGGGACTCGTCTCTCTCGTGCAGTGACCACCACCCGAAGCCCCTCGCGGGTCCTTCCCTCGGCCCTCGCTCCTCCTGGGCTGGGGCGGCCTGATGGTCGGTAGGACGAAGCCCGTCTGGTACTCCACCATGGAGGCGAGGAACGGGTTGTAGCACGCGAAGAAATTGCGCCTCTGACGGAGAGCATCATGGAAGGAGTGGTCTTACGCCAAGTGGCATCCGATGGATTACAGTCGAAGCATGGCTGCAGGAGCTTGGGCCAAGAGCGCGAGCCCATCGCCCAGGGCCGAAGGTCCTTTTGGAGAGATCACACACGGACATTATTCCAAGGTGGACGGCACAAACATGAACACATAATGGTACGCCTCAAAGCTACGGGTGCTCTTAACCCCAACAACGCGGGTACGACGACCCCTTTTGTAGGACTTTCGACTGGACCAACAACTATCACCCAACTCTAGAATCCACGCTGGGGCTGGCGTCCATCCTCGCTGGAGGTGCATCCGAACAGCCCCCGGGGTATGTGTCCCCGAATGTCCCTTCTTTTCTGATTTGCCTGACTTCTCGGGGGGCATTCAGGGATTGGAGCCCGTGAGGGGGAACGACAGGGGGCACTGGCTCGGGGTCAAGGCTCGAGCTTGAATCGACAGTACCTCGCCAATAGATCGGCGACAGGCCCCCGATATCCAACCCTCACGGTCCTGGTCGAGGTGGGCCATCGGGCCCGTCCCATCGGCGATGAATGCGCGATCGGGGAGGGATGCATCCCCCTCAAACCAACCTCCCCCCCGGTGTGAAAGACACCAGTCCTGCAGGAAACGAGTCCTAAAACCCGGCAGCCTTCCCCAAAACCAATTCTTCGTCGTGGGTAGTTGTCTTACAGTCCCAGGGCCTGTGATACAAGACAACTGTGAAAGCCCGAATTTGGTTCTGGGCAAAGAGGGTCTTTCGTAATGAGGTCGCAATCAGAAAACAAAAGAAAAAACATCCTGTGGCGCATGGCGCGTGGCAGCCACGTGCCTATGCTGTGCGAGGTGCGTACCTGGCACGAGCGATTGCACGAACTGTTGCGAACATGTCTGAGACCCCCGGTGCAAAGGTAGGCGGCGTGCCCAGTGGCGAAGCGAGAAGGGGCGGGCCTCCTCAGAAGGCTGCGAAGTCCCCCAGCGTGCTGAGAAGTTGTCTAAGCTTTCCCCGGATGCGCAAACTTCTTCTCAGACGGCGCGATGGCTTCTGAGGAGTCACTCCGCCTTCTGAGGAGGCCTTCTCCTTCTCGCTTACCACCCTCGCTCGCCGCCGAAGAGGTCCCCGTTGGCCCGAATCGGACGCGAGACCCGCTGCTCTCGGGACCCGTCGTCGCCTCCACGGCGACGGAGGCTTTGTCCCCAGAGAGCTGGCAGCCGCCCGCGGCCCCTGTCCTGCCTGCGCGCGGGGCCCCCAGCGCTGCCCGCCCGCACGAGAGAGAGATTAGGAGGCAACGACTGGGAGATTTTCGTCGGAAAGATTAAGGAGGATGAAGCCCCATTGCGGGCCTCGGATTAAGCGGGATTAAGCGGGATTCAGCCGGATGAAGCGGGACTTCGCTGGATCAAGCCGGATTTCGGACCGGATTTCGGACAGGAGTTGCCTCCGAAGAGAGAGAGAGAGAGAGGGCGCGCCGTGCGCGCGAGGCCGTACGGCGGGCCGCGTGCGCGGGAGCACCCGCGCGGCCTGCACGGCCTGTCCGTCCTCGGCCCTCTCCTTCCCCCCTCGACCCTCGACTCGTCGGCCTCCCCGCGCCCACGGCTCGCCGTGTTCTGCCTCCGGGGAGGCCTCTCCAGGCCCTCGGGACCGTCAACAGAACAACTCAGGAGTGGAGGGGCCCCAGGACACACAGATAAATACACACAAATAGCAGGATTTCCCATTTTCGGGGTGTTTGTCTTCCCCCCCACTTCCCATATTTTTGCCTTTTTTCTGGGGCATCGACGATTAATTGTGTCTGTTGTTCTTCTCCCTCCTGAAGGAAGAAGAACTGGTCCCGGGGAGTGGGTCGTGACCACCTGGGGTCAGCATCATGGACAAGCATGACGTCGGGGTTCTGGGTTGCTGGGCATCGATCTCATGGGGAGTGGGTCGAGACCTCCTGGGGTCAGCATCATGGCACAAACAAAAAACATGACGTCGGGGTTCTGGGTTGCTGGGCATCGATCTCGAACGGCCGATAACTCGCCCATGTATCATCGATGCGTCGTCGATGCAGACCGCTCATGTATCGTATATGCATCGCCGATACAGCGCCCTCATATCAAAAATGCATCGTCGATGCATCGTCGATGTATCAACCATTCGAGGTCGATACATCCCACATGCCACTATTCCCCCCGATCGCTGCGCTGCCCCTGGATCTTGCTAGCTCTGGCGCTAGCCGACGCTGATCGACGCTAAATGGACGCTCGTCGACGCTACATCGGTGCCTGCTCATCGATTGCCAGACGCTGGCGCACCAGTGCACTCTAGACACGGACTTTCGACGACAGACGAACCTCCCACGAGCTGCTACCGAACAGGAGGCCCACGAGGCGGCCGCTGGAGGCCATTGGTGAGGGGGGACGCTGAGCGGGAATCGGATCCGGGGGGCGGGGGGCATCGAGCTAGCGTCGGTGCTACATCCCCGATGGATAGCCCCCCGACAACGAATCCGCAGGCTCCTGGGCGTGGTTCGGCGATGAATGGGCGACTGGGGATCCATGCAACCCCGCCGAAGCCTACCGCCCCTTGGCTTTCGGTCTCTGGCAGCCGTCCAGGACGATTCGGGCACCCCAGGAACGCTCTCCGACAAGGCGCAGGCTACTGGAACGCACCCCGAGGATGGGGAACCGCCGAGAACCGCTCGCGGATTCCGAAAGAGGGAACCCTCCTGGTCGGTGCGCCCCCCTGAGCCTATCCCAAACTTTGCCCCTGAGCTGAGGGCGTGCTCCTCCTCTTCCATCCTCCACTTCCTCCTCCTCCTCCCTCCTCCGCCTCCTCGTCCCCCTGCTGCTGCTCCTCCTCCTCCTTCTCCTGCTCCCTCCTCCTCCTCCTCCTTCTCCTCCTTGTCTTCCTCCTCCTCCTCCTCGTCCTCCTCTTCCTCCTCCTCCTCCTCCTCCTCCTCCTCCTCCTCATCGTTCTCCTCGTCCCCCTCGTCCTCCTCCTCCTCCTCCTCCTCCTCCTCTGCCTCCTCCCCTTCCCCCTCCCCCTCCCCCTCCCCCCGCCGCCGCCCCAGGGACTAAGCCGGGACCAGGAACAAAATCTGAACGGGAGCGATCGGGGATCTCTGAGAGATGGCGATACGAGGAGGACGCATCGTCGGGAGCGGCCAAAAGAGGCGTCCACGAGAGGGGGGCGCAAATCATGTCCGGCGGCACGTGCGCGGCCCAGGGGGGGTCGGGGACGTAATGACATAAGAAGAGGCGCCATGAAATCAGAGGAAACACCATGGCCCACGCCATGATATCCCCCCTAATCATCACCCCCCTCTTTGCCGCCCCCAACCTGCTCCTCACGAGAAGACGAAGCCGGGATTAGGGCAAAATCGGAATGGGACAGATCGGGGATCTCTGAGATCCACCGATACGAAGAGGACGCATCGGGCACCGCAGCAGCTCCAGAGAAGAACCTTTCGTCCTGGTCCTGGCCCCGACGGATCAGGGCAGGGGGCTTATTGCTCCCCCTCTTTCGGGGGCGGCCAAGAGGGCGGCGTCCAAGAGGGGGGAGCGCAAATCATAGTCGGCGGCATGTGCGCGGCCCAGGGGGGGGGTCGGGACGACGTAATGAAATAAGAAAAGGCGCCATGAAATCTGGGGAGATATCATGGCCCACGCCATGATCTCCCTCCCCCAGTCATCACCCCCCTTTTGGCCGCCTCCGACATCGAGCGCCGCGGCAACTCCAGAGCGTTCCAGAACGCTCGAGAACCACTCCTCCCCGCCCTGGCCCCGCCGGATCAGGGCAGAGGCAGGGGGCTTCTTGCTCCGCCTCTCTGCCAGAGCACGATCCACAAGGGACAGGTAAGGGGTACGCAACGGACAAGCAACAAAAAAGCAGCGGACGAGCAAGAACATACAGTCGGGACGCTGAAGAAAGAACCCTTTTCGTTGGGGAGGGGCTCCGTGTTCCTTGATTGTTGCACAGCTTGCCTTATGTTTGTCTTAGGTTTCCGATGGGAAATCGAAGTTGAACTTCTGGAAGGAAGGGGCCTCGTTCCTTATGTAGGGTTCCTTAGGTCATCGACCAGACTGTACGCCCTCTCCGCGGCAGCGGTCGCACCTGCGCAGTCGGCCCGCGCGCAGCATCGCGAGGCATGCCGGGGCGGAGCGGCCTGTCCGACACCATGCGCTCAAAGGTGAGCCACCAGGCGGATCGGTCCTCCTGGCCAGGCTTCTTGGGAAGAGAAGAAGAAAGGAGGAGGAGAGGGGAGGAGGAGGAGGAGGAGGAGGAGGAGGAGGAGGAGGAGGAGGAGGGGGAGGAGGAGGAGGAGAAGGAGGAGGAGGGAGGAGGAAGGAGGAATGAGGGAGGAGGGAGGAGGGAGGAGGGAGAATGGAGGAGGGAGGAGGGAGGGGGAGGAGGAGGAGAAGGAGGGGGGCAGGAAGGCCACCAAGCCCTGAGCTGGCCCTGAGCGGTTGTTGAGGAGGCGACAACGAGGAGGGGCAAGTTGCGCGGCGATCTGGTCGACTCCAGAAAACCAGCTGTCCGAAACTGCAGCGTGTGGCAGACAATTCGCGTGGTAACGGCTCCGCAACCGCAAGGACATCCTCACACATGTGGACTCTGTTACCGCGGAACACCCCAAAAAAGTGCAGTCGTCCGTCCTTGCGACGCCTAGCTGCAATGCAATGCTGACGCATGCCTGCCGCGTTGGTGCCGTGGCGGAATTGCAGATGAGGCGACAACACCACGCTCCGTAAACGTGTGGTGTTGAAGTCAGGTCAGACATCAATAACAACATGTTTCCATCAGACAGTTGTCTTTCCTCTAACTCGCTGGGAAAGTTCGAAGCTGGAACCAATCCAAGCTCCAGCCTAATGAAACGGGGAAAGAGGCGAAAGCTAGCGCCAGTCCCACAGAGACAACGAACCTGAACAACAAACCTGTCATGAGATGACAAAACAACACATGTCGAGGGAAACTGGTCCTGAACCCTGTGGGCTTCCCCGAGACGAACTTCTCATCCTGACTGCCGGCAGAGGACTCCCCACTGGGGTCCGAGCAGATGGGGTCGGAGGACCGCGCCGATGCATGGGCGGCGTCGGCGATGCATGGGCGACGACGGCGTGAAGAACGCTCGGCTCCACCCCCCTCCAAAAAACCAAACAACAGCACGACCCGCCTGCCGCGGGACCCGCCCGCCTCGCAGGCGGCCACCGCACAGCGGCGGCGGGCACGCCCGCGCGCACGCGAGGACGGCGCCCGGCCTGGGGCGCGCCCGAAGGGGTCCCCCAGCTCCTCGGCCCACGTAGAAGGGCACGGAGAAACGTTGGGGGGGGGACCGACTCGACCGGGCAAGAACTTTGGGGCCCCACCCTGGGACGTAGGATGGGGCTGGCGTGCATCCTCGACCGGGAAGCCGAGGGCCAAATCCGAGGGGGATTACCTGGGATCTCCGAGCAGACCCCGCGTGCCCGGAGAGGGTGAATATCGGGCACCGCGCAGCCGATCCTAGGGGAGTCCCGGCCACGCTCCGAGAGCGTTCCGCGCTCGGGAGCGAGTACCCCCATCCTACTGAGACGTCAGCCTCGAGCTACCAAACTATTCAAACTAATCTCTCGGTAGACAAGTTACTGCACATCGACAAGTCGACTGTTATCGATCAACCGAACTCGGAACTCCGCCGATCCTGTCGGCTTTTCTGTTTGAGTCGTCGTCGTCATCGTCGTCGTCGTCGCTGGCCTCCTTGACGTTTTTCTGTTTGAATCGTCGTCGATATCGCCGCCGCAGTGCAGTCTCCGCTCTTCCCCTTTCCAGAAGCCCTCCTCCGCAACCTGGTCCAGCCGAAAGGACACGGAGCAACGTCGCAATCGAATCGAATGGAAGCCCCGTCCCTTGGATCCCTCCCCCGCCGGGGGAGGGGGTCTATTTGTGGTTGGGGTGGGGCCTGGTGAAAGGGCTGGGGGGGGGGGAGGTGCGGTGGTTCTGGCTACCCCCCACCGGGGGCGAGAGCCCTGTTTCTTCCCTCCCAAGTGCCTCGAGCTTACTTGTGCCGCGGCTTGCTCCAAGAGGGCCTTGAAACAGCCCAACACCGCTCCAATACGGCTGAGGATACCTTCAAGGCCGTCTTGGGGCCGTCTTGGGGTTGTCTTGGGCCGTTTTAGGGGCGCTTTCGGTAGCCTCCGAAAGGGAATACCAGTACGATCTATTCCGAGCATGCCGCCACAAGAGGACCCCAGACGGTCCAAAGAGGGGCCCAAGACGCCCCGAAGAGGCCCAAGAGTCCAAAGATCACTCCCAAGAGAACACCACTATGGCAAACTCAAGGGTTCTCCAACGAAAATTTGAAAAATTGTCATCGCCGCCGTCGCCACCGCCGCAACCGTCGCCACCGCCAACGCCGTCGCCGCCTCCGCCGGCTTCGCCGTCGCCGTCGCCGTCGCCGTTCAACATCGGTTCTCGGCCGCCTCCCAGGGACCATCTGGCGCAATGTTTCACCCCGGATCCGTCTTTGTTGACGGTCCCGGGGCCCGGGAACGGCTCCCGGAGGCCCCCCCAAAAAGGAGGACCCTTCTCGGGCTCAGCACCTCCCCAGAGAGATCCGATGTCGTGATTCTCTCAACATCCGGTCCCCGGAAGTCTCGACCCATTCCCCAGGACCGGTTTTGCATCCTGAGCCGTCTTTTGACAGTCCCGAGGCCCGGCGAGGGCCCCTACGGGCCGAACTTTGTGAAAAACCTCCGTCTTGATTTCTTTATGCGTTGGATCTCTGGGTCGCTCCTTCAACCCCCTCCTCCTCCTCCGCCTCCTCCTCCGAGGCCGCTCTGGAAATAGTTCATGGGCTCCAATGAATCTGCTGGTGCGAGGCGGTTTGCCCATGAGCTAGCAGGCACGGAATTTCAGTCGACCGTCCATGTAAAGGCTCATCGAGAGCTGTCTGCCCTTGAGGAGTTGGAAGGAGATGATCGTGGGTTTGGTTTCGCGAATCGTGCCGTGGATGGGCATGCCAAGAAGGCCCTTGAGGGCCATCCTCGGCCTTTGCCCACGGTTTTGGACCAAGTTGAGTTGTATCAAAACCGAGCCGACGTTTTTGTGAAGCTTGCTTCCGAAGTTCTGCCCCTCTTCAAGAATGAAGTGCGTTGGAAGCGAGCGGCTTTTACCACCCAGGGGCAAAGTCGCCAGCAGAAGACTTGGCATCTCTGGAGTAGGACCGAACTGGGAGTGCAATGTCTTTATTGTTGGGTGGTGTGCGATCGACCCGACAGGCCCATGTTAGGTTGCAAGGGCACGCCTCCTGCTCTCCAGAAGCTGCTGCGTGATCCCCTCGGGCATCAGCTCGTCGCCGTGTCGGGCTCGGTTCTTGAGACGCCTCGGTCGGCTGTCGTCCTGGGCCCCTGCCGTGAGCAGCAGATTCTGTATTTAAAATGCGGGGGCTGGACACAGGGGAGGGCCGTGAAACTCGCTGAGGTCTGCGATAAGCCGTCGCGTAAAGGACTGGATGTCCTGAACCGCTTTCGGCGTGGGCTTGGCCCCAATCCCAAAGTGAAAGCTGTGCTTGAGAAGGCGTTGCCTGTGTCTCAGCTCAATGTTGCAAGAGAGGCGGACGATAAGCCCGAGATGTGTGTTACCTCAGTCCCGCGAGCGTTGTCGGACTCTCCCTCGGCCCCCGCTTTCGAGCAGCGAATGGCGGCTCTTGCCGGCAGAATTAAAGCTAAAGAGAAGAGGCAAGAGCCTCAGGGGCGGTTTAACTCGGGTCGATCCCCCCAAGCTTTTGGTGCTGTCACCTCCCGACCTTTCAAGGCGCTGTCCATCCATCCAGGAGAGCCCAAAATCGAATCGACAAGTCGAATCGGCGATCGAAATGAATCGGATCGGCGGAAATCGGCAGCCGAGTCGGAAAACGTCGAATCGGCGGAAATCGGCATGAGAAATCGGAACCCAAATCGGAATCCCAAGTCGAATCGATTCGGAATCGGAATCCATCGAAATCGAATCGAATCGAATCGGAGGAATCGAAGCGAGCCCTGTCCATCCATCCATCCCCCTCCCCCTCCTCCCCCTTCCCCTCCTCCTCCGGAGCCAGCAGAGCCGCCCCACGGCCAGAGGGTGCCCTCCTCGCGCACGGAGAGCAGCACCGGCTCCCCGAGGTAGCCCAGCAGCGGCCTTCCGAGGCCCAGGAACAGGCTGCAGAGCACGGCCGGCGTCGTGCACACGAAGAGCTGGGCCGAGGGTTGCGTCGGGCATGTCCCCCTACAGGCAGATGTTCGAAGAGAAATACGGGATGCTCAAAACATATTCCCAAATAGTCAAGAGATCGTCCCCAGACTACTTTTTGACTACTTTTGGAGATTCCTCCTGTAGAGGGCCACGCCCGACTCAAGCCGAGGGGAGGGCAAGGACGGGGACAGAATCGGACGGGGGCAAATCGGTGACCCCCAGAGATCCTAGCGCCGCGTGTTTTTTTCCCGCAACGAGCGGTGTTGCCCTGTCGCGGGCCCTAGGTCCCCCACACATCGAGCTGGCTCAAACAACTACCCAGCAAGGTGGGGTCCAAGGATCCAATAGTAATAATTTGTGATGTTGCAATTTTTCTGCGCAGTCTGCTCTGAGGGGATCAACATATTTTGTTGTTTGGGTATCGGCGGTTGCCCTGGGGGGTGGGGGGGTGGGGCCCTGGCTGGCAGTAACGCTTGGGCAGGGTGGGGCGCGTCGGGGCGGGGGTGCGCTGCGATCGCCGCAGTACGCGCGCCAGCACCAGCACGTGGGGGTGGGGTACACAGGCCCCCCCACTGCGCACGATCGGTACCGTGACCCCGAGGAGGGGCCTGGCCCACGTAAACCGCTACGCGCCAGAGGATACTAGAACAACCTCCCCTGAAATGCGAGGCTGTTCGCAGCATGTATCGAACGTCGCGACCGTTTCAGAGCGCTCAATTAGAGGAAACAAAAGCGGCATAAACATAAACTTAGAATCCGCGCAGATTTATTGGATCCGCGCTGGACCCCCCTCCCTGGCGCGCGGAGCGCGCCCAAGGCGGCGCCGGAGGCGCCACCGCGGGGGTCCCAGCGCGGATCCAAGAAATCAGCGCCTGCCGTGGCCCCCGAAGATCGATTCTCCAACCGATGGTGATGAAGGATGTCTGCTTCTGACATCTGGCAATCAATTTCCCGTCAGTGTCGTTTGGCCGGCCCCTATCCCCGTCCCCATCCCCATCCAGACCCCCACTGTCTCAGCACCCCAGAAGGGGATATACCCTTCGAAACCCGAAGGAAACTGCCTATATCCCCAACCTGGGGGGGGAATCGACCAGTGGAACCCAAGCCACGCCCATGAGGATACAATCGGACTCGATTGGACAGGACACGCGAGAGGGCACAAGACCCTTCCGAGGGCCACATTGCCGCAGGAATGCAGGAAGCATGGGTCGCAAGACACCGCAAGACACGAGGGTACACTTGATCTGGCAGGGTCGACCTACGAATCCGGGCCGCCCGTAGGGGCCGGCTCAACGATGCTCCTCACGTTCCCCCCTCTGGGCCTGGCGCCGAGGGCGCGCGGGCCTGCCACGCGCGATCTCTGTCCCCGCGCCGCCCTGGAGCGGCGAGCATATCCGTATCTGCGCCACGCGATCCCGCGCGGGGCATCCATCCGCAAAAGCGCCACGCATTCGCGAGGTCGCGGCCCAGGGCCCAGGCGAGGCCCCGCGGATACGGACGGCCGGCCAGAGGAGCTGGCTCGCCCCCGCCTCCCGGCGGCCGCCCCTGCGGTTGCCGCCGCGGGCCGCCGCATAGGACGCGCCACCAAAGAAGCGAACAGACACGAGCATCACTGGAGGCTCCCTCGGGGATGTCCCTGCCGCGCAGGGAGGTTCCTCGCCAGCGAGCCGCTGCGGGTCTTGGCACGGGGCACAGGAGTGAACGGGGCCCTGGGACACACAAAGAAATACACACACAGATAACAGGATTCCCCAGATCTTCCCCTATTCTCTCGGCTTCTGTCTTCCCCCCCCCTTCCCATATTCTCCAATATATTTTCGGGAGCCGAAGATGAATTGTGTCTGTGTGTTTTTTCTCCTCCTGAAGATATCCAGCACGGCGGTCGCCCCGGGGGCATCCCTCCCGCGGCGCCGCGGCGCTGCAGGGGCCGCCCTCGGTGCAGAGGGGCGGCGAGAGGCGGCCGCGCACCGCGGGCCCGGAGCGGCGAGGGCCTCGCTGCGGCGAGGCGGGCCGGGCTGGAGCGGCATGCGAGGTATGGATCGGGGCGCCCCAGGGGCGCCGCCTCCCACGGCGCCAGGGCGTTGAGATCGCCCTGGGCTGCTCGGGGGCGGCCTGCTGAGGCCAGCTGGGCCTTCCTGGGGGGCGACTGGCCGTGCGCAGGGCGAAGCCTCACAAGCTGTCCTGGCCCACCCTCAGCGGGCTGGGTCGACACACTCGGGGTGACCCACGAGGGGGTCCAGCTGAGAGGGGGGTGGTGCAATATACATGCGGGGGGCAGTTGTATTGCAAATGCACTGCGCTGGAGATTCGTGTTGCATTGTGTTGCAAGTAGTGTATTGCACGCGAACATGCAGCAATACGTCTGAACCCCGAAATTGATTGCACGCCCCAGATGAATTGCAACCCCACATATCTATCACACAAAATCGATTGCACCCCCCCCTTGGCGCTGGACCCCCTTTTGGGTCAACCCGACACACAGTGAGAGCCTTGGATGAGGAACCCTACCCTTGGGTAAGAACTCCAGAGCCTGAAAGCGCGTGGACCGCAAACTGAGGCTCGGCCATGGACGCCACCGCCCACCCCATCAGACAAGGAGTCCTCCAGGCTCTGAAGCCTCCAGTGCACACTCCTTCACCAACGCCCCCACCGTATTTGGACGCCCGAATTATCCGGGGTAACTCGGGCCCGGGGTAACTCGGATTCGGATTCCCGAAAAGCGAACCCCTAGTTAGTCCTGACCCTAGTTAATTACCCCTGATGATTCGGGGCTCTGGCGTAGCATGCTCGCAAACGACGATATTGGCGGGCTCCGCACTCCTGCACCACACTGACATGCGGCCATTCTCGTCTGCGGCGACACCATTCGCCAGCGTATAGCCACCGATGGCCTCACACAATAGTCCTCGGGAGGTTCGGCCTCTAGGTGCTCGCGAAGAAAACAATCATAAACATACACTTTTGGCGAAATAAAAAACAACGTAACGATAACCATAAACATAGGCATGAAAAGCGTAGAGAAAGAAAACCGCACTAAACATGAATTGTTGGCGCTCCGCGCGGACTTCTGCGCTGGACCCCCCCCCCTTCCTGGCGCGCGGAGCGCACCTCTGGCGGGGGGGGGGTCCCAGCGCGGATCCAAGAACTGCGGAGCGCCATGAAGTGAGTGCTCATGCCGCTGTTCCTCCTTCGATTGGCTTCCGCGGGTGTGAGCGAATCTGCGTACGCAGACGACGCGCCCGCCGCGCAGCACGTGCACTCGATCGCGCGAGATGGAGGGGCAGGACGGCAGGCTCGTGCCGTGCCGACTTCGGCGTTGGCACCTGCCGCCGCGGGGATCGTTCCACGTGGAGCGGCCGGCTCGTTCAACTTCAACTTCGACCGACTCGGGGTCGCCGGCGGCGTTCAACGTTGCACGCCGGCGGCGGGCTCGCCGCCCGTCGACACGACGCGAACCTGCCGTGCGCACGGCGCGGCCTGCAGCACAACAGGGAAGTCCTGAGGTGATGCCGGGAGAGGGTGCGGCGCTCTCGCGCTCCCAGGCCGGGCGGCGGGCACGAGGGGCCGAAAAGGGCGGGCACCGTGTGCGCGGGGAGCGTGCTGTCCGAAGGAAGGGCGCTGTGCGGACGCGAAGCACTCGGTGCATTAGCGATCTCAACCACTTTTGGCTGGCGACGCGTTTCGGACTCTGGGTCCTCTTCTGGGCCAAGAGGCTGCTCTGGGCCAAGAGGCCGCGTGCCGTGCAGCGCGCGAGCAAGGCAGCAAGAGGTCAAGAGTGCGGGGGTGAAACAAAAACGCCCGAAGGAAGGGCGCAGCAAAGGCCGAGCTCGAGAAGAGCACCCGCAAGCGGAAGCACGGGCCTCCGTCCACATGGCGGAGGATCAATCTTCGCGGGGCGTGCATCCGGAGCAAGCTCTTCGTGCACACCGTCTTCACGGACCGCTGGCAACGCGTTGGGCTGTCCAGGTTGAGATGCTTCCAGGTCTGCTGCCTGTCCGAGATCTTGCGGGTGCTCTGTTGGTACGGTGACACTGCGACAGATGCAGCTCTCCTGGCGTAGGCTCTGTGTGGGGTTCAGTCGTGTAGACAGGCACATATTCTTTGCGAGAATAGCGCGCCGTTTTCAAAGCATCTCCGATTGAACTCTTGGACCCAGCAATGCTTTTCAAGCGGGGCCGGCACATCACACGGACAAGTATATCGATCCCGCTCGGGCAGGCACCTGGAGAGGCGCAGTGACGAGAAACATCCCAACGCGCGAATCTGCCTTGGGGTGCTCACGTGAGTGTGCACATGGCACATGTGCCGAGCCTGGCTGGGGGGAGCTCAAGGGAACCGCTTCAGAATCTCAAGGTCAGACGGCCTCGCATTCCCCTCCTCTTCGTCCCTATCCTCCTTCCCCTGCCCGTCCTACGCCAGCCCTCTTTGACCCTCCTCGCCCTCGCTCTCGTAGCCCGCCCCCTTGCTATATCATCCCCTCCCAAACTCCCTCCTCTCCCGCCCCTCCCTCCCCCAACCCCTCCTCCCCTTCCTCTCGCCCTCCCCGCCTCATACCTCCTCTTTCGTTATTTTCATTTCGTCCTCATTCGTCGTCATCCGTGTCTTCCTCCCTGCCTCCCTTCAGCTATCGTCGCCCTCATCCCCCCCTCCACTGTCTTCTTCCCCCAACCCCCTTCACCCCTCCCTGCTCCATCCTCACCTTCCTCTAGGGGGTAAAACATCCACCCCCATTATGTGACCACCCAAACAAGCGAGGCCGTTTAGTAAACGCACGCAATGAAGGACTCGAACAGGGCAGGGCTGTTTAGTAAACGCCCAGGGCCGTTTAGTAAACGCTGATTGTCGGGTCTGGGTGGTTTTTCTTCCCTTGATCCTCACCCCCTGTTCCACTTCTCCCCCTCCCCGCCACCCCTCGCCTGCCTGTGTGCAACCGCACGGCTGAGGGCGACGACCACCGCCGCCGCCGCCTGCCGACATGGAGGCCTCCTGAATGGGGTCCGAGCAAGGAGTGGGAGGATCACGCCACGTCGCCGATGCGTCGGCGACGTCGGGCTCCCCATCGAGCCGCCACGTCGATGCATCGGTGGTGCGGCGCGATCCTCGGACTCCATCTGCTCGGACACCAGTTGGGAATCCTGAACACCACGGCGACCACGACGATCACGACGAGGACGACGACGCCGACGCCGACGCCGACGCCGCCGAAGACGACAACGGCGAGGACCACAACGACGCCGACCACGGCGAGGACATCGAGGACGACGACGAGGACGGCGAGGACCACGACCACGACGACCACCACGGCGAGGACGGCGAGGGGACGACGACCACCACGGCGAGGACGGCGAGGCCGACGACCGCCACAGGCGAGGTACGGCGACGACGACGACGACCACGGCGAGGACTTCGCGAGGACGACGACCGGGGCTGCACGCGCGCGCCTCCGCCTCGCGGCCGAGCGGGTGCGCCGCCAGGCGGGCCCGGAACTCCGCGAGGAGGCCGGGCAGGTCCGGGATGTCCTGGCGCTCGGGCCGCGCCGGCCGCGGGCTGCCTCGTCGTGCTGGGCGCAGCTCGGAGCCAGCAAGCGCACACCACTGGGCGGCGAGCCAAGGGGGCAAGGATGATAGTGCTAGTGATGGACGACGACGACGATGATGACAATGCTGCTGGTGGTGACGATGGTGATGCTGCTGATGATGATGCTGCTGATCATGACGATGACGATGACGATGATGCTGCTGATGCTGACGATGCTGATGCTTCCGATGATGGTGATGATGATGCTGATCATGATGATGATGATGGTGATGATGGATGATGATGGATGGTGGTGATGATAATGATGATGATGATGCTGATGATGGTGATGATGATGACGAGACTGATGACGATGACGATGATGACGACGATGGTAATGCTGGTAATGCTGCTGATGATGATGGTGATGATGATCACGACGAGGACGATGATGCTGATGATGATGATGTCGGTATCGATATCGATGTTGGTGATGACGATGCTGGTTATGCTGATACTGGTGATGCTGGTGATGACGATGATGCTGATGGTGTTGATGCTGATGATGCTGATGATGACGAGGACGATGATGGTGATGATAATGATGACGATGACGATGACGATGGTGATGATAATGACCATGATAAAACAATAAGGGGAATGATGCTGACGCTGACGATGTTGACGATGATGTCTGTGATGATGATGATACTCATGATGACGATGATTAAGCTGATTATGATGCTGCTGATGATGCTGCTAACGATGACGATGACGATTCTGATGTCGACGACGACAACGGTGACGAAGCTGATGAGGCTGATGATCATGACGATGCTAATGATGATGACGACGACGATAATTAGCATGGTGATTCTGATACTAATGATGATGATGATGATGATGATGATGATGATGATGATGATGATGATGATGATGATGATGGCGACGATGACGATGATAATGATGCTTATGATGATAATGGCGATGACGATGCTGCTGTCGGTGATCGTGACGATGACGATGACGATGACGATGATGCTGGTGCAGATGCTGCAGATGATGATCACGACGGTGACGATGGCAATGCCGATGACAACGATGATGCTGATGATGATGATGATGACGATGATGTTCATGTTGAAATTCTGATGTTGCTATTGATGATGGTGCTTGTGATACTGATGATGTTGATGATGATAACAGTGATGATGTTGATGCTGATCACGATGACAATGTCGATGATGATAATGATGATGACTACGACGATAATAATGACGACGATGACGTTGTTGATGACGAAGACGACGATGACGATGATGCTGATGATGATAATGCCGAAGCTGATTATGCTGATGATGCTGTTTCTGATGGTGATGATGACGACGACTACTGACGACGATGATGAAACATATGGTGATGATGACGATGACGATGATGCTGATGATGGTCATGATGATGATGATGATGATGATGATGATGGTGATGGTGATGGTGATGATGATGGTGATGATGATGGTGATGCTGATGACGGTGATGATCATCATAATGATAAGCATGCTGATGATGCTGATGACGATGACGATGACGATGACAACGATGACTATGATGATGATGATGATGATGATGCTCATGGTGCTGATGCTGATGATGATGATGATAATGATGATGATGGTACTGATGCTGCTGATGATGTTGATAATGCTGCTGCTGCTGAAGAAGATGATGATTATGATGACGTCATCGTCATCGTCATCGGCATCATCGTCATCGGGAGGGGGCGGCGGGGCCTCTCAGAAGGCTCGGAAGGCCTCGACCCTTCTGTGAAGCTTCGTCAGCCTTCTCCGAGGGCACAGAAAACAAAAACTTGCCAGGATGCGCGAGGGCTCCTGCGAAGCGCCGACGTCTTCTGCTGGGGAAAGGGGGATGGAGGGCGGGGGAGGCAAGGAGGGCAGGGGAGGGGAGCAATGCCTCCGCGGGCCCTGGAAACGACAGAACCGTTCTTCTACCAATTCCGTTTTGACCCGGTTCCGTCGCCGTTTGCTTGCCGCTTCCGTCCCCGTTGTGTCATGGTGCTGGTTCCCGCTCCAAGCCTGGACATGTCTTTGTTGCCGTCTCCGGTCGCCGCTTTTAGGACGCTTCCATCTTCAAAAGCCACTCCTCCTCCTCCTCCTCCTCCTCCTCCTCCTCCTCCTCCTCCTCCTCCTCCTCCTCTGGGACCCACCAAGAGCTGGGCATCACTCGCGCAGCTGTCGTCCTGCCATGACGGACGCGCCAGACCAGGAACGGAAGGGGCGGATCTTGAGCGTCGCTCTGTGTCCCTGCCGCTGCCCGCCCTCCTGCCTCGTCCCGCGGGCCCCGTCCTGCCGCAGATACGATAGCACGACATCCGCAGACAAGACCACGAGAAAATTGGGCTGGGCAGCTGCTGGGAAGTCCGGAGAGGCCTCCAGAGAAGCACCCAAGACGGCCCGGGATATTCCCGGGCGGGACGTAGCGCGTGGCAGCAAGCTGCAGCCGCAGTTGAAGAACTACGACTGGAGGGAACGCAAATCGGCAAACTAACGTCGTGGGAACGCAAATGGGCATAAACGTCCGTCGTCGACTATTTGCTTCTCGCTTCCTCCCCCCCTCCTTCGCCAGGCTTCACCGACAGCTGGGAGACAGCGGCAGCGCGCTCGGGGGAGCGACGATCCGCCGCTGCGTTTTGAAGCGATGATGGGGGATGAGGGCCTCGGGCTGATGTTGAGGCATCGTTTATCGACATCAGAACGTGCGGGACCTATCCATCATAGGCTGATGGGCTGATGGGACCGAGAGAACAACCGCAGGGTTTTCGTGTTGTGGTCGTTCTGTTGATCGTCTTGCTCTGCCTGTTTGCCTGCACCTCCCTGCCAAAACGGAAACCAGAACACAGCCGAAGTCCAGCAGAACAGCGTTGAGGGGGATTGAGGAGGAGGAGGAGGAGGAGGAGGAGGAGGAGGAGGAGGAGGAGGAGGAGGAGGAGGAGGAGGGAGGAGGAGGAGGGAGGAGGGAGGAGGAGGAGGAGGAGGATTGGGGATCGGTGAGGAAAAACGGTGCTGAGATCGGGCCACGGCGAGCCTCGGCCTCGATAGAGCGCCCCGACCCGTGGGCCCGAGGGGCGGCCCCCCGAACCGGAGCACCTCCCGTCCCCACAGCGGCCTCTCTTGCCGAGTCCCGACTGCGCCGCACGCTCTGCTCCCACCGCACCTCAGGACCACGTCCCACCATAGAACTTCGAGCAGCCAGAAGAGTATCTCGGAACAGTGTCCACCGAGTGTCGCCTCCCAGGGCCCGACACGTGAAACCCGCCCAGTTTCGGCACTTTCTGGGGATCAAGGCTAAAGTAGATTGGAACATCAGAAACTGCACCATACCAGCTGCCAGCGCCGACGCCACCGTGGTGCCAGCAGCCGCTTGGACTGCGGCGGCCTTGTACGGCTGGTGCGATCTGCGAGATGGTTCCCAGCAGTGCGTAGGATCGTTCGACCTTGAACGATCAGCTGCTTTCCGATCGCGATCGGTCGATGTCGGCCGATTCTGGGCCACTGGCGGCGATCAACCCTGAACGCTCGCAGCGGGGTCGCCGCCGCACCCCGTAGGTCACCTACCCTGGCGCATCGCGTCCTGCGATGCTTGAATATCTTTGCGCTCTCGCGCCGACCCCTTGGTCAATTCCAGCCCAGACCGCGACGTGCGAAGCGCGATTCTCTTCGCGCCCCCCTGGTAACCTAGGCCCCTGGTCATATTAGTTTATGTTTCTTCCGTCTCGCCAACTGGTCGACTGCTTCCGTTCGTTCTCCGCCGCCGCCTCCACGCCCCCGCCCCGGACTCATTTCGGGGCGGCGCAGGACTCGGATTCGGGGGGCTCTGGGCGGCCTGACGGAGCCACCAGGAAGACCAGACGCAGTTCGAAATTCGGCGCGAGGCCCCGCTGCCGACATCCCGCGAAACCTGGACCGTCAAACTCCCGGACGGCCTCGCACTCGTCGGGGGCGGCAAAGAGGGGGGTGTCCAAGAGGGGGGGGTGCAAGTCATGACCGGCGGCACGTGCGCGACCCAGCGGGGGGCCAGGGACGTGATGAAATCAGAAGAGGCGCCATGAAATCTGGGGAAACATCATGGCCCACGCCATGATATCCACCCCCCCCTAGTCATCACCCCCCTCGTTTCCGCCCCCGAACTCGAGCCTTCCGCCTCCAGCGAGCTCGAGCCTCACGCTCCCCCGGAAGGTCTGCGCGCCGTGGGCGCGCCAACGTCGCCGAACGCTCCGGCCGCGGCGCCCCGACCCTCCGAGCCAACGGGGCGCAGCCCACGACGGCAAGGAGCAGGTCGGGCACGCCCCCCGACAGGGGGATCCTTGGACGGAGCAAAACCAAAAGTAAGCACAGCATGCACCAAGCAACTCCAAAAAAAGGGAAACGACAAATCGTCCCCCCGACTGTTTGTTTACAATTTGGAATAGATATTCCCCCTCTAGGGGGACACGCCCCCGACATATGAGCAAGGACGAGAGTCTGCGCCGACGCGCAATGGCCCCAGACGAGACGCCATTGGAGCAGCCCGACCGACCGCGCTGGGCCCGACCTCGCGGCCGCCGGCACCTCTGCAGGCACGGCGGCGTGTGGGTGCCCCCATGCCCTCCGGATGTGTAGCAGCCCTGACGGGCATGCGTGACTGCAGCGATGGCAACCCTCCTCCTCCTCCTTTTTCTCCTCCTCCTACTCCTCCTCCTCCTCCTGCCGCGTTGCCACGCGAAGCACTGTCGGCGTAGCCGCTCCAGCGTCAGCAGAGCCGTCCCATGGCGCGACCACAACCAGAGACCGGCCGAACCGGCAGCGAAACCCAAACCGACCGAAACCAGCAGGCCGCAAACAGCAAAGAAGGGCACAGCGACGCAGCAAAGACTCCACAGCCGACCGATTCGAACCGACCCCACGCAACCGGCTGAGACGAGCCAAACCGACCGAACCGCCGACTCCCTTGCTTAGCCTCCCCCTCCTCCCGCATCCTTGTCACGTCCTCACAGGAGACCAACATGGAGACCGGAGGGCATTGCACGACAGGATCTTGGTCGAACATGCAGATCGTCACGCTACGTATTCGAGGACACGATGGTGCCCTTTTCACCGAGGCAGGGGAGGGGCTGAGGAGAAGGGGTGTGTGGGGGGGGATCGCGGGACCCCTATCCCACTTTTGGAAGCTGGGCGAAGGCTGGCAAATCCGTGGCTGCTAAAAGGGTCTTCCCGGAGGAAAAAAAACATTCCCGGGATAAACCTCAGCGCGCTACATAGTAAACGGGCTGCTTCCCCAAAAAACAAAACACATTTCCCGGAGCTTCTATCAGCCACGGATTTGCCAGCCTTCCCCAGGCTTCTGACACTTGCGCACAGGCGCGTGTGGCAACTCTCCGAGCAGCATGCGTGCCTGTCGGGCTCCTCGGGCCCGCTAGACTGCGCTGTGGCGCACATCCTCCCGCGAGACCGGCAGGGAGACCGACGGGCATTGCGTGGCGGGACCTCGAGCATGGACGTCCCGGACACTGCGCCATCGGAGGCGTGCTTGAAGGCACCCGAGACCCGCGTGAACGTGACCTCTCGACGGCCCGCCTGGTCGGCGCTGGCCGCCCCTGCTGCCCCGTGCGGGCGGAAAAGGCGCCGGGGGCGGCGCTGAAGGCACCGCCAGGGATTGAGCAGGGACAGGCTCCGCCAGAACTGCTCTAAGAAGGGAAGGCCCCACGCCGGCCGAGGTCCGAGAAGGCCGAGCGGCCCTCCAGAAGTCTGCGCCTGAGCAGCTGCCGCCCCCTGCGAGGACCGCCCCTCCCCGGCTCGGCGGCGGCGGGGCGGCGGCTCGCTCCGGGGCGGCCCCTGGGACCAGACGGCCGGAAGCGCTCCGAAGCCCTCCGCCGCGATTGCTGCACGGCGCGGGAGAGGCTCCGGCTTGCTGGGCCCCAGAGATCCGAGGTGGTGACTGTTTCCGCACGCGGCCCCCCCGGAGTCTCGACCCGCTCCCGAGGACCAGTTTTTGCTCCCGAGTCGTTTTTGGACGGTCCCGGGGCCCGGCCTGGGCCCCCTTCTGGCCCACGTCTTGCGGTTGTCCTCGGTTCCTCTTGGGCTGCGTCGGTGGGCTCTTGGGCTGCGTCGGTGGGCCGACCTGGGGTCGGAAGGAGGGGCGGGGGATAGGGAGGAGGAGGAGGAGGAGGAGGAGGAGGAAGAGGAGGAGGGTGGCCCCCAGGGGCCGCCGAAATCTGAGAAAACCTTCGTCCTGATGTGTTCCACGCGCTGGACCTCTGGGGCGGCAGGTCGGCGGCGGCGGGGCGGCGGCGAGCTCCAGGCCCTTCCAGCGCGGCCGGAAGTGCCGCGCCCCCAGCTCCCGCAGCCCGACGGGCCCACGCGCCGGGCCCCTGCGCGCCCGGCGTCGACGTCGCCCGTCGTCGTGCCGCCGACGTCGTCGTCGTGGTCCTTCGTCGTCGGTCTTCGTCCTTCGTCGTCGTCCGTCGTCGTGCATCGTCCTGCACCGTTGTCGTCGCCTCGTCGTCACCATTGGTCGTCGTCCTCTTCGTTGTCAGAGGTCGTCGCCGCCGTCGGCGTCGTCCTTCGTCGTCGCCGTCCTCGGAGGAGAGGATCGAGGGATCGAGGAGCAGCGAGCATCGAGAAGGATCGAGGGTGGAGGATCGAAGGATCGAGGAGGAGCGAGGATCGAGGAGGGTCGAAGAACATCGAGGAGGGGGAGGAAGAGGGGGGAAGCGATTCGAGGGCCAGGGGCTGGCTTGAAGCCCGGGGGGCAGCAACCCGAGGACGGGGGGGGGGGGAGGCGGGAGGGGCGGTTCGGGACTGGATTCCAGTCACGGACCCAGCGCTCAATCCGCCCCTCGTTCGGGAGCTCCCGAGCGAAGTGAACCCCACCCTCCCCCTCAGGAATCGTGGGTGGTAGGGGTAGGGTTCGCATGTGGCCCCCTAAAAAAGCTCATCTAGCACCTCAGCGACGCCGTTGGCGAGGTCAGGGAACATTATTTTGAACAAGTGCTGCCAAATGTGTCTCGTGTGGGGACGTTTGAAATTATCACCCAAAGTCTGTCAAGAGGCCTGGGCCGCGCTAGCCCTCGCATACGACAACCAAATGCGCTGCACATGAATATCAAAATATCGGAATCGTGGCAAACTATGCAAATCCTACACAAACATGGGATTGTGACGATAACGCTGAAGATTGCATTATGGCCAGTGCAGACTTCCGTGACAAAAAGCACCTCAACGTAACTACGCTTGTACCAACCTTTACATTCCCAGTAGTTTGGCTTGATCGACTTCCACTGGTGAGGGGCAAGTCCCGTAGAAAGGGCGGTGACGATGATGACAAGGTACCAGGAGGAGGACGACGACGAGGGGGACAAGGAGGACGAGGACGAGGACGCTGATAGTAGGGCTGCGCGATCAGGATGCCAGCCCTTGGGCGCCCCTGAGAAGTTTTTCGAGCGGGGATGGCCATCGAAGGCGATTCAGGATAGACCGAAGGGGAAAGGATGCAAGGGGGGGACCCTTGAGAAAATTACCCATTCCTAACATCGGTTTCGCCTGTACTCCCTAGATCTCTCCAAGGGCGCTTTCTGACCAGAGATTTGAGGCGAATCCAACCGTGCCGACGAGGGAGGGGAAGCGGTATCGGTATGTGTCCCTCTTCTGAGCAACATGGAGACGAGGCGCTGGAGGAGCAGCAGGAGGAGCAGGAGGGGATGTGAGTGAGGGATCAGAGGCCAGCAGGCAGGCAGGAACACCAGCAGCAGCATCAATCGCTGCGGACTCGAAGCATGGTCCCAGAGCGAGAAACATGGATCGATGAATCGGAGGCACGAGGATCCAGAAGGATCCGAGAGGGAGGATCGAGGAGGACCGAGGATCCGGGCGGATCGAGGCTCCGGGAGGATGGCCGAAGGTCGCATGTGATCGACGATCGAGGACGCGCGGAGGAAGGCCTGTCCGATCCTCCTTGCTGGACGCGCCGAAGAGTGGGGGGGGGGGGGCCAGGGCGAAGAGGGGGGTCCAGCGCACCACGATCCGCGGACTGTGTGCGCGGACGACGGGGGGGGAACAGGGGGCGCACGCAGAGCAAAGCAACTGGCAAGGAAACCGGGGAGACCTCACGGGAGGACCCGGCCATGATCGGGTAGCGACATCCGAGACCTACCCCCGCCGACCATCGACCCTTCGGAATCGATGAGGGTGGGGATGAGGCTCGGATGTCGCCACGTGCTCGACGAGCTGCGAATCCTGCCCCAGCCGCCCATGGAGTTGCCTGCGTCGTTCCTTGGACAGGGTAGGGTTCGGACTTCGTGGCTGAACGATATTCGCACACACGCATGCTAGGCAGAGGGACTGCGCTGGAGATGGTCACACACACACACACACACACACGTTGGGCGCCCGAGTTATCCGGGGTAACTCGGGTCCGAGGTAACTCGGGTTTGGATTCCCGAAAAACGAACCCGAGTTAGCCCTGACCCGAGTTACCCCTGATGATTCGGGGCCCTGGACGCCCGAATTATCCGGGGTAACTTGGGTCCGGGGTAACTCGGGTTCGGATTCCCGAAAAACGAACCCGAGTTATCCCTGACCCGAGTTACCCCTGATGATTCGGGGCTCTGAACACGGGTCCTCATCTCGTTCCCCCAACGGGACGCCCCCGACTCACGCCCGCCCTCCTCCGAAGCCGTCCGCGGCCCTCAGCATGAGCGAGAAGCCGCAACCGACCGAAACCGCAGTCGGCCAAGAAGGGAGCGGCGAGCCGAACAAAACCGATCGTCTGCGACGCAGCCGAACCGACCGGACCGCGGACACCGATGCGGGGTCCTCTACGGCCTTGGCACGGCACCTTCCCGAGGTCCCGCGGGCTTTGTGTTCCAGCCCGGACAGTCTTTGACGCCCCCAGGGCCAGAAGAGGGCCAACAGCTGGTGGGGATGGGCGACAAGACCGCGGGCACTGGACAGATCGCAACGAAGCCGGAAGCCTGGAGCCTCTTCGCACCGCCCTGTCGGGCGCAGACGGGAAGGAAGTGGCGGAGCGGCAGCCCGTCCCCGAGATGCGCTGGGGGGGGGCCTGGCCGCGGCGCCCTCGCCCAGCAGCGCCTCGCCGGCGCCGCCGCCTCCGTCGCAGTCCATAAAGGAGCAGTGGTAGTCATCGGCCACCTGCTGGCGGCGCGCAGAGGGGGGGACAGGGGGATGGGGGAAGGCTTCTTGGAAGGAGGCTGCTTCTGAGGAGGCGCGGGCCCTACATACATCCGTAGGGAAGGCTCGCGGCTTCTGAGAAGCAGGGGTGCCTCTACGGAGCCTGCCCCCTTCTCCCTGCTCCACTCTGTGCGTAACCGAACCTGCTCGGAAATCGGAGCACTGCCGAGGTCTTTCGCGCCCGATGATGGCCGTGGAGATCAAAATTGTGCAACGACGGAGCGACTGCGCGGGAGAGGGCGGCGGTGATTGACCAGGGACGAGGAGGACGAGGACGAGGAAACTGGTAGCGAGGATGCGCGATAAGGCTGAGAATAAGGAGGGGGACGAGGGCGATGAGGAGGGTGGTGGATACCGAACAGGATCCTCGTGCTAGCATGGGAGGTGCTGCCAAATTAGAAATAGGTGTTGTTCGCGCCCGGCCACGGATGCATGACCCAACCTACGGTGTGAGGAGCGGCCCGACAAGCGAAGCAACTCCTGAACCCAGAAACGTCTTTACCGTAAGAACAATGACACGTGGGCACAACAGCACCCACCAAGACAACGACGACACCAACGAAGGCGACGCGGGGGATGGAAGAAAGTGGATGGGGATGACCGAGCAAAGGGAGCGGCTTCGCATCAAAGGGCGCGCGGAAGGAGCCCAGCAGAAGCGGAGAAGACACAGGCTGAAGTCCGGAATGTAGGCTCGATTTGTGAAAGTTGCTCTTCCTGCTCCCCAGACCTCCTCCGATCCCACCTCCTGTTCCGATCTCTCGTCAAGTCTCCCCAGACCTCGTTCGATACCTCCTACCATCCCCTCCCTCTTCCGATCCAGGATCCTCCCCCCCAGACCTCAGGCGGGCTGACTGTCCGCGCCCTCAACCCCGTCCAAGGTGCAGGCATGTTATCACGGATGTTCCTCGGACGGTCCTGGGGACCGGACCCAGTTCTTGTCGTCCCAGCGCCCGAGAACGGCCCCGGATACAGAAACACGCACACACAGACGCAGACCCAACACACACACACACACTTTTTTCTCCGCACGCGACGTGGCACAACCAATGCACTTTGGGGCTGAATACTTCCCAGGACAAGCAATGTTAGTCAGAGCTGACCCCAACCAGTGATGTCCTGCAATATATGCGGTGCCATCTAGGTGGTGCATTGACGATGGTGCATCTAGGTGGTGCAATCCACGTGGTGCAATCTGCGCGGTGCAGAGCAACACGAACCACCACAGGGCAGTGCAGAGCAGTGCAATGCAAAGCAAAGCAATGCATTGCAGTGCAAAGCAACGCCGTGCCATGCGACTACAAGGAAGTGCCGCACACGGGCCGTGTATTTGGAAGCATGGTGCGGCGGCGGACGGGAACGGGACCGCCGGGGCCGCGCCCAGGCCCCGCTCCTTAGATCGGAGGAGCTGGAGCCCTACAATCAACCCGGACAGTAAGGATGCGCGATAAGGATGCAAGGGCCCTGGACGCCCATTTCGAAGCGTCTCGAGCGGGGCGCGGCCAACGACACTGGCCAAGGATGGACCGAGGAGGCAAGGATGCAAGGGAACCCTTGGGCAGGTTGCCCGGCCTTGCCATGCGGGTCGACGGTAAGTGCAACCACTCTTGTGGGTGTCGAGGGGGGCGCTTCAACTTCAAAGCCACAGTGCACGCTGCCCTCTGGTATCGCTTCAGAAGTGGCACATAGCAGCAGCAACACATAAAAAACGTGCACACATGCACACGAACGCACACAATCACGCAACAACAACAGCAGCAGCAACAACAACACTAACACCAACACCAACACCAACAACAGCAACCATACCATCACAACCACCAACAACAACACCAACAACAGCACCAACAACAACACCAATACAACAAACCTCAAACACATCCACGACAACACTTACAGCAACACTTGCAGCAGCAGCAACAACACCAACAACAACACCAACAACACCAACAACATGTGCAACAACACCAACAGCATCAACAGCATCAACAACACCAACCTCAACAGCAACAACAGTAGCATCAACATCAGCAGCATGCACAACAAAAACAACATAACAACACCACCACCACCACCACCACCACCACCACCACCAACAACAACAACAACAACAACAACAACAACAACAACAACAACAACAACACCAACAGCACCACCACCAACATCAACAGCAACATCAACAACAACAACAACAGCAACAACAGCAACAATAGCAACCACATCATGACCAAACAAGCGCTGACACCAAAGTTTCCTGGGTCTTCCACTGTCCTCCCGAGGCTGACCCTGCTTGCGCCGAACGAGCCTCCACCACAGGCACGATGTCGTAGCCCAGCAGGCCGCCCGCGAACCGCCCCAGCATGTCCGCGGACTCCTTCGCCAGCGCGCTGTGCGTGCCTCAGGGCGCGCCCCCCGCCCTCGTCGCCCCCTCCCCTCGCTCGGACACCGGCGCCGGGGTCTGGGCTTCGTCGATTGGATACAGGGCTTCTTTTGTTCTGGAGCGCCGACGAAGGGGCCGTCCATGAGGGGGGCTCGCAAATCAATCACGTCATGGCCCGAGGCATGTGCGCGGACAAGGGGACATATCGAAAAAAACGGGTTGCCATGAAATCCGGGATGATCTTATGGCCCTGGCCATGAGATTCACTCTCCTGGTCATCACCGCCCTCTTCGCATCCCCGATCTGCTGCCGACTCAAGCAACTCCACTTGCAATGCATTCCCCCCCCTTGCCATCTACTCAGGCAACGCTGGGCCGAGAAGGCGTGCGAGTGAGTCCCAACCTTCGTGAAGCCCAAGTGTCCTTTCGGGCTCCGCCACAGCCCCCTCCAATCTACGCGAGTCAATTTTCCAGGGTATGGTAGAAGTAGTCTTATGTCGGGCGCGTCCTCCTACAAGAGGATTTTGGACGATATACACATGTAATATAAAAATACCGCCCCCCCTGGCCCCGGGTCCCACCCGCCCCCCGACACATCTCGGGAACCCCTCTCGGGGAGCCTCCACAGCGCTCCAGGACAAGACGATTCCAAGGAGCCCCCAGAACGTAAAGAACGGCCCAACGCGCTCCCGCGCAGCTCGAGACACTTCCGACGGCTCTCCAGGCCTCCAGGAGGCCTCCAGAACCCCCATGGGGTCTGGAAGATCTCACACCACTGAGGGGCCCAGCTAACAAACCCACGAGGCACAAACAAAAAACAGCGCCGAACAACGCCGAGGAACTGGAACAAAAATGGGAATCCCACAATTCAGTGTTTTTCCAAGTTTGGCCCCCGGTCTACTCTTGCACAGACCACAGTTCAGACCTAAGACGAAGCCGGGATCGGGGCAAAGTTTGACCGGGATAAAAATCATGCTCGGTTTTTCAAATCACTGGGGGCGCCACCGAACGGGCCTGCCACGCCTTGGGCACCATCGGCTTCGCGAGGGAAGGAATGCGCCCCGGCGCGGATGAGGCCACGGCGCGTATTTGGCCACGCGCGCGCGCCCGAGGGAATTCAGCGCCAAGCGCCTTTCACTCCAGAAGACCCGACGTCAACAAAACAAACTTGAGGCCCCAAGGGGGCCCCAAAGAGGCGGACCGCCAAAACAATCACGCAACCAACGCAACGAAAAACACGTGTAAATGTAAAAAAACGCAGCACTCAGTGACCTCTACGGCCACGCAACACCGCGAGAATGCCCAAGAAGGTATTGGAAAAGGGGCCCGCGCGCGGCCTGGCGACTTCCCCGCGCCGCCCCAAGATTCCCGAAACGCGCCGAAATAACCGTAGAGGAAACCCCGGAAAGTCTTTGGAAGGCCCCCGCACTATGCAATATCCGCCACCGAATAATCTCGCGGACACCTAGCGCGCACGCGCGGGCGTCCACATGGATGCCCAACTCCGGTTTCGGAGACAATCGCGCGCAACCGCTCGGGGGCTTCGGCAACCTCGCGATTGGCCCAGGGGCCCGCGGGCCCCAGGGAATCGAGGACCGAGTTCGCGACTCCGGAAGCATCGGGCGCGGCGCCAGCCAGTCGCTCGTCTCTGGCTGACAGTGGGACGCCTGGAGATCCGGTACAACCTGAGGAACCGCTTTTCAGAGATTCACAGAACCAGAAAACGGGGCGCGCCAAATTCTCGCGTCCGAACTTCCCTGAGAATCTCTGAAAATCTCTGAACTCGACACCCCGCGTGAAACATTCCCATAAACCCAAAAACCTCGGAGCTGGCCGAAATTCTCTGAGAGATTTTCGGCCCGCGTAATTTGGCGCGCCCGGATTTCCCGTTCCGAGATTCTCTGAAATCGACCTGCGGCGGCGCCCAGCAGGTCTTCACGCGCCGAGGGTGGGGGCCGTGGACATCGCAGGCCGCGATGGTCCCGACCACGAGGTCCTTCCTCCTGCCCCTCGACGAGTCCACGCCCATGGACACGCTCTCTGCGCTGAGCGTGGACCGCGCCATCCGCCGGCACTTCTGCGCGACGACAGCCAACTGGCCGCCGACGGACAAGGCGATTCTTTTCCGAGCTGCGCGTGCCACCGAAAACGTACAATAGCCCCGGGCTCGGGGAGAAACACTTTCGAAGCATTTTCAGGCCGCCAGCGTCGTGGCTGCCGACCCGCCGCGCGACGACCGCGAGACTAGCTGGGCCCACTACGTCCACGGCGGCGGGCGGGCGCCCAAGAGAGCTGTCGCGACGGTGCGCGCGGCGGGGCGCCCGCCCCACTGCAACCGCACATGCGGCCTCCATGGCGCCACAGGCGTAATATGTGTGACGCACTCTCGGGCCCCCCATCAACGCATCGGCCAGCGCCCAAGCCCCTGAAACGCAAACCTACTGCGCCCCCCGTGCAAGCCGCGCACCCGCTCCCAATGCTCGTGTACACCAGCTTTTCTGCCCGCCCTCAACAGTTTAATTGAGCGCCCACGCGTTACTTGGGCTCCTCAAGCCCTCGAAAAGTCCTTGGGGAACTTCTGCGAATGCGCGCGCTGCGCTCCACAATTCGGCGTTTTATTTTTCTTTGGAACTCTCCCAGAATCTCTGGTTCCGATTTGTCCCGATCTTCCGCTCAACTGAAGACCCCCCTCACCTCCCCAAAAAGAACACAGGAAACCTTAATATCTAAACAGAAAATTAATGATTTCTGCGTGTCCGCACTTCCCCTTCTATATGATTCCGAGTCTTGCGCAGGGTTGCGCAGGGCCTCCAACGGAGTCCCTGGATGCAAGAAGCGATAAACATGATATTACAATAGTTAGCTTATCAAGCCTAGCTAGAACTTGAGCGCGCGCGAAGCGCACGCGATGGTTCTAGTCCATATATATATGCATACATCATATACACATATAAATATACACATGAAAATCAAACATAATAGTCAAACCATAATTTTAAGAAATACCCCCAAACATCGTCCCCCGACTATGTTAAAAACTAGGTTTGAATTCTCCGCATGTAAAAGGACATGCCCGACTGAATTAGAGGGCAGAAATCCACTGCGATAGTAACCACCCCGACACGCGAAGCCGTTCAGTAAACGCACCCGAAGAAAGAATCAGACAGGGCAAGGCTGTTTGGTAAAGGCCCAGGGCCGCTCAGTAAAGGCCAATTGACCGGTCTGGGTGGTTCGTCCTCCCTTGATTACTGCAAGTCAATTTCCCATGGTATAGAAATAGTCTCATCATGGCAGGCGGGCAACTTCGCTCTGGGATGCCATGGGCCTGCAGAAGCCCGTGACGAGAAGGCCTCTACGTTTGGCCTCGGGGGGGGGGCCTCCGGACTGGAGGCCGCCCAAGCTGGGATCCGAGCAGATTGAAGGGGCCCAGGGACACACAAGCAAAGACACGCGAATCCCAGGATTCCCTCATGGTTTCTCCTATCATTTTCTAGGGTTATGTTCCCCCCCCCCCCCCCGCTTCCCACATTTTCGCATATTTTCTGGGGAATCGACGATTCATTGTGTCTGTGTTTTTTCCCTCCTGGCAGATGGGGCCAGAGGATCGCGCTGCACCGTCGATGCAAGGCCGATGCATCGGCGACGCCGGAATGGATGGAACCGGGAACCGGATCGAGCCGCGTCGCCGATGCATCGGCGATGCGGCGTGATCTGCTCGGGCCCTGCTTGTCCGGGCGGTCTGGACAGAGACGTCTCGGCGCCGAGAACTTCGGGGGCCTCAGGGCTGGGCCGAAGGAGGAGGAGGAGGAGGAGGAGGAGGAGGAGGAGGAGGATGAGGAGGAGGAGGAGGAGGAGTGTCCAAGGCAAACAACGCAAATATCCGTATCCGCGGCCGGCCTCGCGGGCCGGACGCCCTGTGCAACCACCGTACTACCACGAATAAATAACCGCAGAAGGTCTTTGACGCTGCCCCCCCCCCAAGCTCTCGGCTGGGAATAATCGTCCTTCCCCTCCTCGCCCCTCCCCCCTCCTCCTCGCCCTCCTCCTTGCTCTCCCTCCTCCTCGTGTTTCCCTCCTCGACCTCCCCCTCGTCCTCCCTCTCAGCATCGTTCCCCTCATCGCCCTCCTCCTCACTCTCCCTCCTCGTCCTCCTCCTCGTGCTCCCCTCCTCGCCCTCCCCCTCGTCCTCCCTCTCCTCGTCCTTCCCCTCCTCGCCCTACTCCTCGCCCTCCCCCCTTGTCCCCCCTCCTCTTCTCCTCCTCGCCATCCTCCTCCTCCTCCTCATCGCTCTCCATCATCCTCGCTGATCCTCTTCGCCCTCCTCCATGTGCTCCCCTACTCGCCCTCCCCCTCGTCCTCTCTGTCCTCGTCCTTCCCCTCCTCGCCCTACTCCTTGGTCTCCCTCCTCGCCCTCCTCCCGATGCTCCCCTCCTCGCCCTTTTCTCGCTCTCCCCTCTCGCCCTCCTCCTCCTCGCGCTCCCCTTCTCGCCCTCCTTTCCCTTGAGATCCCCAAGGAATCCGTGCAAGGGTTCGCAGGAATTGCCTTGTGCAGATACATTGTATACATGTACTAACAAAGGTTTGGTTGTAGGCGCACAAATACACTTATACAGATGGGTTGTGTGGAAGCACACGCACAACTATAAAAGCATTGGTCTTTGTGTGCGTATATGACCCCGCGGACTGCTAACATCTACAGCAGTTACTCTATGTTTACGCACCCTGCCGGCATGCACATCATGTTTTTCCCCAACAGATAACGCCCCCTGGGCAATCCTGCACGAGAGAGAATGTTTAAGCTCCCGTGTAAAAGGATTGAACTCGAATTCGCTACATATCCCATCGAATCGGCGACGTCTTTGTCGTCGTACTCGCGATCGTCCTCGTCACCGTCTTCATGTGAGGTTTGCGCGAATGACGTGCGCAGTAAGATCTTGCCATAATTGTGCTGAGCACGTTCGGTGGTTGCCTCGCGTGCAATTGTTTTGCTGGGTATTGCTGGGTGGTTCCCTCTCCCTTCAGATAATGCTTGCCCGGGTACCCTGCACAACAGAGAAATCTTGAGTTTGTGTGGAAGAAGCGAAACTAATTCACAACATCTCCAGTCGAGAATGCGCGCCGACTTCGTCATTGTCGTCGTCGTGATCGGCATCGTCTTCTATGGGAATCGCGCAGGTAATCGTGCGCAGTACGAGCCCGCCATCGTTGTGGCGAGCTCGTTCGGTTGTTGGCGCGCGAGTGATTTTTTACGCAAAATTGTTCGTCGTGCAGGCGATGGTTGGGTGGTTGTTGCTCCCAGCGAATATTCCGCAGTGGTCTAAGGATGTTCAAGCATCGACGTACAATGATGGAAATACAAACCGCATGGTTTTGTTTCCACTTCTCCCAAGGAGTCTCCAGGAATCCTCGAAATCCTTAGGAACCCCATGGATTGCTAGAACTCCTATCCTGAGGAATCCTACGAATCCTTAGGAACCCAGAAGAATCCTCAGGGAATCCGAAGAATCCGTCGGATCCCGTAGAAACCTCGAGGAATCCTACGAATCCCTAGGTATCCCCAGAAAGCCCCAGCAGCTGCCGTCGCGGGAGGGGAATATGTTCCCCACAACGTTTTTGGTCCAAATCCGTCAAGAAGCCGGCGCTAGAAGTAAAGAATTCCGATCATCAAGGTGGAGTTTATCTCAAATGCCCTTCGAGGTTAAAAGGGGTCCGTAAGGACGTAAGCAAGACTAGGCAGACTCCAAGATACTCCATATGCTCTCATGTTTCCCTGATAGTCCTCTTAATCTCCATGTCCCAGATGTTCCCGCAGATGATTTTACCGTAGTTGTTGCTGTGTATGGTTGCCCCATTCCGAGAGCAAGCACAAAAAAAACGCGCCCCACTCCCCGCACCTTCATCGTGCGACCATAAAAAACACGGTTCTGGCAACGCCGCACCCTGGCCACGACTTGGCTGCCAGACCTAGCTCCACGGACCGACCCCCAGGAACCTGAGCCCCTCCTAAGCCGAATCTTGTCTTCACTTCAGCGTCTTGACTGCAGGGCACGATCCGCGGGAAAGGTGTGCCGAGAGGGGTGCATGTCCACGTGCAAGTGGTCCCTCTAGCCCGCATGCGTACGCTCCCTCTTGGGCCGCAGGTGGAGCTCCCTGCGGGGTGCGATCCGTGCAGCGGGTGTACCGAAATAGGCACACAGCGACATTCGAATTGGCGCACGGGGGCCGCAGGTGGAGCTCCCAGAGTGCCACGATCAGCATGAGAGGCATGTGGGGTGCCGAAGTGGGCCCGCCGCGGCATGCGGACTTTGCCGCTCGTCGGTCTGGTCTTCCAAAGACCCTCCGCCTTACGGGAAATCTTCTTGGGGAGACTAAAAGGTACCGATACTGCTACTCCCCGGACCTCTCCCGGGGTGCGTGCTGACCAGGATTTTGAGGCGAATCCAACGGTGGCGACGCGGGCCTCCGAGGAGGCCCGAAAAAAGGAAAACGAGGGGAGGGTAAAGGTATGGGGTACCTTTTCCTCCTCTGAATTCTGAGCCTCCTCCGCATGCGCAGAGGGCTCCTCACACGAGGGGCGGGGGGAGCAGGCGCGTCTCTGGCGGCGTCACGCGCGGCGAGGCACTCGGCGACGATGCTTTGTTTGGCGGCGGCGTGCGAGCTCGCGCTCTCTGCCGCTCTCCGTCGAGGGAGTCTGGGGCGGCGAGGGCCTCCTCCGCACACTTGGCGTCGAGGCGAGGGGTAGCCTTCGGTCGGGCCTGTCCCCCTACAGGGGGATCTTGGACGACAAATGAAGAAAACTCAAAAAATCGAAAATTGCTCGAAAACACTCCAAAAATAGTCCCCAGACTATTTTCTTCAGCTATTTTTGAACATTCCCCCTGTAGAGGGACAGGCCCGACTTAAGGGTAGCCCGAGGACCTGCCACAGCGGGACCGCTCCAGAGCCAAGGTGTTCCACCGACCAAAGAGGACGGAGGAGGAAGAGGAGGAAAAAAAGATGCTGCTGCCGCTGCTCCCAGGACCTCTCCTGGGGTGCGCTCGGACCTTAATTTCGATGCGAATCCAGCCGTGTCGACGAGGGCCTCCCAGGATGCCCCGGGCGAAACCGAGGGAACGGTGGCGGTACTGGTAGGAGGGGAAGAAGCGGGGAGCCGACCTTGGTCAGCGCCCAGTCGTGCAACATCCTCGCGAATCGGCGACGGTCGACATGGACCATGACCCAGATTCAGGGAGACGTGAGACTCGGATTCGGGGGACTCGGGTTGGCCTGACTGGGTCGTCAAGAAAATGACGAGACCAATCCAAACTTTGACGCGAATTCCCGCTGCAATCATGCCACGAAAACGCACTGGGCTGTCAAAGACTTACTTACCCATCAAAAAGCCGTCGGCAAACTCGAGTTCCGGCGAAGTCGAGCCTCACGCTTCCCCGACAGATAGGCACTGCCAAGATCCCGCGACGCCTTGGTCCAGCGGGGCGTAAAGGTGGGGCAGGGGCAGAGACGGGGCGAGAGGTACACCGCTCCAAGCTGCCTCTGGAAGAAGTACATGCCAGCATCCGACCGGGCTCGCTCCGGAACCCTACCCTTGGGACAGCCCCCTTCCTGCGAACCTCCGCTTGGCCATGGCCCCCCGCGCTTCTCGCCTCGCGTTTGAACGCGTGCGGAGGAGGAGATTGGACGGGGGAGGAGGAGGGGGAGGAGCGCTGGCACGGCCGCCGCTGTCATCTGTGCGGTCGGGAGGCCCCGCGCCCCGGGGGAGCCGCCGCCCGGCGCCCCGCCAGGCGGGCGGCCGCGCGCGCGAGGTGCTGCAGCGGCCCCTCCAGAGACGCGTCCTGCTCCTCGCCGTCGGCGCGCGGCGCGGCGGAGCAGCGTTGCACCGATCCAGATCCACACCAGCGCGGCCTGGGCCCCACTGGCCGATGTATCCCCCCTGGGTGGGGGATGAAGAGGCCGCTCCCTCCGGGTTTCGAGGGGCATCTCCCCACCCGGGGTGGTGGGGTGGTGGGGATCTGGACGGGCATGGAGACGGGGATGGGGATCGGTTCGACGACGCTGGGTAGAGGAAAAAGAACTATGCACATACACCGATTCTGGCCAGACCCATCCTGAGCCCAGGATCGGTGCATACGCCCCCCTACCTTGGCCAGGAAGGCATATGCACCGATCCTGGGTCAAGGATGGGCCTTGCCAGGATCGGTGCATGTGCATAGTTCTCTTCGCCCGAATGGAGACGGGGATGGGGATCGGTTCAACGATGCTGGGTGGCGCCGGGGGCCCCGGCGTGCTCGCGCCGCGCAGAGCATCGCAACCCCAGCGGGCGATCTGCGGCCACGTTCGGCCTCGGCGGCCCGGGTGGGGGGCCGCTGCGGGGGACCTCGGCTGTCCCTTGGCGCCGCTATCCGCGTCGGATCCGCGTCGAATCCGTGTCGAGCGCGTCGACTCCGCGTCGAGGTCCACGTCGACCCCGCGTCGTATCCACGCCGATGCCCTGCCGACTCCGCGCCACCCACGCGTCGAATGTCAGAAAAGATCAAGATCTACGGGTCAGGATCGCCCCTCGAAGATGCGACGCAAGTTCTTATTAGGGGGGAGGCGTCACGGACAGGGGCCCAGACATGCTCGCGTCGCGCAACAAAAACACATCAACGGACAATTTCCAGCAATGTTCAGTCTCGAAGGGCACTCGCCTGGCCCCAACACCGTCAGACCACTGATCGGGATGAAGAACCCACCCTGGGGAAAGGGTCGGGACTTCTGGGGACCCCGAGTTGGAAGAACCGAGACGTCGAGTGTCTCCGAGGAGGGACCAGCTCGTGGGAGGGACGTCGACCTCGAGTTGGCGACACGTCGCCGACAGATCGGCGACGAGCCCCCGATGTCGAGCCCGCACGCTCCTGGGCGGAGGGTGAGCCATGCAGACGGAGAGAGAGGCAGACAGACAGGCAGACGGGACAGCGCTCTGGCCGGGAAAGGCAGTCCTCGACGAGGGCGGGCGTTTGGGACTCGCAGACCCTCACAGTGGAATCCCACCAGCCCTTCGGGGCGTGAGTGATTGTGGGCGTTTCTCCTTCCATCTTCCCTCTTCCCCCTCGGGGAAAAGTTGTCACTGCTCCTGAAAATATACACCCCCTCCCCCACCCGGCCGGCGGCCAACCCGGAACCATGCCGACCCTATGCGGGCCCCCCCCCCCAGCATCCATGTCAACAAACACAAAATGCAAAACGCACTCTGCCTCCACATTTGGAGCATGCGCGGCCAACCCGATGCGGCCCCCCACACCATCCCTGTCAACAAAAGTACAAAGCACCCTTCGGGGCGGCAAAGTCTTGAGTCATGTGCGTGAGGCCCGCGGGTACTTCCAGCTGCCCCTGGCACGCGTGGGGCCCCTGGCACGCGTGGCGCACCTCGCCCAAGCGTCGCTCACCTGGGGTCGGCTTTGGTTCCCAGTAGCTGACGATCCAAAGACGACCGCTAAACATGCTCAGGCTCGGGAGTTATGTGTTGGGAGGGCGGGTGGGAGTGAGCTAGACGGCTTGCGGGCGGCTGGGTAGCTTCACCCATCCCCATACCCCCTACCCATGGGTCTGGACAGGGGTGTTCGCGAGGTGTCAGAGGGTCTTGTCTGGCCTCGGCAAGAAGGCCCACATCATTTAGTTGACTAAGGTTTTGGCCGCAATCTGGCCTCCTGGGGGGAAGCCACACTTAAGGACACCGCCCAGAGGTGCCCAGGAGGCCGCAAGAGCCCCCTAAGATCCCCAAGAGGCTCCCAAGAGACCCCCAAGAGGGCCCAGGAGGCCCCCCCAGAGGCAGCATCCAAGACGCCGCAAGAGACCTCGCCGAGAAGGCCAACATCACTGCTGCTACCAGTAGGGTTTGGGCCACATTCGAGCCTCCGAGGGGGTGGAGGGAACCTGATGCGAGAACCTCCTCCATTGATCGATCTATTCCAAGATGGCCCCAAAGTGGCCACCGAGGCTCCCATGGGTGCCCCAAGACCACGAGACCCCAAGCCGCCCCAAGCGGACTTCAGAAGCTCTCGAACGACACCCGAAGAGACTCCGAGAGCTATCCAAGATGCATCTGGCCGTTCTACACGCCTTCCTCATCCTCATCCTCCTCCTCCTCCTCCTCCTCATCCCTCCTTCGTCTCCTCCCCTTCCTCCTACTGTTCCTCATCCGCCTGCTCCTCCACCTTCCTCCTCACTTCTCCCTCCCCCTCTCCCTTCTGATCCGCCTCCTCCTCCTCCTCCTGCTTCTCATACATCCTTTCCCTCTTGTGGTGTGACGTCTTATCCAAGCCTTTATTCCACTGCATGTTCCTCCACATACCTGGTAAAACCAACTCGCCTGGGCATCGCTTCTGGATGTGCTTGTGAAGCGACGCAAAACGTCTATTAGAATCGACAAAGGGTTGCCGCTGCACTAACACAGACGTAGGGGGGGAAAAAGCAACAACAAAATACTGTCCCGACAAGCATCCGTGCAGGCGAAGCCATTTGATACGCGCGCCTAAATAACGAATCAAACAAGGCAGGGTGGACAGGGCAGGGCTGATGAGTTAACGCCCGGGGCTGTTAGCAAACGGGCAGCATGGTAGGTGGCGACGTCCGAATGCTACCCCCGCCAACCATCGATTCTCTTGACTTGATGGGAGGCGGGGGTAGGGTTAGGATGTCGCCACGTGTTCGACGGGTTCCGAACCCTATAGCCCCGCCGCCCATCGCTGAATCGTTGATCGGCGTGGGTCAGATTCCGATTTCGCCGCCACACGCGCACATGATGAGGGGAAACCAAAAAGTACCGATACCGCCACTCCTCGGACATCTCCTGGGGTCAGGATTTCGAGGCGAATCCCGCGGTGGCGACGAGGGCCTCCCAGGAGGCCCACAATGGGAAAAACTGGCGAAGGGTAGAGGTATGGGTACCTTTTTCCTCCTCTGACGATGGGGGGGGTCGGAATGTTTTTTTTTTGTCCTCCCCTGGTCCTTCAGGCGCGCCACCAGCTTCTCGAGCATCACCTCCTCGCGGGTGGCAGGGAACGAACACACTGGCCCTGCGAGCGACGGCGCGACGGCGCGGCGACCAGCCTCTCGCGGCGAGGCGTCGGCGTGGCCGTCGGCATGCACACCGCGTAGAGGAGAGGGCGCTTACCTAGGAGCAAGGAACGGCGACACCAACACACACCAACACCAGATGCGAGGAGCAAGGGGGGTCTCCCTTGTGGTGTGGTCCCCCCTCTCGCTCGAGGCATCCCCAGCCTCTAGCTCGGGGAGGCATCGCGGAACTCCTCGCTGGAGGTGGCCCCCCTGGTGGTGTTGGTGTCGCATCACCTCCCTCCGATTACCCACGACCTTCCGCGGGCAACTGACGCGATTGTGCCCGCGCGGCCGACACATGCTGCTGCTGCGTCGCCCTGGTGGTAGAAGGGCGGCAACTTATTCGACGCGCGGATACCCCGTATGCATTCATCGCTTGGCGTGCGCTCCCTTGCGTGTTCGAATCAGGGCGGGTGCGAGCGCGAGCGAGGCTGAATAGGAGGGAGTGTGCGCGTGATCGCCATGGTGCGAATGTGTGGCGACTCTTGGCACGAGAGGGCGTGCACGCGGCTGGATCGGGGTGTGCTCGTGAGGGGTCGTGACCTGGGCGCCTGGGAGGTCCCCACGAGTCGGGGCGCGAACGGGCCCGTGCAGCGCTGCCCGGCCGGCTCCCACTCGAAGGCCCCAATGCCATACCTGCCACACATCGCGACGGATTCTGCTCTGGATGCTCATCCTGGGGACCTTCCTGGAGACACTCGCTCCACTCGTGCGTCGAAGCTGCGCTGAACGTTCGTCGAGTTGCGTCGACCCTGAGTCGATCCTGAATCGAACCTGAGTCGAACCGTGAGTCAAACTTGAATCGAACTGGGGTCGAACTAGAGTCGAACAGTTCCATCAGGTGTGCCCCAGGAAGGTCCCCAAAACGAGCAGGTGCTGTCCTTCTGTTTCAGGGAGCCTCATCTGCTGTCCTCTTTTACCCATGCCAAATCCCCCTAGCGAAACGCGATTCAGAAAACACGCCGCCACAGCCGCAACTCTGCCCGAAAAGCCCCGCCAATCTGAACCCGAACGGGCCATTGTCATACATCCTGGCGGCTGCTCCTAAGGAAGCTCACATGCCAGACCTGCTACATCGCGATGCTTTGAGTGGGGCTGGCTGTGATCGGGGAGGGGGAGCAAGGTGCCGTCAAATTACGCAGTTCGAGCGAGTCAGAATACCCTGCCTATTCCCGCCAGCCCTCTTTCATCAAAACGATGGATTGTGTCACACCTTGTACTACTGAAATTGAACGCGTTGCGACCTAGCAAACGGAAAGGCGTTCGCGCGTGGCCCCGCTTCCGACGAATTGGCAACGGAAAAACTACGCGGGCCGCGCGGGGGTGGGAGCGCAAACCCTTCCGCAGACGTAGCACTGCCACTTTCTCTCGCAAACTGCGCGGCGCGTGGGCGAGGCCCCGCTGCCCCTGTCGTTTGCATAATATTCGGCGGAATCTGCGCGACGCCGAGGCAAGAGCGACACTTTCGTCTGGTCGCGCGTCGACGAAGTTGGGTGCGAAAAGTGCGCTCCGCGCCCAAGCGGGAGCCCAACTCTCTGGAAAAATGGTCTCGGCTCCAAAACGAGAGCAACATTTCGGCCTTTCGCGCGGGATGTGCGCAACAATCCCACTCCTGCCACGCACTCTGCAGCATGGAAGACGTATGTGAATGTTTTTGCAGAGGCGTGACCTGCCCCCTGTCAACGACATGTTTCCATCTGTTATGTGTTGAATGTATGGTGTCAATTCTGGTGCCTCCTTCCCTGTATATATATATATATATATATATATATGTTACGTTCGAATGTTTCGGTGAACGGGAAAACTGCACTGCCGTTCCCGGGGGAAGCTGAGGACTAAGGGCGTTTCGCTTGTAACAAGAACCCCAAACCTAGAATTTGGTGCAAAACCTTGCTAAGCACATTCATTTGGGGTTGTGCGAACTCCTCGGGTTGGCGCTGGCTCCACCTGCCCGCGCCCGTCCCCCCAGGTGCGGAGCGCGCCTGGGGCTGGTGGGAGGGCATTCAGCGCCGCCCCCAAAAATCCATACCTCGGGCAATGTATGCGTTATGTCGTCTTCGGTACGTATCCGGAATGCAATCCGGGGGAGCTTGCAAGCTCCGAAAAGCGAGCTTCGAAGGAGCTTCGAGGGAGCTGCGGCAAGGCTCGAGGCACACGTATTGGGAACGAGTAGGAAAACGCTTACCAGAACACGCTGGAGGTTCAAGCAACTTGCTCCGGGGATGCCTGCCTAGGAGCCTTGGAGAGCAGCTGGCGTAGCCCTGCCTGCTGGCTTCTTATCTACTTATCTAACAACACTCCTAGCTCTCCAAAGAACTATCCAGGAAATTCGTGATGTCGTCTCCGGTAAGTATCCGACACGGGCTGTCCCAAGGCTGCACCTCATCGCGGACCGATCGGATCGCCTGTGAGCACGTGAGTGCGGCTCCGCGAGACAGGTCTGTTTATACAAGGCCACCGCCAGGGGAGCCGAGTTCTGGGGACCCCGGGGGGGCGGTGGGTACCGATATACACATATGTATGCATGTAATTGTATGATGCATGTATGTGAGGTTGTATGTACGTATGTATATGTGTATGTGTGTAGGTGTGTAGTGTGTAGGTGTGTATGTACATATATAAGCATGTATGCATGTATGCGTGTATGCACGTATGCATGTATGCATACATGCATGTATGCATGCATGCATGTATGAATGCATGCATGTATGCATGTACGCATGTATGCATGTATGCATGTATGCATATATGCATGTATGCATGTATGCATGGATGCATGTATGCATGTATGCACGTAGGCATGTATGTATGTATGCATGCATGCATGCATGCATGTATGTATGTATGTAGGTAGGTAGGTAGGTAGGTATGTATGTATGTATGTATGTATGCATGCATGTATGTATGTATGTATGGATATACGTGCTGATGCATGCATACATGCATGCATGCATGCATGCGTGCGTGCATGCATGCATGTATGTATGTGTGTATGTATGTATGGGTGTATGTATGTATGCCTTTCTGTGTGTCTGTATGCAGGTATGTGTATGTACGTATGAATGTATGCATGCATGCGTGTTTGTATGTATGTCTGCATGCATGCATGTACATACTGTATGTGGTACTGTATGTGTATAGATGTACATATGTGTGTGCATGTGTGTATGCGTATCTGAAAAATTGTATGTGTAACTGAATGGACGTATATAGCTGTGTATGTTTGTATGCATGCAGACAATGATGTAGGTATGTATGTCCGTATGTATGTCCGTATGTATGTGGTTATGCATGTTTGTATGTGCCCGTGTATGCATGCATGCATGTATGTATGTACCCAGGTAGATACACACATATCTCTATATATGTATGTTTGCATACATATATATGTATACATATGAATAAATATATATATATATATGTATAAGAGTGAAGGGCCAAACGGTCAGTCACTGTCCCTGGGCGCGTGGCTGACGTGGGACACCGCGGCGTGTTGCATTGCGTTGCGTTGTTGCTGTCGTCCCCCTCCCCCGCGACCCACCCCGCGACCCACCCGTGACCCACCCATGACCCACCCGCGTCCCACCCAAGACCCACCTGCGACCCACCCAAAACCCGACCGCGACCCGCCCCGCGACCCACCCGCGACCCGCCCCGCGACCCACCCGCGACCCCCCCGCGATCCGCACGCGACCCGGCCCCGCCCGTGACCCACCCGCGACCCACCAACATTGCTTCAACGGGAAAATCGGCGCCTGCAGTGGGCTCGGGCGGGCTCGTTGCATCGTTTGTGAAAGTGAGGCGCCTGCGGTGTGCTGCTTCAGATTCTGGCAGGGTGCCGACGTCCCCGCCGCCCACCAGCGACCCCCCCGCGAGCCGCCCGCGACCCGCCCGCGACCCACCCACGCTGCTGTCAGGAGACAATCGGAGCCTGCGGCGGGCTTCTTAAGAGCCTCGCAAACTGCCGACGTCCCCGCCGCCCGCTCACTCTTATCCGAAATTGCGGGGTGCTACGTATGTGTATATATACATATATATATAAAAATATAAATATATATATATATATATACACACATATATATATTTAGATATGTATGTATATATATATATATATATGTGGGGGGGTGCCCTTGGGCCCTGATAGTGTCTCGATCAAACGCCTACCGAGGACCCCGAAGATCTGCCAGGCGGCGATTACGCAACATGTATTTATCCCCGCCTCGAAGGATCGGACCCAACTGCTGCCTGCTGGTCGCCCTCGGGGTTGCATGATCGGACGAGCCGATGCCGCGCACGGAGGCTGGCACGCATCAGCGCATCACCGAAGAGAAACGAACGCAGACAGGTCCACTTCGCTAAGGGCTTAACGAACTGTCCTGTCGCTCGGCTCGCCCTGGAGCTTCTTCCTTTCCTCCAGATTCTTCAGGACATCTCTGTATCTGACTCGATCGATATGGACCTGCGTCGCTTGATCTGAAATTACCTCGACATGCCTGGTCTGATGTGCGCAAGTCGATCGGAGAAGCGTCGGCAAGCCCTTCATGGGGGACTACTCCTGGTTGAGGATCAGCGATACCACCAGCGCGAGGATCAGGGAGCGCTTGGCCCCGATGCCCACGGCCTTTACGTGCCGCATGTGGCGCGCCTTGAGCCGGACGATGCTGACCCCCTGGTCCGGGAGGCCCTTCCGAAAACACCAGTCCGAGATCTCCTGGTCCGCCGTGTACTCGTACACCGAGTCGGCCTTGCCGGTGGTGCCGGTGGCCAGCTGGAGGATCCAAGACACGTTCTCGTGGAAGACAGAGACCTTTTCCAGCCCCACCACCGGAACAATCTGCCCCTCCGCCGAGTGGATGAGGTCCAACTCGATGCCTTCCTCAGGAGCAAGCGACAACAGCATGTTGAGCAGGGGCCGACCGTCCCAGCATTCCCATAGGCCTCCCACGAAAGGTTCTTAGAACACAAAAAAGGTTCTTAGAACAGTGTCTGGTAGGCCTATAGGCACGCCGGGACGCTTCGCCACTGCTTGAGCTATGTTGTTCTCATCGTGCTTAAAGACCACATCACAGAATTATGTTCGAGCATCCGGAAAAGTGTCGAAAGAGTGTCGAAACAGTGCCGGCCGATTGTCTCCCAGGGCCCGACATGTGATAACACCATGGAATTTCGGTACTTTTTGGGGCGCTCGAACTTTTTCCTGGTGATCGATTCTACGGTTGTGGATACCATGACAATGGACGCTCTAGCAATCCTATCGTTGAATAAAAACCTGTGTTTCAAAATGTGTAAAACATGTTCTAAAAATGTATCAAACCTAAACATCTGGAAGTTAGTTTGCAGCACGCTTCCTCTCCATTGATCGACTTCCACAAGGCTAAAATAGGTTGGAGCATCCTGGGCACAGACGCAAAACCCCAGGAAGCATTTAAGAACCCCCCCGGCGATATCTTAGCACCGCATTTTTATTCGATATTCCGAGGGGCCGAAATAACCGCACGATAGGTTTAGCACCTGGACACACAACAAATTCGCGGAGGCCAGAGGGGAAACCCCAGGTGACTTGCGCCCTGACAGGCCTTGGGCCCCGAGGGAAGGAGGGGGGCGCGGGAGGAGGAGGAGGAGGAGGAGGAGGAGGAGGAGGAGGAGGAGGAGGAGGAGGAGGAGGAGGGGGCAGGAGGAAGTTCGTGGGTGGAGGAGAGGAGGAGGAGGAGGATGAGGAGGAGGAGGAGGAGGAGGGCTCCTGGTGCCAGGTAACGCTTCCAGGGTGCGGAAGGGTTATCGATTTGCCGGGGGGGGGGGGGGGGGTTCTTAAATGCTTCCTGGGGTAACTCTCGGAGGTCCGCACGGGCTCATCGGCTCGGCGCTGGACCCCCCCCCCCCGGGCGCCCGGCGGCGCCGGAGACGCCACGGCCCGGGCGAGCCCGCGCGGACCTCCGAGCGGCAGCGTCTGTGCACCGTGTCGCCTTCTCTTCCTCTGCTCAAGGCTACACCCTGCGAAATGCTTAAGAAATCATGGGTTAAGAAATTCATAGTCTCAGAATTTGAATAAAAACCCAGAATTTCTATCAAAATCTGTGGATTTACACTGAAACGTTAAGAATAATCGAGACTCTGGCCGAAAACTTGGGTTTTCTTAAGCATCGCCTGGAGTGTACGCCGGGCCTGTATCCCTCTACAGGACGAATCATCCAACAAGAATTATGAAAAGATCGTCGGGGGACGATTTCTGTGAGCCTCATCTGGCCATTTGGGGGCATTCTTTTGACACCTCCGGAGCCCCGCGCGGGCTCCTGGGCTCGGCGGTGGGCCCCCCTCCGTGGCGCGAGGGGCGCGCCAGGGGCGGCGACGGAGGTGACGCCCAGGGGGACCCATTGCCCATCTCCGGGCAATCACGTTTATAGGCCGTTGTTTTCAGTCGGGCGTGTTCCCCTACAGGGGGATTTCCGACGAAAAATACGAATAGATTCCCAAAGTACCCCAACATGGTCAAAACATACTCGAAACATAGTCCCCATGCTATGTTTTTACTATTTTAGAATATTCCCCCTGTAGAGGGACAGGCCCGACTTAACCGTTGTTCGCTCCTCCGCAAGGCACCTCGTGACACTTCGGCTCTCGAGTGCAGCACACGCGCTGACCACCTGCTGGCGCACATGTCACGAAGTGGCCCTCACAGCTGCCGAAGTTGGGGGAGCGACAAATGACATGAACAGAAAAACTCAGAGGTCCGCGCGGATTTCCGGGATGGGCGCTGGACCCCCCTCCCTGGCGCGCGAAGCGCGCCAGGGGCGGCGCGGGAGTCGCCGCCAGAGGGCCCCAGTGCTGATCCGAGAAATCCGCACGGACCTCCGAGCTTTTATGTTTATGTAGCCTGTTCCCCTAAAGTAACAGAACAATTGTCCCTCGACTCCCTCCGCGGCGATCCTTAGGTCGGGCGTGTCCTCCTACAGGGGGATTTTCGACGAACAATAATCAAAATCAGAACAAACTCCCCCCAAAGTCGAAAATAGTAGAAAAGTCGACCTCAGGCTATGTTGTGACTATTTTTGAATCTGTCTCCTTTAGAGGGACAGCCCGATTTGAGCCTAAGTAACAGACAGAAGCAATTGCTCCTCGACTCCCTCCGAGGCGATCCTGGCCCACGCCGCCCTCTGGCGACGGCGACGGCGGCTGCGGCGGCCCGCCTCGGCGCCCTGGGGGCTCGCTCCGCCCCCGAGCGCGCAGGGAGGCTGTCTTCGACCGCCGGCGGGGCGGCCTCCGGCCCTCGGCGGCCCAGTCCTCCTGAAACGGCGGGGAGGCCCACACACTGGAATGCTCGTGTCGCGCCTTGCCTCCTCCTCCTCCTTCTCCTCCTCCTCCCTCCTCCTCGTCCTCCTCGACCTCCTCGTCCTCCTCCTCCTCCTCCTCCTCCTCCTCCTCGTCACCCTCCTCATCCTCGTGTTCGTCCTCCACCACCTCGTCCTCCTCCTCGTCCTGCCCCCTTCCCCTCCCCCTCCTCCTCCTCCTCCGCCTCCTCCTCATCCTCCTCCTCCTCTTCCTCATCCTCTCCTCCTCCTCCCCCCACCACTCCTCCTCCTCCTCCTCCTCCGCCTCCTCCTCCGCCTCCTCCTCCTCCTACTCCTCCCACTCATCTCCTTCTCCTCTTCCTCCTCCTCCTCCTCCTCCTCCTCCTCCTCCTCCCCTCCCCCCCTCCCCCCTCCCCTCCCCCTCCCCCTTCCCCCTCCTCATACCGCTCCTCCTCCTGGTCCTGGTCCTGGCCCTGGCCTTGGTCCTGGCCCTCGTCCTCCTCCTCGTCCTCGTCCTCGTCCTCGTCCTCGTGCTCGTCCTCCTCTTCCTCCTTCTCCTCCTCCTCCGCCTCCTCCTCCTTCTCCTCCTCCTCTTCCTCCATCTCCTCCTCCTTCTCCTCCTCCTTCTCCTCCTTCTCCTCATCCTCATCCTCCTCCTCCTCGTCCTCCCTCTCCTTCTCCTCGTCTCCTCGGGTTCCTGCTCTGTACTCCCCCGCTTGGGGCATGACCGCTGCCCCGCCTAGAGTTCGCTGCGTGCTCTCCCTTATTCCTGCTCAGGGCAACTCGCCTGGGCATCGTGCCTGGCTGGGCTCGTGGGGGTACTTTTTTGGTTCGCGGCTCCAAGGCGAGGGACAGGGATCGGGCACAACGTCCGGGGCGCGGTACGGTGTAGATTGGCCGCAGAAGCGTATGCACATGCCAGGGACATCATGCCCCTCAAGTCTCGTGGGGGTACGCGGGGCGTCTAGAACGGTCGCGCCGCGCCCTGCCATGCGCAACACGAGGCTATCTTCGCGCCCTCGCGCCGCCGCCCTCGCGCTCGCCGCTGGTCGGCCCAGTACTCCTGAGGGCAAGGAGGCCAAGAAAGCAATGTCGCATCGTCGGGAGGGCCTCGTCTGTCCCGCCGCGCCGCCATCCGCGTCGAGAGTCCGCGTGGGGTCCATGTCGGACGCGTGGGATCCGAGTCGAGTCCGCATCGTATTCACCCCGATGCCGCGCCGAAGACGCGTCAGACATCAGCAAACGCGGAACTTTTCCGGGACTAGCGAAGTCTTCAAAACACGCGACGTAATAAGGACGCATGCACCCAAATTGTCGGTAGCAACTCATGGGGGCATGCCTTACCATCTTGTCGGCACTTGCGAATCGGCGCTAATCGAAGCTAAATCGACGCTAATTGGTCGACGCTAAATCGACGCGAATCGACGCTACCCGACGCTCAGTCGGAGCTATCTCATTGAATCCCAGACGCGAATCGATGCGATCGACGCTAAAAACGTACTTGAGATAGTAGACCAGGCTCCCATGAGCTGCTACCGAAAAAGACCTTGCTCCCCAGCCCGCGGGGGGCCGTCCTCGTATCAAGAGCCGTCGCATGCTGCGGTCTCTCGAGGCCTCTCTGCACTCGTGCACGCGTGCGCCCTCGCGCTGCTCCGGTGAAGAATGAGGGATGGCAGGGATCGGTCAGCACGGAATCGGGAGGTCGGCTTGGGGCTTGGGTCGAAACGCGCATCGGATCGGGCTGTACCGGCACGCAGTCGGAACCAGATCGGATCGGCCGTGCCAGGATGCACACCAACACCATGCAAGCATCGGCCCGCGTCGGACCGTCGGAATGTCGGAATCGAACCAGATTGAGCCGGCCGCAACCGGACCGCACGAGGTCAATCATGTTCTGCCCCAGTCGTAGGCGACGTAGGCCCCAGTCTCTGACGCCGCGCGAACCGCCTCCGAAGGCCCCTGCAGCCTGTCGGCTCCGCGCCTTGGGCTGCTTCTCTGGGCCCCGGAGCCCGCGACGGGCACCGCCAGGAGGGTGCTCAACCGTTCCCACGAGCCCTATGAGCCCCATGGGCCCTCTGAGCCCTACGAGCCCCACGAGCACTGTGCGCCCCACGAGCCCCGTGAGCCCGATGGGCCCTACGAGCCCTGCGCGCCCTGCGCGCCCTATGAGCCCCGCGAGCCCCGTGAGCCCGACGACGCCCGCGCGGGCGTCGCCGCCGCGTTGAGGCGGAGCCCGCCTGCCGTACCCCGCCGTCCTGGCGGGGAAGGAGGGGCGTGGGGTCCAAGGGAGGGGGCCATGGAAGGGGGGGGGGGGGGCGGCGCGTCGTGGTCCGAGGCGCGGACGAGGAGGGGGCGGAGGCGGAGGAGGAGGAGGAGGAGGAGGAGGAGGAGGAGGAGGAGGGGGATGATGATGATGAGGATAATGATGGTGATGGTGATGCTGATGATGCAGGTGATGATGACGTGGATGATGATGATGATGATGTTGTTGATGCTAATGAGGATGCCGATGATGATGGTGATGATGACGAGGACGATGATGGTGATGATGACGAGGAAGATGGTGTTGATGATGATGATAAATATGATGATGATGCTGATGGTAAACATGCGGTTGATGCTGCTGCTGCTGTTAATGATGATGATGACGCTGTTGCTGATGATGAAGCTGATGATGATACTGATGATGATGACGATGCTGCTGCTGCTGCTGATGATGATGATAAGGACGATGACGATGACGATGATGATGATGATGATGATGATGATGATGGTGATGGTGATGGTGATGGTGATGATGATGATGATGATGATGATGATGATGATGACGATGATAATGACGATGAAGATGACGATGGCGGGCTGCCTCGGAGCGCACTGGAAGCAGAAAGAGGGAGGCATGACATCTGGGAGGCGCAACGGGCCCGGACATGAGATCACACCACCATCACTGGCCATCACACTCCTTCTGGAACGCCCTCGAAGAGCAGGGAGGGGGAAGAGGCAGGAGGGAGGAGGAGGAGGAGGAGGAGGAGGAGGAGGAGGAAAGAGAGGAGGAGGAGGAGCAGGAAGAGAAGGAGGAGGAGGAGGAAGAGAAGGAGGAGGAGGAGGAGGAGAAGGAGGAGCAGGAGGAGGAGGAGGAGGAGGATGATCGGGGAGGGGGGAAGGCTTGCTAGAAGCCCCGCTGCTCCTCAGAAGGCGCGGGCCGTGGCTGCAGACGCAGGGCCGGGCGCCTCCCAAGGAGCGGCCTCCTTCCAAGAAGCCGAGCCCCCCTCCACCGACCCCCCTTTGGTGCGCCTCCCAGCGGGGCGCCGGGGCGCCCTGCGCGCGGATACCCGGGCTGGGGCCCCGTGCTGCGCACGAGCCAGGCCTCGGGGCGACTCCGTCCGCTCGACAGGGATCGATACGTAGGCAATATGTGGTCGCTTGTCCGTGTCCGCTTTGCCTTCGTTTTCCATCGTTCCGTGCTCCATCCGCCTGCGCTGCAAAGCGACTCGGTCTGCTGGCAGGGACCGACCTGAGCAATGCTCTTCGCATCGGCCGTGTCTTCGTTTTCCATCGTTCTGTGCTCCATCCGCCCGTGCTGCAAAACGAAATCGAAACGAGAACGGCCCACGAGATCGCCACAACATAGTTTGGGTCGAGCCCTGGTGCTCGAGCCGCTGGACCCTGGACCCTGGACCGGGATCTTGCTCGCCTCGTAGCCCCCCAGAGGTCTGGGCCCCTTCCAGGGGGCCGGCGTGTCATGCTTCTCACCCTGCACACATGTTTCGAGTAGAGGATCGACTACAGACCTGGTGTACCCCATAATCGATGTTCCATGGATTCAGCGCAAAAACGTAGAATGCTCTGTAGATCAACGGAACATTCTAAGCACTCTTCGTAGATCCGACGAGCAACGAATTCCGGGGTAAGTCAAGTCTGTCGTTGATCCACTATAGAATTCTCTTTCGACACTCGCAATTGTAATTATGCAATTGGTCCACTCTAGTAAGTCAATTAATTTTGTATGAGTGGATCGACTACAACATTAATTCTGTAAACGATCCACTATTCGAATGTTGCCCCACGGCCCTGGGGCCGGCAAGGCCCCCCCCCCTGGGGCTCAACACGATCGAAAGCCTCCCGCCGTGGCTGCTCAACGCTGGCGACGAGGTCGGGGTCCCCGGTGCCTCGACTCGTCGCTGCTGCCTCATCCTCCTCCTCCTTTTCTTCCTCCTCCTCCTCCTTTTCTTCCTCCTCCTCCTCCTCCTCCTCCTCCTCCTCCTCGTTCGGGGACCTGCTGACCCGGGTCAATCCAGAACCGGGTCAGTCAGGCCCTGCAAGATCCTGCAGGATCCTGCACCCAAGCCCGGGTCAATGCGCCCTGGCGCTGCAGGAACCTGCAAGATCAGGGCGTTCCGGCCGACCCCCGTGTGCGTTGACCCCCATCTCTTGAGCCCCGACAGGTTCGTGCAATGACGACCCTGGTTTCTGCGTCTCACGTCACGTGAGCCGTCCAGCCTCCAGCCCAGAACAATCGACAACTTCTCGACCACCAGATCTTTCCATACTGGCTGATTCTGACCAAGTGCGGCGTTCACGGGGGGGGGAATGCGAGGCGGAACCGGCACAGGGGGCGAACGTCCACCTGGACGATGCATCGCCGACAGATCTGCGATAGGCCCCCGATAGCGAGTCCGCATGCTCCTGGGCGGGGAGGTCGGGCCCAAATCGGTGAGGAATGGGCCGATTGGGAGTCGATGCGTCCCCCCCTGAGCCGTTGGGCGACCCAGAAGCGGGTCCAGTTGAAAGGGAGTGGTGCACTAGATTTGGGGCAATTGTATCGCAAATGTACTGCGCCGGAGAATTGTATTGCATTGTGTTGCAAGTAATGCTTGCACGCGTAAATTCAGCAAAACATTTGCGCCACGGAGTGTATTGCACGCCCCCAAATGTATTGCAACCCTATATATATATATATATATATATATTGCACCAAATCTATTGCACCACCCCTTGTCGCTGGACCCCCTTTTGGGTCAACTCGAAGTGAGCCGATTGGGAATCGATGCGTCCCCCCTAAATCCTACCACCTGAATTTTCGAGCTATGACTCGGGTCTCCGGCGACCGTTCGGGACATTCCGGCACCCCAGAATGCCCCCTCGGCGATGCGCACCTACTGGAGCGCACCTCGAGGCTGGAGAATCGACGATAGGCTACGAAAATGCCTAAAAACCTCGAGCCACGATTCCAATAGAAGGGCCACTGAAAGCTGCCTGATTCTGGCCAACGGCGGCGCTCAGCCTGGACCCCCCGCGTCGGCGTCGCCGACGCGTCGGCACGACCCGAGCCCGCCGTGTAGGGGCTTCGAGGTCGCGCCCAAAAGCAGCGCCGCGCTTCGCATCGACCGGCTACACGCAAGATTGACCCTGGGCGACAGTAACCTTGAAAGCGCAGATGGAGGGGGCGCAAAGCGGCCAAACCGAAGCGCGGAAGTAGCCACTATCGCGTCGCGCTCGGTGATCGGGGGGACCCCAGTGATAGAGGCTTCCTATATGGGGTCCGCGTGGATGGGGTCGAAGCGTGGCGCCGCATCATCGGCGATGCGTCGGCGCTGCGAAGGCGACGCCGGCGTTGGGGTACACGGTATCCACATCGGGAATGCGGCGCGACCCTCCGACCACATCTACTCGGACCCCATCTAAGAGGCTTAGACGTGAGCCCGCGCCGAAGGTCACTCAGGCGAAGGGCAACTTTTGCGTGCAGTCGAGAGCCGAAGGCCCCGCCCCCCGCAGCTCCTCGTCCCCCAGCCGCCGTTGCCAGCCACCGCCCCAGCCCTCCTCGGGCTGCCACTCGCACCAGTCGTCTCTCGGCTGGGAGCCCCCTGGGGGGCAGGGGGGGGGAAGCGACGGCGGAGAGGGGGGCAGCGCAAGGGGGAGGAGTAGGGGAAAATACCAGGAGGGGGAGGAGGAGGGGAAGCAAGGAGGAGGAGGACGAGCGAGCCCCAGGGGACGGTCATTGCCGACCGCGCCTGCGCCCGCCGCGCCGGCGAGCCGCCTCAAGAGAGGCGCTTGTAGTGGCCGAAGGGGTCGGCCCAGTACTCGCAGTTCAGGTCAAAGGCGTAGCAACACTTGTGGACTCGCGGGCCATAGCCCCAGCCCCGTCGCCCGCCGAGGGTCCCACGCGCGGGGGCATAAGAATCTGGGCCGAACCCGACCCACACGCGGAAGCCGACGCACGCGTGGACTCACGGGCGAAGGCCCCAGCCGCGTCGACTGCCGAGGGTCCCACTCGCACCGACGTACCTTACTCGACAGTCTGCTGCTGCTGCCCGCCACCATCCATGTTCTGGCCCTCGACGAACACCTGGACGCCACTCAACCACTAGGAACGGTCGCGTGGCTGCCCCTGGCTTGGGGGCGGAGCTGTAGGGTGCTCGGAGAGCTGCTGCCCGCACCGCCCATACCAACGCGCCGCCCCTCCAGGCTACCGCAGCCCCTTCAACGTCGCCCCACCTGCAACGGCCCGCTCTCCCAACCGTGGGCCATCGGCGCACGAATGCCCAGGGGCGCCACGGCGGCCACCTTAAGCAGGGTGTCGATAGGCACGGCATCAGGAGGTGGCGGGCGGCGCCTTCCCACGGCAGAAGGCGCAGGCCCCGTTGCTCCAGAAGGCGCGCCACTCTTGGGGCGAGCGACGTCATTATGGGCAGCATCCGCAAGCCCACCCTCTGAAGCCGCCAACAGCAGACATTGCCATGGTACAGCACGCGCCGACTGCTCCACGCCCTGGCCCTGGCTGCTGGCACCTGCGGGATAGGGCGCGGGCCCCGTAGGTCCAGACGGCGCGCCGCTCGTGGGTGCCGCTCGCGGGGCGAGCAGCGTCATTGGGGGCAGCGCCCGCAAGCCCACCCTCTGGATCCGTCGGCGCACCTTGCCGAGGTGCCGCGCGAGGAAACTCCTGCACAGCAGCGCCAGCTTCTTCCTCGTAGAACTTCATCTTGACATGGAACGGTTGCTTCACAGTGGGCGCAAGCTGCTTCTATAGACGAGGCAGCGCCGCTCTGCCTTTCAAAGCGGGCGCCATCGGACAGGGCTTGCTGAACGAGCAAGGTCTCGCCGCTGCCGTGGCACCGCGCGCAGCGCACGCCACAACTGGCAACTCCCCCGCGAGATCAGCGTCGCGAACTGGCTCGAGGACAACATGGGCGTGAGCCTGCAGATATCCTTCGTGATGCTTCTGGTTGTGGCCCAGCACAGGCGCCAGCGCGCTGCCCGTGCACTCGGAGGCTCTATTGTTCCACCTGCAGCGCGAACACCATTCGCCAACTTCTGGCCAGCGTAGGTCGGGCATGAGCTCGGGTGCTAGCACCGCTTCCTTGGCTTTCGGCGCCTTCTTGTTCGGCTTCGCTGCTCGATGCGAGGTGCCTGCCCCGTCTAGGCCTGCGCCCGCAGCGGACGTCCACTGCGCGACTCCTTCCACCAGCTGGTGCGCGTCGCGGAGCTGGTCGCGGCAACGAGCAGGAACGCGCCTAAAGCTTGCTGCACTCTTGGCTGCTCTGTTGGCCTGCCCATGCCCCAGCCAGTCTCGGATGCTGGTGGCGCCGCCCGCGGCCCACTTGGAGCACCCGACGTGCGCCGGCACTTCGCGCGCAGATAGCCCTTGCGGCCCCATGCCTCCCAAGTCGTCGACCAGCCTCCAGACATCGCGCATTTGATCGGCCCACGCACGGCCAAACAACGTCGTCCTCGCAGGGACGCGCTCTGGTAGGCCCTTGAACATGAAGGAGCTGTCGACGTCCGCGACGACGGGAAGAACTGCGCGACAGAGAACCGCTGCCCATGCGGCGAGCTCCCCTCCACCGACGTCAACGAAAGGCGTCTGCAGCACCCCCGACAAACCGAGCCGAAACTGATCGCAATCACCTTGCAGGGCGATGACCGCCCACCCTACGCTCGCGTACCCCAAGGTCGCCGTCGTGCGCTGGTCCGCCCAGGTGCGGCGCGCCAGAGGGATGATGACCTTCTGCGCAGTCTGCCCACCAACGCAAGTCAGTCGGTCGCACCGGCGCCGGGATGCCCTGAGGCATAGGCAACACGCGCTCCAACAGGCAACAGATCTCATGCTCACTGCAGGCCCGCTGGGCCAGGCGCCTGGTAGGCATGGGCAGCTGGAGCTCCGCAGGGCATCCATCGCAATCGGCGTGCTGATGATTCAGGGAGGCATCTTTACCACGCAGCAGGCACTGCGACCTTGAGACGTACCCACATTCATACTGGCGCATCTGTGACCAGTGCCCTCCTGATATCAATGATGCAAGGTATCCCCATCTTCTCGAAAAACTGGCGACCTCAGCGCCAGCTGCACCCTCAGAGGCTGCGCCAGCAACCTCACCCACGAACTCATGCAAAACATCCCGCCACAATGCACCAGCATCGGACCTCACAGCCTGCAGGAAATCACCACTGACCGCTGCGGGTAACAGGTAGGCTGAACCAATAACCGAGTAGCCCGACCCAACATTCTCAACCTGCTGCGCGGACGCAAGGGCAAAAGCGCCAGCCCCGTCCTTCGCTGAGGGTCCCACTCGATGTGACATGTGCGACTGGGCAGTGCCCGAACCACTCGCGGAGTCGGGCGCACCTGTGGACTCGCGGGCAAGGGCCCCAGCCACGTCAGCCGCCAAGGGACCCGCTCGCGGCGACATGAGAACCTGAGCCGAGCCCAAACCTCTCGCGGATGCCGATGCACCCCTGGCATCGCGGTGACAGAAGGAGACGGGCCGTACCCGACCCACTCGCAGAAGCCGGCGCACCTGTGGACTCGCGGGCAAGGGCCCCAGCCCCGCCATTCGCCGAGGGGCCCGCTCGCGATGACATATCAAAAAAGGGCCGTGCCCGAACCACGCGTGGAAGCCGAAGTATCTGCGGACTCGCGGGCAAGGGCCACAGCTCCGCCATTCGCCGAATGAACCAGCTTCTTGCTGAGGTTGCGCTTTCCACTGGCTCTCCTCGTGCTGCTCGCCGCGGGCTGCCGCCGCGTGGGCCACTAAAGGCGGCCGCGGGCGTGCCGTGGGCACGCCCCCGATCCCCTTGATCCTCGGCGGAGGAGGAGGAGGAGGAGGAGGAGGAGGAGGAGGAGGAGATTAAGGAGAGGATGGGAAGAGGAGGAGGAGGACGGGCAGAATACGGGGGACGGTTTGGACGCCCCCTCCCCCGCTGCTGGCCGAGCCCAGCGAGAAGCATTCAGGTTCGGGGCGAGTGCCTTCTCCCTTCTTGAGGGGCAGAGATAGGGGGGGGGGGGCGGCTCGGGAGGGGGGAAGCATCGAGCTTGATGTTGAATCTCCGGTGGCAACTCGTGGGAGCATCCCATACCGTCTTGCCGGCTCTTGCGAATCGGCGCTGGTGGACGCTCAATCGACGCTACTCGAGGCTACATCGGCCCTTTCTCATCGATTGCCGGGCGCTGACGCACGCAGATGCAACCTGAACACAGAATTGCGAGGCCATGCAAGGCTCCCAGGACTTGCTGCCGACTGAGTCGGCGATGCCTCGCCGAGGGCTCGGCGACGGGCCCCCGCCGGCGAACCCACACGTTCCTGGGCAGGGTTGGCCGTCGGGACCCCGTGGCCTCCCGCACTGGCGGTTGGGGGTCGAGGCATGCCCCCCCCCTGATGCAACTATCCCCCCCCCTGGCTTCCGGGCCACAGCTCGGGCCTCAAAAGCGGCCGCTCGTGAGGATCCGGGCGACCCCTGGAGAAGGCTCTCGGCGAGGCGCAGCTGCTGGACCGCACCCAGGGGCTGGAGAGCCACCGAGAACCGGCAAGGAGCTGCCCGAAAACCTCGGAGGCCCACAGCCTCGTCGATTGGGCGACTGGGAATCGACACCTCCCCAGCGTCTGGGTGAGCCTCCATGGGAGCATCTGCGGACCTCCACGGCACTAGCATCAACGTGATTGCGGCCGGATTGCGTCCAGACTTCGATCACGTCCAGATCTCGTCCAGATGCCGACCAGATTCTACGAGCTCCCCCAAAACGCCAGGATTGCTGGGCACCTCCGAGGTTCCAATGAAGTGCCACAAAGCCCCCGAGTCACTCAGAGGTCTCCGAGGGCCTCCGGAGTTGCCTGAGCCTCCATCCCTGATCCTTGAGCAGGGACCGACCGTCCCGGCATTCCTATAGTCCTACCACGAAGTGCTCTTAGAATCCAAAAACGTTCTGAGAACAACACCGATGTTCTTAGAGCTTAAGCCTTATGTGATAAACCAAGACAGCCCCAACCAGAGATGTTCTAACATTCCGTGGGAACCACAAAAGGTTCTTACAACATTGTTTGGCAGGGCCACAGGCGAGCCAGGGCGCTCCGCCACTGCTTGAGCCTGAGCCTCCGTCCCTGATCCCGCACCCCCCGATCCTCCTCGAGCAGCGGTCCTCGACCCGAGAGCACGCACGGGAGGCCACGCCGAAAGGAGCACCACGCACGCACATGAGGCCGCCCCGCCCTGGCCACCCCCTCCCGGGCGCGGACGCGCCCGCGCGAGGCCTTGGCTCCTGCGCACATCCCTGGCCCGAGGCCGCCCGGCAGCGCCATCGGCCACGCCCCGGGAGGTCGGGCTCGGGCTCCGGCTCGCGCAGCCGAGGCATCCCCTGGCCATCGCTCGGACGTCCGTTCCCTGTGTTTTTGTTCAGTGTCGTGCGCGGCTTCTTCGCAGGATGATCCAGGATGCTCCCCAGTGACCCCCGCCGAGAACAGTGCACACGCCCGAGCGATACCAAGTCACGGATGCCTCGGCGCAGCCAAGGTGGAGAAGAGCGGGCTCGGGATCGCGCCGCGCCGCCGAGACGCCGGCGACGCGGCGCGGCCCTTCGAGCCAATCTGCTCCGCCGACCTCGTCCCGGCGGCCTCCGAGCGGCCCGGGGCAGGGAGCAGGGGGGGGGGAAGCGGCGCCCCTCCGCTGCCCGTTCTGACCCCCCCCCCGCCGCGGTCAGTCTCCCGCGCGCCCCCCGCGGCGCCGCCCTCCGTGTCCTCGGCGCCGTCGCCGTGGGCGGCGGGGCCCAGCGCGGACTCCAGGAGCTGGACGAACTCGCCTTCGAGCCTGTAGTCCCTCAGCTCCCGGAACAGGTGGCACACGGAGTCCTCATCGTCGAGGGCCAGCGCCACAATGACCGCCATCATCACCGAGCGCTTGTCGCTGACAGAAGAAGAGAGAACTAAGCAGAAATCTCCGGAGGTCCGCGCAAGTTTCTTGGATCGGCACTGGTCCCCCCTCCATGTGCGCGGAGCGCGGCAGGGGGTCCCGCGCAGATCCAAGAAATCTGCGCGGACCCCCGAACATTTGCTCGTGCAATTGTCTGTTCTTCCAGCTGAGGCCCACGGCCCGGATATGCCGCTTGCTTTCGTGCTTCAGCCTGACGACCCGCACCTCGTCGTCGCTGAGCCCGCGCTTGCGGGTCTCGCGGAGGATGTCAGGGGAACGGGCAATAACATAAACACAACAACTCAGAGGTCCGCGCCGATTTCTCGGATCCGCGCTGGGGCCCCCTGGCGGCGCCTCTGGCGCCGCCCCCTGGCGCGCTCCGCGCGCCAGGGAGGGGGGTCCAGCGCAGATCCGAAAAATCCGCGCGGACCTCCGAGTTGTTCTGTTTGTGCCATCTTTCGTTCCCCAGATGTCGATGTCCTCGACGGACTCGAACTGCGCGTCCGCCTTGCCCCAGCACCCCACGGCCGACTGCAGCATCCACGACGCGTGCTCGAGGAACGAGGACGCCGGCCCCAGCGACAGCATCGGGACGGTCGCGCCGCTCTGCGTCTTGACGACGTTGGTCGGCGGCGAGCCCGGAGGGGACAGTGAGGAGGGGCGGGCCTTCTCAGAAAGCTCGGAGGGACCCCGGCCTTCGGAGAGCTGTGCTGCGCCTTCGCCGAAGACGTAGAGGATGCCTCCCAGAAGGCCGGGAGGGCTTCTGCGAAGTCCCGCCGCCTTCTGAGAAGGCCTTCGCTTAGGTCGGGCATGTCCTCCTACAGGCGGATTTTGGACGAAGAAAGAAAAATACGCGAAGATGCAGAACAAATCGACTACGATTTTTTGTTACTGTTAAATACTATTTGGACGTAGCCGCAAGGAACCTTCGCAAAAACCCAACCCCGAGAACCCGTGCGCGAGGTACACCAGACGGGAAACCCGGAGCACCCCGAACGCAGCATCTCCTTCAACGGCCGCGGGAAGTCGCCGCGCGACGCGTGGGGCGAAGGAACCCAGGGCGCCCTGACGAAAAGTACATGGCTTCTTGATGCGCGCCCCCACTGTATTCCTCTTGTAAAAGGACGCGCCCAACTTAAGCCTTCGCCTTCTCCCTTCCTCCCCGCCTCGCTCGCCGCCGAGTTGAGCGTGCTGCCGTCGTCGGTGGCGGCCCGGCCGCGGGGTGACCTCGACCTGCGCTGCGCCGGTGCCCAGCTCATGCCTGCCCGGCGGGGGCCTCTCCACGACCGCCCGCGCCCGCCGGGCGGCCTTCCGCGGGCTCTGAGCCGAGACGGCCTTTGAGCAACCTCCTCCTCCTCCTCTTCCAGTGGCTCTCTCATTGCTCCTTCCAATCCATGATCGATAAGGGCTGATGGAATATAAGATTGAATAGAAATCTGGTGCCACCACTCCGCTTCCTCCTGAGGCGCGAGTCTCAATGGCCAGGAAGAGGAGACCTTGTGCCCCCGCGGCCAAGGCAGGTCCCCTCGTAGCATCTGTCGCCTCTGCTGGGTGAAGACTTCCTTACAGCCCTTGAGGAGTTGCCTAGGGGCCCCCGTTGCATGCGCTCCACATATGATGCACAACAACACGCATGTCGGAAGACAAGACTTTCCACACGTGCAGTTTGTGGGCTGGCGAGGCCTCGGCGCTATTTAATTGTCAAAATTCCAAGGGTCAGGGCGGCTCGAGAGCCCCTGGGAGACTTGGAATCGAAACAGCGAGCACACGCAAGACACCGCCAGCGGCGGCCGTTCCAACGTACTCGGTCAGGCTTCAGGCTGCTGGAGAGGGCCAACGGGCCGGGAACCTGACTTTGCCGCTTCAACTTCCCGAACAGTTCTTTGGCTTTCGGGAGACTACTGATGATCTCAGTCATACTTACAGCTAACACATTCCAACTATCTAGTGCGAGCTCGTACTACATTATGTTCTGGGCCATGTGGGGTGACGTTTAGCTCCATATTTAGCGCATTCTTCAGCCCAATCATTACCTTGTTTATGTTGTTGCTGCATGCCCGTCACTGCCTCGGACATGTGTGATTTGACCTTCTTAAGCTACCATGGCGGATAGGTACGAGAGTAGATCAACTTCCAACCCTCAGCAAGCGGCGAACGTCCACTTGTAGCAGACCTTGGATCTGCTGGTCCTTCAAAAAGTGCAGCGCAGTCAACGTGCAATCTGACAACTTTCCTCATCCTCCTCCTCCTGCTTCTCCTCCTCGCTCCTCTCTCCTCCCTCCTCCCTCCTCCCAGTGGGCGGCAAGCGAAGCAAGGGGGTTAGTCAAGGGGAAAGGAGAAGGCCTCCTCGGCAGGCGGCGGGCCTTCTCAGAAGCCCTCGCGCCCTCCAAGAGGCTCTTGGTGTCATCGCGGAGGGCTCAAAGAACCTCTCAGAAGGCCAGGGGACTTGCGAGCCGTGTCAGGAGGCCCGCCCCTTCCTCACTTCCCCCCAGGCTCGCCGCCGAAACAGCGGGCCTCCGCAGCACGCTCTGTGCGCTGGGGATGTCTTCATCGCTGGTCGACCCTTGCTGTGCAGGGCCATCCGCCTTTGCAGATGAGCCCAGAATCGACTCGATAAATCGGATCGGCGATCGAATTGGATCGGATCGGCAGAAGCGGCAGAAGTCGAATCGACAGAGATCGGCAGGCCAGTGTCGGGGGGGCGCAAACATGGATCGGGGGAGGTGCCCTCCCCAGAATGCGGCCGGTGCCGCCTCGCTCGGCGGCGGCAATCAGCGAATTCCCATGGAGACGGGACCCGTCGTTAATCCACGCCCCCTGCATCCATGTTTGCGATCGCCTGACAGCGGGCCTCCGCTGACAACTTGGAAGCCGAATCGCACTCCCGAGCCGAGCCCGGATCGGCGTCGGAAGCCGTCGACATCGCACCGGACCGGATCGAAGGAACCGAAAGAGGCCCTGCAGGGTCGCGCCCCTGCGCCCTCGCGCACGAGTGAAGGACGAGCCTCGAGCCCCGACTGCGAGGCGCGGCCGTCCTCGCGCCCCTGGAGGGCGAGAGGTGCCGCCCCAGTGCGGGCTGGTGCATGCAGGCAAGGCAGGCTCTCAAGCATCAGGTCGGGTTCTGCCCCCCTACAGGGGAAGTTTGGAAGAATAGTTAAAACTAGCCAACAAACAAAATACACCAAAAAACGTTTCGACATTGTCAAAACATCGTCCCGAGACTATGTTTTGACTCTTTCTGGATTTTCCCCCTGTAGAGGGACAGGCCGGACTTCACTCAAGCACCCTCTATGCGTCCTAATTGCGGCAATTCTCGGGGACGCACTGACCCGGGTCGATCCAGGCCCGGGTCAATCGGTCTTTGCAGGATCCTGCAAGACGCTGCAGGATCCAGCACGATCATGCGCGCAACCTGGGTCAGTGCACCCCTGGCTCTGCCCGGCGCTCTGGCCGACCCCCGTTTGCTCTGACCCCCGTCACCTTGGCCCCGAAGCTGGCTTTTCGAGCAATGCCCGCAACCGTTCCCCCTCCTCCCCCTCCAAGGCGGCAGGGCAGGGTGGAGGGGGGCGGGGACGAGGGGTGCGCGAGGGAGTCTCCGGAGCAGAGCTGCCCTGCGCCCGTCCATTCCACGGGCTAGAGTGACGTTGCTCACATTGTACTTCAGGGCCACATCCCAGGAATGATTTCGAGCATCCAGAGAAGTGTCGAAACAGTGTCGGACGAGTGTCGCGCCCCAGGGCCCGGCACGTGAAAACCCTCCCGTGTGGGCACTTTCTTCTTTGTGCTCGCATTTCTTTCTGATGATCAGGGCGAAAGTACGTTGGAACATCATAAGCGTAAGTCGGGCGTGTCCCCCCTGCAGGGGGATTTTGACGGATTTTTTTTGGGAAGCTCCAAAACTGCCCCCCAAACGAGCAACAATAGTCAAAACAACGTCCCCATACTATTGTTCAACTATCTTTGAATATTCTCCCTGTAGAGGGACAGGCCTGATTTAATCATAGGCCTAGAGGGAAAAAAAAAAAAGAGAGACAGAGCGAGCGAGAGAGAGAGAGAGAAAGCGACAGAACAGCAGAGAGACAGCGAGAGAGAGAGAGAGAGACCACGGCGCCTGTGACGTACGCCACGATGCGCGCCCCGGCCTCGGCCGCGCGCGCGCCGAGCGGGGCGCCGCCCCGTGAGGCCTGCACCGCTCCTGCACGCCTTGTGTTCCGCGGCCTAGGCCGCGCAGACACGCACACACACGCGCACACACACCACACACACCACACGCGCGCGCACACAGGGCCGAACCTGAGCGGTGTGTTTCGCTTCCGCTGTGGTTTCGTCTTCCCTCGCTTCTGTCTTTGATTTCGCCTTTACCGCAAAGCGACATCGAAACGAAAACGGCCCACGAAATCGCCAAAAGCACCGTTTAGGCCCAGCCCTATACGCACCCCATCTGGGAAGCCTAGAATCACTCAGACCTTCGCCTCATGCCTCATCCTCTTCCGCCTCTTCCTCCTCGTCCTGACCGTTCGACATCGCCCTCCCCTTTCCCCTGAGAATCGCCCCCCTCCGCCACGATAACTGGGCCCACTCCGAGTCGTTCTCTCCGCCTCCTGCCGGATCTTGCCCCTGTGATCACCCGAGTTGTGGCAAACTGGAGTCTCACGCTTAAGTCGGGCCTGTCCCACTACAGGGGAAATAGTCAGAAATAGTCAAAAACAAATCAGGGGACGATTTGTTTAGCATGTTTTGACTATCTGGGGTTATTTTTGTTAACTATCTTTTATGTGTCGTCCAAAACCCCCCTGTAGGGGGACACGCCCGACTTAATCTCACGCTTCTCCAGCTCTTGCGCGTTGGAGGCCGCCGCCGGGGGGTCTGGACTGGTGAAGGCAGCAGGAAGTCGGTCAAGAGAGGAGACGAAACCAAATCCGCTCAGAGAATCGGTCCCCGTCCAGCTGGCGCAGTTCTTCGTCCCAGATATGTTCCTGACGGTCCTGGGGCTCGAGAGCGGCCATCGGAGGCCGAAAAAGGAAGAACCCAGAACTGAGAGGGCCCTGGGACACACAAGTAAATAGACACAAAAAACAGGATTCCCGATATGTTTCCCTATTTTCTGGGTTTGTGTCTTCCCCTCCACTTCCAATATTTTCGGGAGAACCGACGATTGAGTGTGTCTGTGTGTTTGTTCCCTTCTGAAGAGCCCTGAACCTTTCTGCCCCCTCATGCTGGCCAGAACCAATGCGGGGCCAACCGAGACCACCAACGGGGCGCGGCCTAACAGACCCCTACCGTTAGGTCGGGCATGTCCCCCCACAGGCGGATTTTGGGCGGAAGATAAAAACTAACAACAAACAAAATGCTCAAACATATGCTCAAACATAGTCGAAAAATCATCCCCAGACTATTCTTACACGTTCCTCTTGTAGAGGGACACGCCCGACTTACTCCTACCGTGACCAGCACCTTCAATGACGCCACTCTCGCCTTCCAAGCTTCCCCCCCGCCGCATGCATACGTCTTGGGGTGATGGCCTGCTGGGGGGTCGAACAGGCCCCCCCTGACCTGATCAGCTGGCTGCCAAAGAAAACTCGAAGCTTACGCTTTCCCAGCCCTTCCGGGACGGACGATGGGGGGCGCGGGGGCCCCGCGCATCCTCCTGGGAGCCTCGTCGAAGACACGGGGGATCGGAGGCCCTGGTATTATGGATTGCTCCTCCTCTCTGGGCGAATTATATATATATACACAATCGGGCTTGATTGGAGAGGACACGCGAGAGGACACAAGACCCTTCCGAGGGCCACGTTGCCACAGAAATGCAGGAGGCAGGGGCCGCGAAACACAGAACGCAAGAGCACCCTTGATCTGGCAGGGTCGACCTACTAATCCGGACCGACAGACTATATATATCTATATAGATGTGTGAATATGTTTCTGTGTATGTATGTATATATATATATATATAGATCTCCGCCCCTTATATTCAGCAAGGACCGACCGTCCCGGCATTCCTATAGGCCTACCACGACATGCTCTCAGACCCACACATGCTCTAAAAACTCCACAACAAACTTCTCGGAACAGAAACCCGATGCGTGTTCAAACAAGGCAGACTCGACCAGCCCAGCTCTAGGAACATGTCGTGCAGACCACAACATGTTATTAGAATACTATTTGGTAGCCCTCTGGGCGAGCTGGGACGCTTCGCCACTGCCTGACCTGTCGTCGCCTCCGACTCTCGCGAGCAGCCGAGCGCGGCGGCTACGGCACCCACCCGCGGCGAGGCGCCCGGCGGCGGCAGCCAGCGCCCCGCGCGGCCGTGGCCGCTGGGCGGCCCCAGGGCGGGCGGCCGCTTCGGAAGGTGGCGGCGTCTCGCGTGGCCGGACTTTCCTCCCGAGTCGTTTGAGGGGCCTGGTTTCCACCACCACCACCAGAAGCTGGAGCTCCAGCTTCTGGTGGTGGGGAGGGGGTCCTCCTCCTCCTCCTCCTCCTCCTCCTCCTCCTCCTCTTCGTCCTCCTCCTCTTCGTCGTCCTCCTCCTCCTCCTCCTTCAACTTCGGCGTCTGAGGGCCCTTGCCGGTCCCGGCAAGGGCCCTCGCACGCCGGACTTGAGAAACAGCTGCCCTGATGCTCAAGCGACGCGAGCATGTCTGGTGATGTGCACCCCCCCTGTGGGCCCACCCACCCCCCGTTGACGTTGCCCCCCGAGTTCCCTGCTGGTGCCAACCCCGGCGGGGGGGCGCGCGGAGGAGGCTCGGCGATGCATCGGCCATGTCGGCGAGGCACTGGCGACATCGGCGCGGAGGCAACCGAGCTCCACGCCACGCCGCATCGCCGATGCATCGGCCGTGCGGCGTGATCCTGCGACCCCATCTGCTCGGACTCCATCACCTGGGAGACCCATAGAACCCGAAGCCCTCCCCGGCGGGGGGCGCGCGGCGGAGGCTCGGCGCAGGCCCCCCGCAGCAGCCGGCGCCGCCGCGGCGCAGTGGGCTCGAGGCGGCTCGGCCTCCACGTCCTCCCGGCGGCCCGCGGGGCGGCGCGGGCTGTCGGCGGCCGCCGGCGGCCGTCGGCGGTGGCCGTCGGGGCGGCCCTCGGCCGCGGCGGCCATCTCGGCTGCGGCCACCAGCGGCCTCTGGCGGCCGGCGTGTCGGCCCCGAACTGCAGCGGCGGTGGTCGGCGGCCTCCGGCGGCGGACATCGGCTGCCTCCAGCGGCCGTGGACGGTCCTCGGCGGCCTTCGGCCACCGCCGCCTGCGGCCGACTCCGAAGGGTGCGGCGGGGTGGCTGCGCCGCTGCAGGCGGCCGTCTTCGCGGGAGGGGGCGCCTCCGCCAAGCGCCCAGACCTCGAAGCGTCGCATAGAGACTGAGAGGCACAGTGCAGTGTGTGGGCCGCGATATTCCCCCGTTTTCGGGGGCCGTCTGCCAGGCCCAGGATGAGAGGCTGGCCTGGAAGAGCATCGGGGGACGCCGTGTCTGATTATCTTGCCGATGGACCCAACAAATGCAGTTGTGAGTTCCGCGGTTATGAGTATCGTCTTCGGTAGAGATCCCGGAGCGACGACCCGTCTGAAGGGTGTGTTGACATGGGCGCGGAAGACGCATGCGAGCACTGACTCAAGGGTTTTCGGTTGGGATCCCTATGGCGCCACGAAAGATGTGAGTGGTGCGACGGTGTGCCGTACTGAGGGCGGGGGACGCACGCGAGAGACGTCACTGGGGCGTTGGGCACACCTCCCTATGTGGCCACGAAACGTGTGCGGAGCGTGCCGAAATGGGTGACGAGACGCGTGCGAACGGTGCTGGGACCTCCGGTGGATCTCCCTGCGGGGCAACGAATTGTGTGCGAGAAATGTGCCGAAATATAGGTGGTGGGGGCGCGTGCTCAAGGTGCCACTCTGACTTTCGGAGAAGCTCATTCTGGGGCCAAGAAACGTGTGAGTGAGGGGTGTGCGGAACGGGATGTGGGGGCGCATGCGAACACCGCCACTGGGGCTCTTAATGGAGTTCCCCATGCGGCCACGAAACGTGTGAGGAGTGTACCGGAATTGGTGGCGGGGGCTCGTGCGAACGGTGCCACTAGTACCTTCGGTGGAGTTCCCTATGGGGCTGGATGGCGGGGGCGCGTGTGAACGGTGCCACTGGGACTGTCGGTGACCTCCTTACGGGGCCACGGGACGCGGGAGAGGTGTGCCGGAATGGGTGGCGGGTACGCATGCGAACGGTGCCAGTGTGACCTTCGGTGGAGCTCCCTCTGGGGCCACGAAACGTGTGAGATGTGTGCCGAAATTGGTGGCGGGGGCGCGTACGAACGGTGCAGCTGGGACCTTCGGTGGAGCTCCTCCCGACGGGGCGAGTGAACGTGAGACGGGTGTGCAGAAATTTGCGGCGGGCGCGCACCTCAATCTTGACACTGGCGTTCGCCGATCGGCCCCGACCCGAGCTGGCCTGAGCCCTGACTTCGACCCGAGCCCTGACCCTGACCTGAACCCCGACTCTTGGATTACGTCGGGCGTGTCCTCCTCCAGGGGGGATCTTGGACGAGAAATGGCAATACCCCAAAATGATCAAACATAGTCAAGAACGATACAACAATACCCCCAGACCATTTTTGAAACTATTTTTGAATAGCCTCTAAAGGTCTTTAGAAACCCCCCCCGCAATAAGTGGAAAAAACATATTTTTTGGGGGGGCTTATTGACGGACTGGGCCCCGCGCAATAGCGGAAAATAAATATTGCCCCCGCTGCGCGACGACGACGACGACGAAAACGACGCCGACGACGACGACGACGACCGACGACGACGACGACCGACGACGACGACGACCGACGACGACGACGACGACGGACGACGACGACGACGGACGACGACGACGACGACGACGACGACGACGGACGACGGACGACGACGGACGACGACGACGACCGACGACGACGACGACCGACGACGACGACGACGACGGACGACGACGACGGACGACGACGACGACCACGACGACGACGACGGACGACGGACGACGACGACGACGACGACGACCGACGACGACGACGACGGCGACGACGATTGCGAAGACGACTAACGACGACGAAGGACGTGGAAGACGACCACAAAGACGACGACGAAGACGACGACGGCGGCCTACTGAGAGGTCCCGGTGGGCAACCAGACTACAGAGATTTGTATTACAATTCCCTTGGGATTCTTTCGCAAATTCTTCCCGCGTGCAGGGTAGTCCACGAGGCATTGTTCTCTGGGAGAAATAACCCCCCGACAATTGTCAGCGCGGCGAACAATAGCGGGAATTTAATTATCCCGCCGCCGCCGACTCGAGCGCCAGGGCCTTTCTTCTACGATTCGTACTAGGGAGGTTACTATGACGACGCCGACGACGATTGCGAAGACGACGAGGAAAAGACGGCGATTGCGAGGACGAGGAGGAGCGAGGAGGAAGGAGAGCGAGGAGAAGTAGGAGGAGGAGGAGGAGGAGAAGGAGAAGGAGGAAGAGGAGGAAAAAGAGGAGGAGGATAAGGGGTAGTAGTAGTAGTCGTCGTCGTCGCGGCAGTAGTAGTAGTAGTAGCAGTAGTAGTAGTAGTA